TATGATGTATGGATGGATGGATGGATGGATGGATGGGTGGATGAATGGATGGCTCGATGGGTGGTGAAGCTTAAGGTTACTTATTATACTAACAGACTAGTACTTGGAAATGGTACTTTGTTGATGTTACGGTTACACTCATCATGAGTCCTTTTCGCTTTCGGTGCTTTTCTTCCACTCAACCCATTGGAGCATTCCTCCACCACACGCTCCACACCACCATTACCCATTTCCAGCCCTTTTCAAAGTCTGGACTGCCATGTGCTGAGCCACCAAATAAATGAAGATCCATGGAAATACTTCGTTGCAATACCTCCGCGGTATGCACGATGCACCAAATACATGTACTTTCCACACTTCACATTTTCCATCCAATCATGAAATATGGTTCTTTGGGTGAATCCAGCTTCCGGGAATTTCTTCCAAGCACACAATTTCCCTGAAGCTTTCCCTCCTACCACTCGGCCTGCGTGACAGATAACTTGTATCGTGGAACATCAAGTCACATCATGGAGATCAGTATGTACCATTCAAGTCGTTCCGTTTGCTACCGACTACATGGAACCTTATATCTATGATCATTCTTGTACTTCCATATACTTGAATTTGTACAACTCGACCCAATCTAAGTGGATTGGTAAAATGTGAATGCATCTGATACTTCGATCTCTGTGCTCATATCCTTACATCACAAATTCTACGTGGCTTCGGATGCGTTGAAATACAATCGATAATCTCTTCGTTGTATATATGCCGATGCAGCATAATCTATATACCTTCAATACATACCCTATCGTTTCGTCAACAGGATTCATATGAAAGTTCCCAGCTCACACGATGAGTCTGGACGAAGCTTACTTCGTTCTTATTGAACAAGGAAATTTAAAGTAAAATTTCTCAAGAAGTACAAACTCACGGGATCACAACATTTTCATTTATCTACCCCAATTTTCATCTCATAATTTAAGGGTACCTGCCTATAAGTCGTGATACCATACGGTGGCGTATCTCCATATCGCCAATTGATCCCCATGTTACCCCCTTACCTAGAGTTTTCTACGGCCTCCAAATTTTGCCTCACGCGGATGTATCGATACACCAAATAAAGTTTCCAAAACAATTTTGAACACAAAAACATACTCTAAGATGTGATGATTGTGACGTTTTTTCTTTCTGCTGAATCTTTGTGTAAAGTACGCATGCTACTTGCATTTATATCTTGAACCATGGTTCCTCAAGAACACACGGCTGGAAAGTATCCTAGACATATATGAGATGAGCTCAGCTGCTCCCATTCACCGAATCAGATATTGACGAACCATTTTGAAGGATTTGGTCAGGGACATATTCAAATACGGTTCAGCAATAAAGAAATGCATCGGGAGCCTCATATCACCCCTCGATTTTTATATTGGCATTCTTTTCTAAATTGATATTGACTACTCCGTCATTTTTACCCGTCAATGTTATACAAGCCATATCAGCTCCATGCTAGCAACGACGACATTTGAATACTTCGTCATACTCATCTAGCTTCCTATTTTCCAGGTACTAGATAAACTTCCAGTGCTTGTTGCAAGATTATGAAAGTATAATACTGTGCTTTGTACCCAGATATAAAGCTTCTAGTCAAGGACTGGACTCTACGATATCTTAGAGCCGGTTTGTACCACATCGGCCTTACTGTATCTATCCGAGCCGACAGCACTATCATTCATACCAACCAAGCTCGTTCAATAATCCAGATGCACCTGATTTCCCCATTGGAATAATTGATAGTATATGATTGTATTTCGAGAAGAGTTTCAAGACAACCCCAATCACAACAAAGTAAAATCGTGAAAATCTTTCACCATTCTCTCCCCATCCATCCTTAGCAGCCCTTTCACTTCAACTTTCCAATATCCATGCTCCTCACACAAATCGTTCCGTTCCATCGCACACTCCACAGCACCACAAGACCACAACACCACATCTCACACACCACCATATCCCGCCCCTGGAAATAAATTAATTCTTCTTTCAGAAAAGAAAAAAAAAGATGGCTAAAGCGTGTTTACAGGCGTACACTACACTACACTACATAACACTCTATTTCATTTCTCAATCCACTCTGCATACGTAATATACGTGTTGCTTCCACAACATATTTACTCGGTTCGGAAGATGCAGGTTCAGGGCCGGTAATATGGTAATGTGCCGTTTTGGTATTATGTTTCTTTGTGCAATGTGATGGGATATGATGTGATAAGTGTGGTGATACAGGTAGGTATTCTGTATCTCACTCTGCATCTTTACTCGCTTTCATTTTGAATGAAATGAAGAAGATGCAAGTGCTAGGGGATCAAAAATCCGGGGAACGGGGAGCAGTGCGGTATATAGAGGGTTCTTGGAATTTTAAGAGGGGACGCGTATGTATGTATTTCTCTCTGTGTGCATCTGCATGTGTGCGTATGCACGTCATCAAAACCCGGACGGAACCGCGGAGGTTTTGTTTATGTAGGTATGCATACGTGTATGTATGTAGGTTTATTATATATATGCGAGTTTTGAACGGGATAGCAAATGGGGATTGAAAATGATTCCGGTTTGAATGGTTTAGTGAGGAGGTAGACATTGATAGACTTGACATCTCTGGAAAAGAAAAAGTTTTCATCCATCCAAGGGTTTAATTGAGAAATGCTAATTTTGATATGTCTAGAGAGTACTCAATGCATAAATATTCCCCTATCCTATCCTATCTTATCCTATCCTATCCCATCCCATCTCCCCATTCTACCAAACCACATACATATCTATAAACCATTGAACATATAATCCTCCCTTCTCCACCCATCCTATCCTCAGAAACCCAACCTGATCTAATCCGCATGCAACCAGATATCAACGGGATCCTGCATGCATCTCCCAGGTCGATACATACTCGACAGTCCAGACACTTATTATTGTGTAGTTCCGCGTCATCTAGCGAATTCCAAGACGGGTGGGTGCGGTTACTGATGAGAGGGATGGGGATGGATTATGTGTAGTGTGTATGATGGCTGAGTGGGTTGGGTAGTGCTTGGTAATTTTTATATGTATGTGTGTGTGTGTGTGTGTTTGTGTGTGTTAAGAGTAAGAATCTTAGTATTATTTGTAAAGTTATAGAATTGAATAGATATACAGAAGTTATAGTTAAATAGCTAGATGATGGTTGTATATATTCTACCTCGTTTCTTTAGAGATAGATACATATCCACCTATACATAATTGGGTAGGTAGTTACACATAGTTATCTAAACCTCCTCCTCTCATTAAATGTTTCTTCTCTTCACTTCTCTCCTTTATTCAAATATGTATATCTACAATCTACAATCTCCATATCCATCCCCATCCCCCTATCCTATATCCCACAAACAAACAAAAAATCACTCCACTCATCCCCATCAACAATCTACACATCCATCCTAGCCATCCTCTCCTTTCCCCTCCCATCCCATCTCATCCCCCCATCCCAATCATGCAATCTTCCATATATCCATCCATTGATCCAGACACACATCACATCACATCACATCACATCGCATCTCGATCCTGCATCTTCTCGATGATGCATGTACAATGAATGTAAGATACCATGTACAATGTACACTGTACAATGTACGCTGTACAATCCCTTTCCATCTTCTACCCTTCATCCTCGCTTTTTTCCCTTCGTTTTCCTGCTGTATTTTATAGTAAGTACTTACCTAGATAGATAGTATTAAATGTCGAGACACAACTCTCAACTCTCAACTCTATTTTTCTCCTCCTTTCCCCTCTTTCTTAGTCCTCTTTACTTTTCTTACTAAAGATTCAAAATAGACACATATAGATACCTACCTACATAACATAACATAATACAATACCCAACCTATCCCATCCAACCCACCATTTCATCCCAATATCATCCTCATCTATCTCACCTCATACCTCATACATATAAATACCTACCTACCGACTAATTCGAGAAAATAATAACGATAACAACATGATTATCATGATTAATCACCACGATTACCATACTAAAAACAAAAAACAAAAAATAAAAACAAAACTTACATAACCCATAATCCATAATCCAAAATGCGGATACAGATATAATCTTACATTCGGATCCGAAAGTTCTCGGGCTTAAATCCTCTCCATTCCATTCCATTCCTCTCATGATTCCGGGTGGACGTAGGTTATACTTGTAAGTAACTATGAGGTAGTAAGTTTTACCTGTGTTCGGGATGTTGATTTTGATGTTGAGGTTGATGTTGATGTTGATGGAGATGGAGACGAATATGAATATGAATATAAAGATAAAAAAAAAACATCAAAAATGATTTCCAAATCTACCTAGGTACCTACCTATACTATAATCAATCAGCCATTCAAAAACTTGATAGCTATATATCTCTATCTGCGCCCCTATTACACCGGTGAAAAGAGCCAGAAAAGATATTCAAAATCTCTTGATCCCATTCTATCTCTTCCTCTTCCTCTTCCTTTCCTTTTCCTTCTTCTTGATACTTTGCTTTGCCTTTCTCTTTTCAATCCCTTTTCCACACGATATATACTAGCTGAAAACACACACAATCTTCAAAAACAAAAACTCTGCATCAAAAATAGGTAAATACTAATAACTGTATTGAATTCCACCAACAATCCCAGTACCAACTTCCAAACGCCAAATCCCAAAAGCGATATAAAATAAATCTTTCCTACTATACATCCAGTGCCCCAATAGATATGCATTTTTTATGCTCCTCTTTTTTCCCATTCCATTCTGCCCAGTCCTCTTGCACCAAATTTGTATACATCCACAATGACCATATAATACAATGCCCCATCCATATAGTGTGCAATCCCGTTGAAATTCCACGCCCGCCAACTCCAATAATGCCCCATAACATCTAGGCTCTGAGAGATCCCAATAACCAAGCCGACTTCTCGACAGAACCGATGTATATCTAACAAAAGAAATCCCCAAACGATCAAAGATGTCTCCACCCACTCTGATACAAAACCTGCATCTCATTGATCAAACACTCCAATCCCAATTCTTCCCTCAATTCCTCTCCTTCCCCCTCCTTCGTCCACTTTTGCACTCTCCTCCCCACCCGTCCCCTCTCCACCCATCCACTCCCCCATTCCCTCACCCACCCCATCCTAACCCCCCAAACTCCCCTCACAGCCTCCCATCTCCCAGGCCATCCCCCCTTCCCATTAACCATCTCATAAACCTCCCTCTTATACCCCACCCTCACATTCGGATTCACATAAATCCCCTTCTTTTCTCTCAGCGGGTTATCCGCATGAATAAGACAACATTCGCTACCCTCTACATGTTTTTCCGCAAGAGAATCAGGAACCCCTCTGAATTTAAGACCCTTGAATTCTTTCTTCGAATTTAAAGAAATGGAAGAGGAAGGATACCAGGGCTCCCCATCGAAAACAACCATTCCGTTCCAACAACTTTTGACAGGCACGGGGTCATTTCTTTTCAATGCATTTAGAGATTGTGAGGGGTAGAAGTAAGGCCAGGAAAGCGATGAAGTTTTTCGACCAGAGGAGTCACGGAGGGCAAAGGTATCATAGTATTGGGAAGGCAGGGAGAAATCTAGGGAGCAGGCTGCTGCATAGAGGTTGTTGTTAGTAGCGAGTAGGGTTGTTACATCGGTTGTCTGTTTCGGAGTTAGCCAGGCGCCTGGTTGTAGGGATATAGATAGTGAATGGAATGAGTAGATCGAAGATAGAGATAGAGACACGGGAAGACTACGACGATGGATATGAATCACAAACGAAGGGAAGAAGGAGAAGAAACACGTGACAACATACCGTAAAAACCACATCATTAATCCACAAAATCTTATCAAACTTCCTTCCCCTCCCTTCATCCCATACCCTCAAGAGAGGTTCCATAGCTCTATTCCTCAATCTCGCCAAATAAGGGATTCGTCTCATTTCCCACCCACTTTCACTTTCTTTCCTCCCCGTATGCAACCATCCAGTTCTATCCTGCCCCTCCTCTGGCACATGTTTTAATTCTTCAAGCTGAGCCAGACGATCCATACCCAATTCAATCGTCCTTTCTACCCCCGCCTCCCCTAACATCCCATCCAAATCCATCAGCGCCGCTTTCGTTCCATCCCACGAACCCGATTCAATAATCGAGACATACACATTTTGGGGACCCAGATGGTGAGCCAGGGATACAAGAGCCGGAGACCAATTTTGCCTGAGCATTATTTCAGATCTACGAAATATGGCTGCTATGAAAATGGTTTCATTATTGGGATTCCCCATTTGTGGTTTAGATCCCTGAAAAGCCTGTCTACTTTCAACATCACTAAATAATACTGATTCTTGATTCTCCTCCCCTCCAAGCCTTTCCACTGATAAAGAATCCCGACCTGGTAATGAGGGGGCTTCACGTTGATTTGACGTCAAATCCGATGGATTAATCGCCGAAAATGGAGGCGTGATAGTACGTATTGGATTTGGAAGCTGGATGATGATCCAATAAGCATCGAAGAGGAAAAACACCAAAAGAGCGAGAACCAGATTCGGAAGACGTGAGTGGGGATGAAGAGGGGATCGTGGGGCACGAAGGTAACGCTTTGGAAGGAATGTCATGGTTGGGTTTTGAATGTTGATGCCGGTCTGGTCCTGCCAGGAAAAGATGTGTGTGGTCCAGTTGGGGTTGTCTTACGACCGTAATGAGGGATTATGAACGGGCCGAAATGGCTAGGTATGGTAAACCTAGCTCCGAGCTACCTTGTAGCAATGCAACATAGAACGTGCTCAGCGAACAGTCAAGCTTACAACAAGAGAAGTAAATAGTGATCCTAGTATAGAGGTAGTATCGGGCGTCCCTTTCGGAGATATGATACAGAGGGGAAGGCGGTGGCTAGGCGTTTGAATCCGGGGTTCAGATTCGAGCCCGTCTCGACAATTCTATCCTGTAGGAAATATGTGGAGGAGCGGAGCCGGAGCTTGTGAACTTGTGAATTTGCGAATCTGTACTTCGTGAAGAAAGCCACACGATTTATTCAATCGAAGCTTGGGAGAAGTGAAGGAAAGTCAATGCATGATTTTATGGCTTTTGTTCTGTGAATAACCGTTGGTTTGTTTCCAATATCCGTTTTCAGCAAAACTTTGTGATGTGACGATGACTAGGTATGTCAAAGGATTCAATTATGTTTCCACAAGTAGCATCCTGGATACACATCCCCAACTGAACTCGTACCGTAACAAAGGGAGAAAGCGAAAAGAGGAAGAGTACAAAATGGTACAGCGCCGCCGTTGGAAAACGCAAATGGAAAGTTAATTAAGGGATCGGAATATTACATCGATAGGAGTAAGAACCCTACGCATGTTAGCTCGTTAGTGTTCGGCCCGACCGAGCTTACTTTATTCAGCGATTGATCTGAGACATGGAATCACCTGCAGCACTCCTTCTGCTGACTCCGTACTCGACTGAGTAGGTACCAGGTGGGTAGCTAGCGATTCAACGACCTGGGGATCCCCAGATTTTTAACCTTTTTGTATCTTCGGTCTGAGTGCATATAAATAAAGTATGTCGATTGAATGTCCAAGTACCTAATCAATAAGTTTGTTGAAGTTCAAGGTAAGAAGACAAAAAGGGACCTTTCGTTGTTGAACGCACAGATAGATAACCCATGGTTTGAATAACTACCTAGTAGGTAAATTTCTCTCGTTTCTTCTAATGTCAACGAGTTGTTGGTCATTACTTTTCACATATATAATATGAATTGGGATGTTGATATCGACTGGGACGGCGGTCATGTTAACTGGGACGATCATATCAATTGGAATAATAATGTCAACTGGAAACCCCATATCAATTAAGACAATCATCTCAATTGGAAGAAAGTAAAAGGTCATCAAAAATTCCCTCTTTATATCTGCACTCCCAGTCCCACTCCCAATTCTTCTGGCAGTACATCAGACTACTGAATCTTCAAGTTTTCAACAAATTTTGATGAATCCAAAGCTACCTAGTGGTAAGCAGGCTATCTTATTCGCAGTCGTAATGATGAATGCTCTTATTTGTACTTCTCATTGAATCATCTATCACAATGCAACTGGACTGGTATTGTGTTAAAAAACGTACATCATAAGATTAATACACTCCATCTATCTACTGGGTATTTGTCTCTCTATCTATCTATCTATCCATCCATCCATCCATCCATGCGTCTATAAAAACATGTCTATATATATATATATATATATATATTATGCTGAAGATTCAATGGCCTTTTGTTGCGCCTCAAACTCCTTGCTGAAAGGATAACTGGTATATCCCTCAGCCTCCTTCTTGTTATAAAAGAAATCTCTATCATATGGAGCGAACTCAATTCCCTCCTTAACTCTGAATGGAAGATCTGGGTTGGTGATGAAGTATCTTCCGAATACAATCACGATATCCTTTCCTTTGTATTCTTCATCAACAGCCTTCTTTGCAGATTCGGCTTTGAAACCTCCAGCGAGGAGAACTGGACTGGTGCCATTCCAGATATCGATCAAGAAGTCAACCTTCTCGGTGGCTTCGACATCTGCATTTCCGGTGATTCTTGATTCGACAATGTGGAGGTATGCAAGGCTCAATTTCTTGAGCTCTTGGGCGATATAAGTAAATTGTGGAACAGGATCTGCCATCTTCATTCCTTGGAAAGGAGAAAATGGACTCAATCTGATACCAGTCTTCTCAGCACCAACAGCTGCAACGACAGCCTTGGTAACCTCAAGACCAAAACGTGCGCGGTTCTCAACACTTCCTCCCCAGGAATCGGTACGCTTGTTTGCTGTATCTTGGAAAAATTGATCGATCAAATAACCATTTGCTCCGTGGATCTCAACACCGTCAAATCCAGCTTCGATTGCGTTCTTGGCAGCTTGTGCGTACAGTCCGATGTATTCCTTAATCTCGGCCTCGGTCAAAGGTTCTGGCTTACCACCTCCCTCAAAGGCAATATCGCTTGAAGATTTGAGTTTGTAACCACCTTCTTCTTGTAAGTTTGATGGGTCTGCAGCTCTTCCTAATGCCCACAATTGCATCCAGATGTATGATTTCTTTGCGTGTACGGCGTCGGTGACCTTTTTCCATCCGGCAATTTGTTCTTTGCTCCAGATACCAGGGGGGTTAGCATAACCAGCGGCTTGGGGAGCAATGAAGGTAGCTTCGGAGACGAGGAGTGTGCCGGGAACAGAAGCACGTTGGGCGTAGTATTCGGCAACCATTGGAAGGGGTACGTGGTTGTCATCGGCACGGTATCGAGTGAGAGGTGCCATGGCAATTCGATGTTGGAGCTCGGAAGTTCCGACTTTGAGAGGGGTGAAAAGAGTGGAGGAAGACATGATTGTGTCGTATTATCGAGTAATTGGTGTATGTATGAGTATGTAATTGTAGTTGTAGGTTCAATTGCTTGTCTATTTGTATACTTGTCTATATCAAAATGAAATGGAATGAAAGGAAAGCAAGAAGAAGCCACCTACCTACCTTTATACGTTCAATTGATATGTGGGAATATCGCGCAGTTGCGCATGAATGGGAAAAAAACCAAGTAAGTTGATTGTTCAGCAAGATGGTCCTAGCAATCATGTCATTCCACTACTGAAGCTTACCATACCAGAAAACCCATAGCAATCGTATCGAACATCTTGGTTTGGCGTGTCATGTATCCAAGATATCTCCGAGGGTAGTGGGGGTTGTTCGGGGAAATGATATGATGATAGTCGCTAGTTCTCTGATCTCGCAGGAAGAGATAGTTTCTGCAGAGATCTGAAGCTTTCCGTACAGATGGATAAGACCTTTTGCCCATGTTGCGTTAGCGAAGATCCATCAAAGCTTATAAATCAAAAAAACTTCATGACGTTTTGTCAAGGCAATTGATTCTCAGCTGCCGACATCCGACCAGGTGCCAGAATTATGTAAGCCATGGGAAGATGTTTTACGAGATATTCTCCAATATCAAACAATTTCTTGCGTGGTGAAAGTGCCAAGGTTTTTGGAAGGAAAAGTGGATTTCCTATCTTCCCCAAAACCCTTATTACTCCGTATAATGCTACAGTAATACATCTGGAAAATTCGAAAAGCGCTAGCAAGATTTGATAATTTAAGCTCGATGCGGGTTGAGATTGTATTGCCGACATACGTACGTACGTACTAGACAACTATCAGAGTTGTTTGATTTCTTATTATTAATTTATCAAATACTATGAGATTTTTTACTTTATTAAATTACTACTGTTTCTCGAATTTTCCAAATGAATAAGTTATTTGAAAGAGGGGTCATTGAAAAGGAGAAGTACCCCATTTGTAAAAGCAGCGACCCCTCTTCCCACCCCGCTGCATGAGCCTCCAAAAAAAGAAAACTTGCTCACCAAAACGAAAAACATCAACAACTTCTTCAATTTTGGAGATAGAAGAATGCAAAAAAGTGCAAAATGATATTGGAGCGGCAGGGAGTCGAACCCTGGACTTCATCGATACTAGCCATATGTCTCTAATGAGATTCAGGACAATGCAAACGAGGCACTCTACCACTGAGTTACAGCCCCTGGTAGTTGTTGTGGAAAGTGTGGTTTATTCGTATTTATATTACTAATAGCATGGAGAGGGGATGTTGTGATGGAGCAACGGTAGGAATTAAAGCTACGTAGTAGGTACTACTAATGGGTGGCTCTTCAAGTGGGGGACGAGTTGTAGTTATTGACTCTTAAAAATGATAGATGAAGTATTCTCAGTTGATTATACTTTTATTCTATGCTAATCGATGGTTTTGACTCGGGGAAAGTCATCAATATAATAGAAAAGTAACGAGATAAGTAATCATATAATTCCAACAAATCAAAATATACAGTCACGAAAACACTCAAAATACCATATATTCAATATAAAATCAACAAACAAAGCTTCCGAAGACATTCAAACATCTTTAAGCTCCTTTGTATTAGAGCTATCAACTGATATAGACAGAAGCATAACTAACTAAAAACTTGACAATTAATCGTTTTCGAGAGTCAACGACTATGGAGTATGTACAGTCCCTAGCTTCTCATCGGTAATGATTCGGTAATATTTAGCATTACATAAACGGAAGAAAGAGCAAAAAGCAAAAACTCTTCGCATCAAGAAGAGTTACAATGCATTGACTAGGTACTCAAAGATATCGAGTATCTACTTAGATACTTGTTCATTCTTACAAATCAAATCTTTCTAAAACACTTCATACCAAAAACCATCATGCTTATGCAGACATCCATATTGTCCTCTTCCATTAATACACTCCGTCCCCTTCTTACCCCTCTAAATACCGCGGCGACGGCAAGATTGATAATCATCGTAACAGAAATCATGCTGTCTCGTCCACACATATTCTGACCTTCGTATATCGAAACCGGGAAGTGAGTGTCTCCTGCAGAAAATCGGGGGTTAAAGTCATATCCCCAGGATCTCTATGGTTTTCAAGGACGAGAGAGAAACGCATATTCGAGCGATATGAAAGTTTAAATTCATCGGAGAATTGTTTTAGGTGATTCCTGCGTCATTTTCGGCTTGCGGAAACATGCCTCTTTCCGAAGTATAAGGAGAGGTCTTGTGAAGAGTATCTATTCATAAGGTTTTAGAGTTTTAGAGAGAGGTAGGGTGTATGTCCCCATTTTTATCAAGAAATTCTTGGTACGTTTTTGTTTATATTTTGCTTGATCAATAATTCCCAAAATCTCAAAGATTGGGGGAGTTCACTCTTTTCGCCCTTAGGAAGAAGCTTGCATTATGTGTCAGTACGACGCACCTGTTTAACAAGTGGCACTTTTTGGCTATGTGATAGTGATGCAGATTGAATATCTGAAATGGATGAAATCTCTCAAACAATTCAAATGCTTCATGTGAGTTCAAATTTTGAGATTGAAAAAGAGTCGAATCAATAAGCCACAATCCATTCTCATCACAACGATTTTCATCCAACAATAGCATCAATCAACCTCCTTCCCCAGAGAGCTCCACCTCCTTCATTTCCCTCTCTAACCCTCTCATCCTTCATCCACACCGATCATTTTCCCCCAAGCCCATCACCTCTCCATACCGCTTTGAGACCATAAGTTCCGGTCTCAATCTATTACTCACTCTATGGCATGCCATACCCATCATCATCACCGCAAAACTTCCCCCAAAAACTCTCTTCTGATCTTCTTTTCTGACCCTCAACTGCGTGGTCAGAACACTCAAGTTGAGATCCTGATGTTCCATTTTCCCGTAGCCAGTCTTTTAGCACGTGGGTATCGATGCCATCTATCAAAAGAGCTAGGAGGATGATCGCTTCTTTTTGTCGTTCGCTTATTTCCTCCCATACTCTCTCTGTCTTTCGTCTCGGGTCAGGAAATGTACGAAAGGTGTTGTATAAATCGATTCTATATTTTCGCCCTTTAGTTCTGGAAAGTTCTCCCACCCAAGCTCAAATAATGAACTTTGGTTTTCCTATTGCAAATCAAAATACTATAATCAGATTCTACACTCCTGCAAAGAACACCACCAGCGAGTAAAGGCGATCCCGCATCAGCCTTCAACTTTCCTGCTTGAATCTTCGAGAAAGTAGCTTGAAACCAGGTGGGATACATTCCAAACCCCCTCGTGATTCTCTTCCGAAAGCCCAAATATTCTCCCACGAGTATCAAATCTTCATTCCTAATCGTCTCGTCAGATACACAGCTACAGGATAAGAACAGCTTGCTTTCCAGCACTTCCCAGATATCGTATCAACTCTCGCTCTTTCGCACAGCAAATCACCTAGACTAACTCTGATAAATCTTAAATAGCGCAGCATGTATATTCCCATTATCCGAACCAGAGATTCCAAGCCAGAGATAGAGAGTATGAAAACGGATTTTGGGAATGAGAAAACCTAATATAAGCAGAAGACTCAGTAAACCTATAATATACCAAAACACACACACCAATTGACATAGTGATAGATTATTATCTCTCTAAAAAGAAAATACAAAGTCAACGATGAACACATCTCTAAGAATACAATTGGAATCTCTCATCTCTCATCAACTTTGGATTGCGGCGTGGACGATTCTGCGAGACTGTGTGGAATAGCTATAACGTAGGTAATGCGAGATCGACGTCGAGAAACCTAATCGGTGATCTGAGGACGAGAAGCCATTGGATGAGGAAGAAATGTTTTATCACGTGGATATCTTTCATTCACTTATTCGCACCGCACTATAAAGTTTTGTTGCATATCTAGTGACCAGGGGGGTGGGTACCAATGACAATTTTTGTCACATATTTCCATACCCCCGGGTACAAATGACATGTTTTATCATCATATATTCTCATTCTTTGAATTGACGAACTGGCTCTGAAGTTTTTCAATGAAAGTAGGTATATCTTGAACTCTGCCTTGTGGATATCTAATTTATGCTAAATATATGTACTTCAAGCACCACCATACTAGAACAAACCCCTCTAGTGACCGAAATGTCCTTCTGAACTCCTCAAACAGAATATTGCCTCGATTTAAAATTTTGTCAACCTTTTGGTGCTACCTCCACTATCCTTGATTCTGAAAGACATTACCTCCCTTAATCCATTCCTCACTAATAACCAATGCATCGACCATTCCCCTCTTCAACCTCATAACCTTCGCATCTCTCTCCTTAATCTGCTGTTGCAAACTGAGATACTTCGCCTTCCAACTCTCTTCATTGTCATCGATTCCTCTCCCCATATTTCCCATTCCTTCCCTCATTCCCATCTCCAGGTTATTCTCCACAACTGTAGCTCTTATCGTAAAATCCCCTTCAAGGCTACCAAATCTCATTTTCCAATGACATTCGTAATCCGTTCTTGGTGGCGGGCCGGGGAATTCAAGTCTTGTGACGCGAAGACGTGTCATGAGGGGACCGCCTGCCAGTGCTGAAAGATTAATAAGGAAAGCTTCTGTGCTGCTAGATTCCGCTTGAAGATTTCGGATGACTTGTTTGCAGATTTTGGATGCTTCGTCTATAGAGCATCGTTGGATCGAATTTCCGGCTCCGTCGTACCATTCGGCGGCAAGAATTTCTCCAATGAAGTGAGATTCTAAAGCATCGATATTGGTACGGTCAAAATCTTCATTTTGACGAAATGCTATACTGACAAAGTGTTCGAAACTGGGGTCCTGAGGTCCATTGGCAGGATTGTTGAAATACTCCATGAGTGACGTTTGTTGAGATTGTTCAATTAAATCATTTTGCATATTCGTATCCGTCTCACCGTTTAGAAGTACAACGGGTGGTGGCGGTGTTGCTAATCGAACGTTTCCGCCTTTTCTTTGTGGGACTTGTAGTGAAAGGCGGCTTGGTCGAGAATTTTGAGTTTGTGGACCTCCAATGACAGTAGGTGGATTGGCCCTGACGCCAGCAGGAAAGAAATGAGAAATTTCGGAATCCGCCACTATAGGAGTAGCGGTTGGTGTATCTCTCGTTGAACCAGGGTTGGCAGGAAAGGTCGAAAAAGGACCATCTGTAACAGAACGGTTATTAGGTGGTCTACCTCGTAATTTTCCAGTAGAGGCACTACCATTACTTGGCCATGCTGATGATACTGCAGGCCCATGACGACGCCTTGACCGAGATTTATTTGGCGTTGTGGCTGATTGAGGTTCATTGCTATCCGGCCATAGATGTGTTCTGTTTGATGGAGTGAGAGCTGATTGTGGATAAGCTGATAGAGGAGTTGCACTTTCTGGTGGAGCACCCCATCTGAAGTTGTCCACTAAAGGGCCTCGAACTTCTGTTGCAGACCATGGACTTAAACGAGCATCGAAGCCTTGTTGGAAAGAAGAATTTGCTGTCGCTGGTGTAGCACTATCCGGATGTAAGGTCGCCCTGGGAATCATAAAATCTTCAGATAGTGTAGGCGAGTGTAACCGAGGACGTTGAGATGGTGATCTCCCTATCTCATCATCTTCCCTATCCTCAGCCTTCTTTCGTCCACGCTTAGGTCTTGTTTCCGGAAGCAAAGCACGGAGAGCCAAATCTTCATCGGCGGGTACCCCATCTCGACCATGCTCTGATGATGGTTCGCCAGGGGATGGTACTTGTGTCCAATACACATGAGGTTTGTTCAATAAATATTCAAAAAATGCATCAACATGCATTGCATGCAACCACCGCTAAATGTTGTTAGCGTTACATTGACGAGTGTCTGAGATCCACTTGCATACCTTGAGCCTAACAGCATATTGTTGTACCTTTTGAGCACTTTGACCTTTCTCCAAAGAAGGAGGTTCAACTCCCAAATCTATTGCCAATTGTGCCCACGTTTTGATCTCCTTATTCTCTAATTTACAAATCAATTCGAATAATACAAAAGTGCTGAAACTTTTGTTATCACTTTTGGGAGGCGCGCGAAATATTCGCTTCAATTCAGCAGTATCTGTATCTGATGCCACCGCGGGATTGCAGTACATGATGAAGCCTACGTAGGCATCGTCAAAGTTCTCGTCTGTAACTTCTCTCGAAGGTAGACTTCGAGAATTCTGGCGACTTGGAGATGAATTGCCCAGCGGCGAAGGTTGTCCCGGACGCTCAGGCATCACTCTATCCTGAATATTTGCACATGATGCTTGATTGTGGGCTTGAATATATTGTTCACCTCCTTGAGGCGCAATCGTGGCATATTTACTACGCTTTGTAGCTTCAGGGGTCATTGCAGGGACATGAAGGACTGGGAGCATTCTCCCACTTTTGAATTATCAGATGACCCAGGCTAAATTTCTGATACAAGTAATGAAAATATGTAGTTTTAAGAAAATATATGAGAAATCTGACTATAATATGATGACTTGATAGATATAATGAGATTTACTTCTAATACTTGAAATATACACCCCAAAAGGAAGAGCTGTTAATGAAAGACACGTTTCCCCTTTCTCCCTACAGGTACTTCAATTGACAGTTGAAAAGAGAGACAAATGATTTTAACGATAGAAACAAACGACGTTGGGTATATATGCTATATAACTAATGACAAAAGTTTGGATATATTTTCGCGATAAATTAAACAAAAAGGGGGTATATATTTAGCGTTGACAAGAATGATGAATAATTGATGATAATTACTTTGGAACCAAATAATTGTTAATGAGGAGAAATAAATTGATGTTAAGTTTGAAGGGAAGTTTAATCTGATTGAGCTTTGCTTTTCCAAGCCGAATGATTACTAATCACATGCAAGAATAGATCATCGGCACGTGAATGAGAATGCTACCAAAGCACGTGTCAGTATTAATTAGATTGAGGTGGGGAATCTCCGGGACAATGCAAGGGGGGCCCGCATTGCCTCGGTAAGTCGGAAATGGCCTTTGATAGGTAGGTATGTAAGTTGACAATGCACATCTGATGCAGCGAGAGGACAAAACTACCTAGGTACCGGTATTGAGGAGAATAATAATAATTCATCTTTCTTCATTCTTCACGTCTTTCATATCATATTTCCAATCTGGAATTCTCCATAATAAACTTACACTCCCTATTTTCAATATCAGAACGTCATCGACATCACATATACCTACACAAAACAATCATGGCAGCTCAACAATCAGATAATGTTGCTCATGCTCTATCCGGTGCTGGTGGGGGCATTCTTTCCATGGCTCTTACGTATTAGACCCCTATCCTTCTCCGCATTTCAAAAGTTAACAATTTGAAGCTATCCTCTCATTACGCTTTCCACGCGCGCACAAGTCGAATCGAAACGCGCTGATTCGGGATTTCTTGACGCTGTAAAGCGTATCATCGAGCGTGAAGGTATTACAGGCCTTTATGCTGGACTCGATTCAGCACTATTTGGAATCAGTGTTACAAATTTTGTATATTACTACTGGTATGAATGGACTCGTTCGGGTTTCGAGAAGGCGGCACTCAAGGCTGGCCGAGCTTCAAAAAAGCTCACAACAATCGAATCGATGATCGCGGGAGCAATCGCAGGCTCAGCAACAGTCTTGCTCACAAATCCTATTTGGGTAGTCAATACACGAATGACTACACGAAAGAGAAACAAGGAGACGGGTGAGGGCTTTCTACCTGGGGCAAAGGCACCTACAACAGTCGGCACATTGCTTGCACTCATTAAAGAAGAAGGCCCACAAGCGCTTTTCTCTGGAGTCGTGCCTGCGTTGGTGCTTGTTATCAACCCCATATTACAATATACGATTTTCGAGCAGTTAAAGAATACAATCGAGAAGAAGAGGAGAATCACCCCAACAATGGCATTCCTTCTAGGCGCATTAGGAAAGCTATTTGCTACTTCAATCACATACCCTTATATCACAGTAAAGAGTCGCATGCACGTTGCCGGAAGAGATGGAGGAAAGGAAAGTATGATTCAAGGCATGAGACGTATTTTGAAAGAAGAGGGCTACGCTGGATTCTATAAAGGTAAGCGATTCCTTTTTTTCGAAATTATTACGAGGCTTGTTACTGACTTTACTTCAGGAATTGCTCCCAAAGTCTCACAAAGTGTTATGACTGCTGCATTTTTGTTCGCCTTTAAGGACGTTTTGTATGAACAAACCATCAGGCTGAGAAGAAACCTTCCTGCCAAAGTGGCTGTGAAGTAAATATAGTCCTCGGTTATCGAGGTAGACCTGTGGTGCTCTTGGAACATGGATCTGATTGTAAGTTATGGCTTTGCTGGGGTGTACATATATACGGTATTTGAACTGTTTAAGGAAGGGCGTTAAAATATACCTGCGTAAGATATGGTGTCGGAATAGACTTCTCCTATTGTGATTAATAGGAAGGGGTCGTACACATACAATTTGGAATATCAGATATTGTTGAAACAATCATAACAGGGCATGAATAGTCATCAATTAAGAATGTTAGCAATTTTACCTAATTTTTCTGACTAAAGTTGTAGTTGAGTAACCACCAAGTGTACGAAATGTATCTATTAGATCCCATCTCATCACTCTCCTCAATGTCTGAATTCAAACTGGATATTGAAAGATTTATCAGGCTTGATCCACTAATCATGTGATCGCGCGAAAGGCAAACACGGAGTGCCGCCGGTCTTGAATACTTTATTTATTTACAGCGACAGCATTGAATATGCGATTTTTGCAAAGTTTTGGTTCCTCTCGTGCTTTGACGAAAAGAAAACAGCAATTGATATTATCCCATACACATATCATGGAAAATTCAACTAAAATTGATGAATATGGCTTCAGTTCTGGCGACGAGGCAGACATGCTAGACTTGACAAACGCGATCGATGCTAGCACCAACCATGGCCACAAGCGTAAAGCTTCTCCCGAGCAGACTTCGTCGATTGTCAAGAGACAGGCAATCCAGAGCTCCCACAAGGTATTTGAGTCGGCAACGTCTGCACTGAGTCACCACTTTGGTTTCAAATCTTTTCGGTTGAAGCAGGAGCAAGCCATATCAAGAATTCTTGGTGGCGATAGTGCCGTTGTTGTCTTTCCTACTGGAGGTGGCAAGAGTCTCTGCTTTCAAGTCCCGGCACTTGCTTTTGAAGAAGAAGACAAGATTCTCAGGACTCGTGATGAAGGCGAACATGGCAGTGAGTAAAAGTTAAGAGTGCTATGCGGGAATTCTTATTCAACATCTTATGAACAAATGAATCAGACCACCTCAAATGAAGTTTCGGTTTCATGGATTCTTCTTTGATTTCATTTACATTTTGAAAAGAATACTAATTTTAGTGATATACAGTTACCCTGGTAGTATCGCCACTCATAGCTTTGATGAAAGATCAGGTGGATGCTCTTGTTCGTCGCGGTATTGCTGCTGCAACTTTCGACTCCAGCAAGACTAGAGATGACTTTATTCAAACATGCAACCAACTGAGAAGTGGAAAGTTAAAGTTACTATACGTAGCACCTGAGAGGCTGAACAATGAGGGTTTCGTGGAGCAAATGAAATATGTCCGGGGAGGTATCAGATTACTTGCAGTAGACGAAGCACATTGTATCAGCGAGTGGGGCCACAGTTTCCGTCCAGACTACCTAAGTTGTACCTCAAACTCTACTAGAAATGCATCATCTACTGACTATATGTAGAAATTGCCCGTTTTGCTGATGAGATCAGAGCAGAGAGAGTCATTTGCCTAACTGCTACGGCTACACCCCGTGTTGCGCAAGACATCTGTGATGCGTTCAAAATCGAAGATTCTGGACTCTTTCGAACCTCCACCTATCGACCCAATCTACATTTATTGGCTGAGTCAGGAGATAGGAAGGTTACTATGCTGCCCAAGCTTAAAGACTTTTTACGAAAGCATAAAGGCTCAACTATCATATATGTTACTCTGCAGAAGCAAACGGAGAATCTTGCAAGTATATTGGTAGAGGCGGGCTTCAAAGCTAAGGCATTCCACGCAGGAATGACGACTGAAGCCAAGACAAAGCTGCAGGACGATTTTATGAGGAGCAATGACATGATTATGGTCGCAACTATTGCCTTTGGGATGGGAATTGATAAGGGCTCTATTCGCAATGTTATACATTTCAGTGTCCCTCAAAGTCTGGAGTCTTACAGTTAGTAACTTTTATCATTGAACTCCTAGCCGTTACCACTCCAGCCGCTGCATCTAAATCTCTACTATGTTCAGGTTTACCCTCAAAGCTACCAAGAGCCACACCTCATTTTTTACTACTCAGTTTCGAAGTAGAACCTTCTCCGTACTCCTTGATGATTGCAAATGCCAAACCTCTTCATGCTGATATTTGCACAGGCCAAGAAATTGGAAGAAGTGGTCGAGATGGTAAAATTTCTAACTGTTTCTTCTTCATATGTGGCGAGGATCTTCATTTCCGTGAATTATTCGCACGAGGTGACCTACCATCTCTTACATCTATTCGTGGACTACTAAACGACACATTTGATTCAACTGCGAAAAGGCTTCCAATTGGAGGTGAGATTCACAGTTCGCATTATAATCAAACGAAGGAATTCGATATCCGCCCCACAGCTCTAGGTGGTATATACGCACAGTTAGAGTTGGGCCACGGTCTTATTCGTGCTACTACACCATTATATCAGAAATATTCGTATGTTACAAACGATCGCATGTATCATTCCAAAATCAAGTCAGATCGAAGTCCAGCAGCAGCAGCGATCGCAGCCTGTGGTGAGAAAAAGGCCAAGTTCCATCACATCGATGTAGACGCTGCAGCTCGTCGTTATAGCCTTGGAAGAAACGAGGTCATTGGCAAGCTTAACGCATGGAACGCCGAAGGAATTATAGAATTAAAAGCAAGCCAGGTTGTAAACGTCTACAAAGTCACTAAACCTCTTCCCAAAACCGCAAAGGAGATTGAGACAATCGCAAAGACAATTTACAGCAGCATGGAAACACGCGAAAAGCAAGCTTTAGAGCGCTCAGAGAAAATCTTACAGCTTATCACCGGTAAAGCTTGTTTTTCCAAAAAATTGGCCCAGCATTTTGGAGATGAGCTGCCTGACGGAAAGGAAGAATGCGGTCATTGTCAATGGTGCTTAACGCATAAGCCCGTCGAGATTCAACTTCCCCCTCCTGTTCCTTTCAATACTATAGCTTTCAACAACGTTCTTAATATGATTGAAGAGCGCGATGATCCGAGGTTCCTCGCTAGAGTGGCTTTTGGTATCTCTACCCCGAGAGTGACGGCGATGAAGTTAGGAAAGAGTCCCATCTTTGGTTCGATGGATGATCATGAGTTCTCGGTAAGTGGGATGTGGATTCGAACAGACTCGTGATTACAAAGTGGCTAACGAATATTGGCTGTAGGTTCTTCTTGAAGCATTTGAGAAGGAATGCAAATAGGGGTGGGCTTGTGGGGCACGACTTTGTAGTATATTTGGACATATTTAGCGAAGGTGTTGATGGCCCTGCATAGGATATTTCATTTCTAGCTTTGTCGGCACAGTCATATGAGAAATCAGGATGAAATGAATAGTACTATTGAGAAGGAAGTAGCTTGAGTCGTGCATCACGTAGATGCTGGCTCATAACATAAAGCATAAATCTCATTTTAAATACAACCCGCGTTATCTCTGACATATCTAGACATCGAGCAAACTTAACGAATAGCAGCTAAAGGGCTGGGAGTTCCAGTACTTGTTTCATTACTTCATTGAGAGGTGTTTAAGTCCAATATTCTTACAAAGTCCCAAGCATGTCTTTTTGTCCGAACACCAATACGCTAAATCAAGTCATGTCCCATGTCAATCATTTTCACCCCATATATAATACAATTGCGCCTTCATTCTCTCATCGCCTCCCCAGGTTTTGCTCATGCACCCAAAAGGCCGGACAAGGAGCCCCCTCGTCACCTCTTCCGTTCTTCATCCCGCCCAAAAGCCAATCCGTCAACCCAACGACTTTGGCCCCTACACCTCTTTCCCAATTTCCCCCCTCTTGAACGTGCTCAATAGTATGCGACCAGATCCTTCCCTCCTCATCGAATTCGAAGAGGAAAAGTCCAGTAAATTCCTTACTATCGTCCTCGCCACTTCCACCCCCCAACCACTCTGTGATCTTATCCACATTCTCTCGCGCCCCAATCCCTTTGTAAAAACCTCCTGTTCCTTTGTTTTTTGTCTTACCAATGGTCCTCCATCGTACGATTAATTGTTCGCGAGTTGATCCTCTAGATGACGATTGGCTCATTCGCTCAGAAAGTATTTCAAGCTTCACATTTCCGACGAGGGGAACGCGACCCCAGGCAATAGGGGATGTCCATAGAGCGGCGGAATATGCGACGCGGCCGGAGACAGTGGGGAGATGGGGGTGCGTGGAGGGGAAGAGGTGGAGGGTTATTTGCGGGGAGAGTATTTCTTGGGGAAGTGGAGATTGGAGGAGGGAAGGAAGACGTTCTTGGAGAATGCGGAGGGCTGAGATTTGTTAGTATATTGTTTGTATGTTTGTAAGTGGGTGAATAAATTGAGGGGGAAGCGGGGGAGGGGCTGCTTGCTTTTGCCAAGTTTGACTGTTCTCTCGTTGTTGGGAGGCTTGTTTGAAATTTTGAGATTTGGTGGTGAATCCTCATTCCGGGGATTTGAGCCGGTGAACCAGATATCCGGTAGGACCCTAGGTCCTGCGTTGACAGTTGCTAGATATCGAGCACTTTTCTGACATGTGTATGTAGTGGCAAGCTTCGTTTGGCATGTAGAAGAAGTAGAGGAGAGCTTCGAGGCCCGTCTTCTAGTAAGGCGTAGGATACTGTAAGATTTCGACATCAGCTTGGATGGATCGCATTCATATGCAAAGACATCAATCAATACATTCAATAAGGTCAAGAAGAAAAAGTAAGAGTTGCAACCATCGTCGTGATAATTGGTTTCTACCACTTTTTTGGATATCCATATTCATTCCCTCATCCAGTGATATTCAAGCTTTATCAATCGGCCTTACACGCTGCTGATTGCCGATCAGATAGGTACAAAGCGGTGCGGTCAGGGGGTCAGTTGATCAGGAGTTTGAATGAATCACAAGAAACCGCAGAAACAATAATAAGAATCACATTATCGTATATTGGTTTGAATCATTCAGCGTTTCTGAATCAAGCAAACGGTGTAAAGGAAAAAGAAGAAGAATAAATAGTCCCAAGTATCCAATACGTGTAATAAGAATGAGATTATTGTATCTGATTCTTCCATTGTGTGTTTGTGCATATAATAAGATTAAAGATATAAATTGAATAATATACGAGTAGAGACATTCACCTGCAAACGCCTCCTCCATCTTCCAAGGCTGTACCAAGTATCACCATATCACCACCATCCTTAGCCAAGTAATCCCGGCCAATTCTGATTCACGTGATACTCGTCTAACGCCCGTGGACCGCCTCTGCACCTTAAACACAGTTGAGGTTCCCAAGAGTTGCGATATCTTATTCTACAACTACAACCACAAGACATCGAACAGGATAACCAAGAGGTATCATAGAATTTCCACACAAAACAACATACCTTTCAACAACCAACCGCAAATATGAATCCCGAGTAGTAAGTTGAAACCCCTCAGATCAAACGTCATCCTTTCATCAACTTCAAAGAAACCGCCATCTACATTATATCTCCCGAGACCCAATACTGATCATGCTATTTGCAGAGTACATTATACATACCCCTCATCACGAAGATGCCATTACCATCGCACAGAGTGCACTCGAGTGGTCCACGTCAACATGTATATCCTGAACGGACTCCGACTGACGAACTTAATAGATACGATTACCTCTTCAAGCTCCTCCTTATCGGTGACTCCGGTGTAGGAAAGTCCTGTCTGTTGTTGCGATTTGCAGATGACACTTACACCGAGAGTTATATCTCGACTATCGGTGTTGACTTTGTGGGTGTTGCAGTTCCCGGTTCACAGAGTATTGTTTGCTGATGGCGAGTTAGAAAATCCGCACGATCGAGTTGGACGGCAAGACCGTTAAATTACAAATTGTAAGGAAACCCGAAAGAGAATAATGTGGAGGCATTGTACTGATAGTTTTACTTTGTAGTGGGATACCGCTGGACAAGAGCGTTTCCGTACCATCACATCCTCGTATTACCGAGGTGCTCACGGTATCTGCGTTGTCTACGATGTGACCGACATGGACTCGTTCAACAACGTAAAGCAATGGTTACAAGAGATCGACAGATACGCAACAGAGGGCGTCAACAAGTTGCTCGTAGGCAACAAAAGTGATATGTCAGACAAGAAGGTCGTTGACTACACCGTCGCGAAGGTACATATCATCACATGCTCTCAACGATCTGGAATCTTTAATCAGGCTCCATCAGATTGCCTTAGAAAGTTGCGACTAACATGCATTGTTTTAGGAATTTGCTGACAGCCTCGGCATCCCATTCCTCGAGACTTCCGCCAAGAATGCCAGCAACGTCGAGCAAGCTTTCTTGACCATGGCACGCCAAATTAAGGAAAGAATTGGCACAACTACCGCAAACAATAAGCCAGCGGTACAAGTCGGGCAGGGCCAGGGAGTACAATCGGGGTCTGGTGGTGGATGTTGTTAGATGGTGTCATTTGTCGATCGGTCGAACTCAATCTAGGTTATTGAAGAACCTAGAACGTCACGAACTTCTGCTTCCCTTTTATTATCCGCATTAGACTGATGGTCCCTTGGATCGGCCTCTGTATTTCGTCTGTCTTTCGCTGCCTCCGCTAGCAAAGCATCGCAGCAAAATCACATAGCAAATCTTTGCACCAATGACGCTAAGGAAGGAAGAGGGGAAATAGATAACTTTAATGGCTGATGGACGGAGGGAACATAACCCAGTTGTGAAACATTTGGCGTGAAATGGGAGGAATTTCGGGGAATGGATCTTGTCATTGTTTTTATTTCCTTTTTTATTGATGCACGGTTTTCCTTACTTGGGTCTGAACCTTATTTTTCGACGCTACTTATTGATGGCATCGAGATTCTTTTTACATTTTATTATGACAGGCAAGGCAATATTCGAGACTTTTTCCGCGAGACATGGGCTTTGTATTGTATTGCATGATATGTGGGGTTTATCTTGATGTTGATGTTGATGTTGATCTGATATGATATGACATGATGTGAAATGTGAAGCGATCTCAATCTCAGTGCCTAGGTGAATCAGTTTGTTGGTGACCGTGAGAGCAAGTCGGTTTGTTTCAAGTTTAGAGGGGGACAGAGTTGTGTGTGGATGGATGCACAATGTCGAGGCGCTCCAGCTATGCTGCGTTCGGGGTTGAATTTAAGGGGCTATTTGCACTTGTCACACAGGTACTACCTAGGTATTTGTAGTAGGGAGGCAAATAGCCAAAGATTATGATTGGTGGTTGATTGTGACAGATAAGTAAGTGTATGTGGGAGATTGGCTTGCGGTGTGATATTTGGATTTTTTTGTTATAAGTTATGTATATTCATCTACATACCTATGTACGAAGTTAGGTATGTATGTGAACTCCGAGATGGAGGTTCTGGATTTTCTTCATAGAGGTGTGGGTTTATGGAGAGAGGCACTTATATGTAAGCGTGGTGGTGTTTTTGACTCTGGCTAGGGATAATAGGTAGGTAAAGGTATAAATAGTGTTTCATTATTTAGATGAATTAACTCCTAGCGCAAACATCTCATTGATCATAATAACGTACAAGCCAATTACTTACTCGCGTCCCCAAAACCCGTCCCAACTCCTCAATCCCCCACACATTCTGTGGAACTCAAACCCTAAACCTCAAACCTCGATCCCCAGCTCCTTCCCAATAATAACAGCTGCCTTCTCGCCAACTGCTAGAGCAGTATTATTGGTATTTGCACCCACATTCTCCGGAACCATACTTAGGTCACAAATCTTCAATCCCTGCGTCCCGTACACATTTAGATACTTATCCACCACACCCCCTTTTTCTTTCGGCTTCATCGCACATGTTCCTAAAGAGTGCCATGTTGTATTCAGATTATCTCTGATCCAATCTTCAATAAGTGCATCATCTTCTGCACTATATTCAATACCCTTTATTTCTCCCTCAAGTGCCCCATTAGATAATGCTGCAGCAGATTTCTTTCCAAATTTTGGATGTCCCAGTTCTAATTCCCCACGGTAATAGGGAAGTCGTCTACATATTTCTCGTTGCATTTTATATGCCCAAAGCTGTTTCTTCAAATCACTTGGGTGACTTAAAAAGCCAGCGTCAAATTCATAGCCATTCTGTACGTCAGTAGAAGACGTGATGTGGATGGAACCACGTGAATAGGGGTAGGCAGTGTAGGTGCCCATGGTTATATATTGGCCTGGATCGACAAGTGTTGGGTCTGCTAGAAAGGCACTCACGACGCCGCAGAGCATGAGAGGCTTTGTGGGATAGGGAGCGAAGTCTCGGTCCCAGTCTGAGACGAAGTCGGTGCCGAGAGCTTCGACTTCGGAGGTAGTGGGACGGAGTTTGCTGCATACGTCTAAGGGCCTTTGTCAGTTTTTGAAGGCAAGACTTGGAGTTGTAACGGAACTTACCAACTGCATTCCAGCCCAATTGAGGGTCTTTGGCTTCAAGTGATTTGACAAAATCTTTCCTTCCACTCAAGATGTTGTCTATGGTTTCAGAATCATCGAGTGATGTTCTGTAAGGATACAAAAGTAAATGATGATCTATTCACGAGATATAATTAGCCACTATCCCTGGAAAACCCACGGGATTGAATAAGCTCTGCTCACCTTGATATGACTCGCCCACCCCATCTAATTCATTAACAACCTCTACTCCACATCTCTCAAGCACATCTCTCCTGCCTACCCCACTCCTCTCCAAGACCTGCGGTGTTCCCAAGGCTCCTGCACTCACAACCACTAATTTCTCTGCTCTGATTGTGTGTGGAATTGCTTTACTAAGTGCAACAAAGGGTTGATGGTCTTCATTGGGTATGTATTCTATACCTGTTGCTCGAGGAGGTGTAGAGGAATCAAACAGCACACGTACGACTTTCGATTCGGGGAGGATTTTAAGATTTGGGTATGAAGATGATTGAAGGAGTGGGTGGATGTAAGTGTGTGCTGCGTCTTGGCGTTTGCCGTCTGGAGAGACGTAGCGTTGCCATCTCTAGAGGAAGGAGATGATGTCAATATTTGAAAGAAAAGAAAATACATGATAGAAAATGCAAAGGAAACTTACACTAAATCCTCCACACTCCTCTCCATCCTGCAAATCTACTATTTCCCTATAACCCATCCCTTTGATCGTCTCCATAAAGGTATCAACACTCTTCCCCTGATATCCACCATCGCTCACATTCACAGGTCCCTCATATCCATGTTTCTCTTTGTCAAATCCCTTTCCGGTAGGATGAAATGTTTCCAATTTCTTACACATTTCGAGCATGTCTTTTCCGGTCCATCCTTCTGTATCCCAAGAATCGAAATCGATAGATTGGGCGCGCGTGTACATCATGAAATTTATGGATGAGCCGCCACCAAGGAGACCTCCGGCTGGGATAATCGGAGAGCGATTGTTGAGGTGCTGGGAAGGTTGACCTTTGTAAAACTATTATATGTCAGTATATATGGATTACCATCATTCTCCTTCTTCCACCTTCGACTCTCGGCGTCCAAAAGTCCAGACCGCAGCTCAACAATCAAAAGCTTTGGAATATCCAGTTCCTTCTTTACAATCTCAAAACTAGAATTTTCAAATGAATTGCAGTCCAAACTATCGCCAATACTGGGCCCTCAAAAACAGGAAAGAAACGAGATAACGTACCAAAGCAGTCTTACTTTCCGGCGCCAAATGAGATAAATACACGGCCGGAGTAGTAATACTCGGATCTTGGAAATTGTTCTTGCCGCCTTCGACAAGTAAGATTCGTAGATCTGGATTTGCCTTGGCTAGACGACCAGCGCAGACACACGCAGCTGTGCCGCCGCCGGCGAAGATGATATCGACGGTTTGGGGAGCTATAGGTGCCATTGTTCTTAAAGAGAGAAAATGATAACTGAGAGGGGGCTATATATAGTGATTAGAAAATTGTAAAGTGCTAAAGCAGGTTATGACAAATTTCTGGCGGCTTGCAGGAAATCTTGGAATATCCCTCAGAAGTACATAGAAAACCTCAGATTTTCAAAAGGGAAAAAGATTAGCGGAGAAGATTATTTGGCTCGTTCCTTTCTCGTAGGACAAGTTGTGTTCAACGTTGAACAAGTAGAGAAGTACGAGTACCTTATGTACTTTTCCGTTACTCACAACTCATAACTCGCATCCCACATTTCACTCGTCGCCCCTCACTCCTCACTCCTTCCCGCGCACCATCAGCCACTGCCCATTTTTGCATGTCGCTCTTTCCCCAGGTTATACAAATCGAGCCTTCGAATTTCCACTTCCCCGCACTTTGCTTTGATTACCCAGGTAATCCATTATCAGCGCTCGCTACCTTTAAAGTTTCCAATTGACTTATCTCCTAGCTCACAGCCACACTCTCCCTCTATCGCCGTCCCCATCATTAGATTCCCTCGCTCCATACTCCCCCTTCTGTCCGACACTAGCACATGTGTATCATGATAGTGTATCTTGTACTCATCCTCCCTACGTTTCATAGCGTTTGTGTACTAACATGTCCCCGATAGAAATGTACCGAAGTCCCGTGCCAACGCAAGTGCCAGGTCTATGCGTGATCGACGGACTAGACTCCGCCCCAGACGCTGAGAAAACGGAAAGATGCCGTCCCTAGTTTATGTTCTTAACTTTTTGTAGTATGATTGATCGATTTGTTAATGAATGTCAACTTTACTAGCGAGGGTCCCCTAGAACCTTCGTACAGATACGAGTACATCGGTTAATAGATTATCACGTAAAACATTAATCAAATCAAAATATATTTCTGTCTACCTAGGTATATATATCTAGGTGTATGTGAATATTTGACAAGTATTATTAGTATAATGAGCTGTCAACATTCAAGCTCATCACTTATTGAAATATCTCCAAGTCAAGTCAAATCTTAGCAAATTACGAACATATCTAGACAATTCTTCAAAATATCAACTATCAAATTTATAACACATATATCATTATCAATCTTTTCGCTGCGTAAACTAATGTACAATTGCATTCTACTTCCTCTCAAATGCTTTTCATATCCTTTCTAAAATCGACTCAATGGTGCCTGTTTGTTTCGTTATGCCATACTTTTCTCTGTTTTGGTTTTGATTGATTTAGCTTGTACATCAGGAACAAACGTGAATGAGAATAAAAATGCATCCTGGCCATCAAGTAGTTCTCACAAACATTATGATAGTTTTTGAACATTAATCTGAAATTCCCAGATATAAGAGAAGGAAACCTGTCCACCATGTGCAGACACTGAATCGAACGAGAACTTGCTAGAATTTATGAACTAAGTTGAAAGAATTGAAAGAACTATAACATGAACAAACCCGGACGAGAACCCAAACACCTCATCACCCCTTAACCCAAATATCCTTAAACGCCAAATAATTCATCATCATCTCAGGATTTGGTATTATGTACGCCCCCAAGAATCATCATTAGACCCATCAATGCACACCAAAATTTCTTCCACATTACGCCCCCTTAAGGTTATTTGGTTTTAATGTCATCATGTTGGAAAGGCTCCTCGAAATACAATCCACCTACTTTGTCGTGCCTGTTGTGACCTTTCTCAAATTCTTCAGCATGTCTTCAATTAAAGACTCTGAGTCAATTGGTACGTCTGGTAAGTCATGGGTTTGCGGAGGAGGAGCAAAAGTTTGTGGCTGTGCCTGCGAAGCATTGAGGTTTTGGAAATATTGCTGATGAGGGTAGATGGGTTTCGCCTCCTGCTGAGGAGGTTGAGGTGGGACCTGAGACTGATTTGAGGCATCGATCGGTTGCTGACTGGGTTCTCTCTGGGCGAGAGGAGGAGAACATGAGGGAGGAGTAATGAGAGAAGCTTTCGCAGCCGGTTGAGGCTGTGACAATGGATTATCGCCAATCTTCTGTGCAACTTGAGGCGCAGGTTGAGATTGCGGAGGTTGAATTTGTTGGGACTTCTGAGGTTCCTCAGTTTGCTGAGCTTGCTTGGACTCGATTGTTTTCGCCACTTGAGACGCGAATCCAGATTGCGTGGGAGAGCCTTGGCCACCAGACGGAAGGTAAGATGAATTTTGATACTGAGTAGAACCGTGACTTTTGTGGTTGTGTTGCTGACGACCTTGCTGCTGAGGATTTTGTTGTTGACCATGTGGCTGCGGCACGTGGTGATTGTGAAACATCGAGCTGTACTCCTTCCGAATAGCTGGGTGCAAGGGCGAGTCTTTCCTTTCCCATTGATTCGTGTCGTACGGCTTAGGCGTAACCTGCTGAGTTGGTGTTTGCTGATGTCTGGGTATGGAAGGTGAAGAATAGCTTGGTCTTGCAGATGAGGTTGCCGGGGAATATATTTGGGGCCCATTGGAGGAATAGGAACCGCGGGAAGATTGGGGGGTATAAGAAGTAGGATAAGATGCTTTCCTGCCAACACCCCCGGTGTAGGAAGAAATTGAGGTTGGGGTTGATGCTGTAGATGATCCCGATTTTGCAAATAGGGTCTGCTTGAGATGCTCTGTCCAATTTCCTTGGTAACCATTCATGAATCCTCCACCTTCTCTGTAGGGGCTCTTATATTCCATGGGTGAGCGGTTATGCTCGATCTGCAAGTAGAGATACTTCGCAAAAACATTTCCCATTTTAGGGGCAGCTGCTCTACTACTAAAAGGATTGTTTCCTTTCGCCAACGACTGAGTTGGTCGATAATTTGTATTGGGTGGAGCCAGTGGACTAGCAGTTGGTTGGGGATGACGCGGTGTAGCTGCTTGATGAGGCTGGCGTGGTGGAGCATATTTAACTTGTGGTGCATAATTGACTTGTGGAGGATAGCTGACTTGTGGAGCATAGCTATTATTTGGTGTATAAGCGGCTCTCGGAGGAACAGCCGCAGATTGATTCGTAGAAGCAGTTGCGGGAGGAGTAGTGGAAGTGGGCGCAGGAGACGCCGGGTTGTTTTGAAATCTGGGATCAGTACCAAAGTTGAGACCAACTGCAGGTACTTGGACAGGCCTAGATGCCGCTGACTGTCGCAAGAAAGCTTGTTGAGATTGGTATGATTGTGCATCTATCAAACCACTGTGATAACCATCTTCAGATTTACGAGGCTTATACACATATGGTTTCTCTGACCTCGCAACAAAAGGCGCGGAAGTTCCAGAGGATGGTGCCGGTTGGTTCACAAGTTTGGTAGCAGCCATCTTCTGCATTGCCTGTGCCGCCGGGCCCATATTGGAAGTGTTAGCGGTGGGCATCTTTGTTGTGGTTGCAGAAATTTTGTTCGTGGATGTAGGATATGAGGCTGCATAAGATGTACGTGGCGCAGCTGTAGCCGGTTTGGGAATTGTATCAAGGAAATGACCTTTAGGATTGTGTCTCTGGATCCTTAGATCTTCCGTAAATTGTGCCCTAGCCTCTGTGGAGTTCTTTCCAAGATAATACCAAACTTGGTTCTCCTTGCTCAAATCTAATTTGACCTGTGCCGCATTGCGAGCGATACTTTCTGTATTAAACTCTGCCCATGTGAAGCCCTTGACAAATGGATCTTCAGCTCTTGGAATATCATCAACTTGACGTTTTGTGGTGTTGAGTGACGCTGCCTCAATACGAGATTTTGGCATGGGGATTGCTTTCTCGGATGGCTTGGCGAGAGTAAAGAATGACGCGTCGGGGATGAGAATCCATTTATATTCGACTTCAACGCGGTCACTAAGAGAAGAGTTAGCAAGATCATCATACAACTATAAAATGTTTTCACGAACCCGCGAGGCAGAATATCGACAAGCACTGTCTCTTCATCTTTCCGATTCTCGATGATAGTACCTGCAAATATGTCGCCCTTGTGAAACTGCATTTGACAGACTTCGCCAACCTTCAAGTCCTTGGCACCATTACGAATACGGTCGTCTTCCTCGAGAGAATCGCTGTCCAGCCTCTTATCGCGTTTAATGCGATGGAAGCGACAACTGAATTCGATGCCCCACTCTTTGTACTCGGTACCATCCTCTCCAAACACCGGAATTTCACCTTGCTCAACAAAGACGCCTGCTGCTGCTGCGCAGGTCGCATGATATGCTCTTGTACACTTCTTCTTAGAGCATTGAAAGCATGCACCTTTCTTCGAGCGGCAATAGTTGCACTTGAGGTCAAATCGAGCTTTGGAAATCTCCTTGATGCCCGTAACCACTTCTTGCTTGTCCACTTCTTCAACGATCGTTTCTGGAATGTACTGAGCACACATACGATGTGCCTGTTTACCATCCTCGGTTGGGAGTAGAGGCTCGGAGGGAATGTCGTTGGGACACAAGACACAAGGTTCGTTGATTGGTGCTTTGATGCGCATCCGAATTCTCTTCACATTTTGCTGCTCGTCCGACTCACTCTTGACACGCTTTCTCTTGCGTTGTGATTTGGTTTTAACCTTTGCGTCGCCACTGCTGTCGGGGGGAGTAGGGAGATCTGTCGTTTCATTTTCGTCGTCTTCCTCTTCTTCTTCATCCTCGTCAAAGTCGGTTTCATATTCAGTCTCTTCGCCATTCATTTTGCGTTCTAAATCCCGAACATTGATCCAAACGCTGTCTTGAGCTTGATCACAGTCGCACTTCTTAGCCACCTTTCCATATTCAAGCCAAGATGGTAAACCAAAGTTAACAGCCTCAGCGCAATTGTACCCGAGATTGTAACCAGAATGATATCCGTATGGGAAGGTAATCACAAACTCTCCTGGACGGTGAACAATTTTGTTGACCTTGATGTTATAGTTTGACAACAAGTGCTGAGGTGATATCAAAAATGTTTTGTGACGAAGGAATTCGCTACAAGCTTTAGCATCAGCTGGCCAGATGTTTTTCATCGCAGCTTCGAATCGTCGTGCATCCCCCTGAGAGATACTGTACCATTGCTTCGGTGCGCCAAAGTGAAGATAGTTGATACTATAGAGGTCGACATCCTCCAAATGCCAGGCAAATGTAGCTTTCCACATGCCCAAGTAAAGATATGCAGTGTTGACACCAGGAATTTGCCCGCCCAAATGATCAAGTATATTGGGCAACTTTCCAAGGTTCCATTCAGTCGTTTTATCATCGAACAATGATCCCATCATATCCGCTCCATAAAGTGGTGGGGCATATGTGAGGGTACGCCAATAGTGTCGTTCCAATTCTTCACACCTCTCCGCCGAGTAATCCTCACCCTCTAGCTCGTAATTGAAGTTCTCAAACGCGGCTTCGTCTACTACGCCTGCTTCACCACGGCGATTGTTCTTACGACGAGAAGAAACAGATATGGCTTTAGGCTGTCTTCCCCCCTTTGGTTTGACAGGCGTATCATCCTCGTTTACTTCTTGCTTGACGGACGATGAATCACCTTCGGTTTTCGGAGATATTGGAGTCGGTAAACGATCTGGAGTTCCACCTTCTGAATCGACAGTAGCATTTGTCTTAAGTCTGGACGGCCGGCCAGGTTTTCTTTTTCCTCCCGGTGTTGAAGCTTTTGCTCTAGTTGTAGCTTTAACCTTTTCAACGTTGGCTCTCCTTTCACCTCTCTTGGCCGGAGGTTGATGTTCGCTTTGATCGCACAACTGTCGCCATTGTGGAAGATTGTAAGAACGTTGATGGAGAATGTTAGCTTGTCGGTATGTTCCGCTCTGACCCATGATATCTTGTTTAATCGGATCCTTCACTCTAATCGTTTTTATAGCGTCGTCGAGCGGTGGAAGGGCAGCTTTCCATTCGGGTGGTGGGATAACCTTGACAATACCAGATTTCATACCATATTTATTGACTTTATCCATCTAGACATCGTCGCATTAGCATACACCCCAGGGGGGCTTTGAGGAGGTTGTTCACTCACGAAGAGATTAAAGTCCTTGAACTGAGCCATGGTCGGCATAAAAACAGGGACTCTGCCATCGTCTTCCCAATGTTCTGGTTCAATTGGCTCATCTGCTGTAAACTCGAGATCTGATAATTCTGAGTCGCTTGATGGATCGGTTCTGATAGTGTTGTTGCTTTCTGGTGGCGAAGCAAGACCCTGCGGAATCGCAGATGGCTCGCCCTCACTAGGAACAACTACCTGGTCGGTAGCAGTCGACATCGTGTAGGCTCACATGCGATCGACCATGCGACTTTATTATGCGTGATGTGGTTGTATTATCAAATCGTGAATTTGGGAGAGTAGGTGAAGGTCGTCGAAGTGTGGAGGGGGGATTGAAGAATGATGCGCGCTGTGGAAAAGAATGGATTGAATCTTGGCAGATGTCGAAAGAAACAATTGACAACTTTATCCTATTAAAAATAAAGGCAACTTTAATATCCTCGTTGATAAGGTCTTGGATGAATTATCGGATTCGCAGTTGATTGTCGGATTATTGTGTATGTATATCGTACGGCTACTGAATGAAACAAGACAGGACGATTTATTGAGGTGCGATTTCCCTCGAATGATTCTCCTACTTGCCGATACGAACTAACCTTTATCCACTTTAGCGCATCTTCTTTCGGTTCCCATTTCTAGAACAGTGGATCTGCATTTTTGATAAAAGAAAAAATGGTTCACCGAGATTACTTTTATCTTCCACCTCAGTCTTCGCCATCACTTCAATCACACTTCTCAACGATCTCTACGATACATTGACAAACATGTATTTTATCTCTTGACAATTTTTATCGTTATAATTACCTACCTAGGCAATTTCGGCAATTACAATTCTTTTTATAATTTATCATAATAAAGGACACAGAATTCTTTCTAGACACACCCACGCATACATCACATCAACAGAAATACCAAGATATCAATTACTTCATCGGAGGAGATAGGAAGGGGTACCAACGATCAGCTGCGATCCAAGTATATATGGTGATGTCGAAATTCTTCCCGTTGTATGAGATAAGGAGATAACATACACACACACACATACCTAGTATATACATGTCTACACTTCGGCAGGTCCAAGTATTGCAACTGTTGACGATTCTTGCTCATTGTTTTGCCATCCATTTCCCCTTTTCCCCCTTTGGCTCTGGCATTCTATCCATTCTTCGTGATTTTTTTCAACACTTGATTGCTTCTTCTTACTATAACTATCAAGGATTGATGGTTTTATCTCGATTTATCCCGGTCAGGATCGTCTCATGCAGTGCACAGTTCACCTTCCTGTAAGATGAGCATCATCATCATCTCAACTTATCCATACAGATTTGGATTTCATCATCATATTACATAGGGCTGAGAAGTTTATCTGTACCTACTAGTCTCGTTGCTTTGTACCGTACAGTTTCGGAGCTTGACTTGTGCATCTGTGTACAGTCTGTCCATATCAATCAAGTCAAGTGCGACAAAGAATGATACCACATACATCTCTCAAATCCTAAAGTCATGATTGACTTATCGACCTGGATTCTATGGTATACGACGTTTAATTAGGAAAAGTTGACATGACGTGGGTTCCGGCATGAGATGATTGAGATACTCGATAAGTACTCGTATCTGATAGGAAAATTACCCCTGCGCTAGTGAAATCTCTGTCATCGAACTTGCATCAAGCCAAAACCCATCTTCGTCAAATTTAAGCTTCCATAAGGCGTAGGGCCGAGTGGCTAAAAGCGGTGACACCTTTGCATCTCCACCTAACCTACCCAAGCAAATCTTACCCGTTTTCCCCATGACATCCCGGCAAATCTGGGGAGACATAGTGTCTCACTGATTGGAATCACATCACCACAGCCCAGTCATGATCTTCGGACATGTCCAACAGGTGTTTGTCGAAAAATTTGAATACCAACCTCGCAAACACTCTACTGGCATCTAGCCCTGGGCATTTTCGTCCGAGGTATCGATGTCATCTTGAAAATCCAATCTGATTTAGAACATTAATAGGATCTGGATATTTGGTCTGGCTCGAGAATATGACTATGTTGTTTGTATGATCAACGATATCACTGGAGGCAGGCTAATACAGATGCAACTAGATGTGCAAATTGTGAAAGTGGACAAGAACTGGGCAACGAGCTCACGAATCAAATCGCTCGGCAACATACATATGGCTTGACACTGACTCGTGCTCTATCACGACTGACTCCCCCAAGATTGGAATTGAGAACCACCTCGACTTCAACATGAAGCAAGTTCCTTCCAACAGTTGCAAAGTATGACGATTGTGTTGAAATTTTCAAGTGTTCGTACCCTTTTTATCACTGATGCTAGGCTAATCTTATCTTAGCCCCACACCTCGTAAATAGTTCACACGTCCATTGATCGATTTTTACTTGACATTCACGAACATCACGGCTACAATGTAGATAAGGCTGCGATTTCTAGTGCTTTGGTGTGACCTCATATGATTGATGAGCTACCAATAACAATCAATATGCTGATGTAATGAGATATATGGCAGCGCAATCTCGCCATTGCGCCGTACGCTCAATAACAATCGCATACACAGGATAAACATACAGCTCGGTGTAATGCCGCAGGTATATATCTAGGAGAATAACATCCCATTCATTTTGGAGGCGCGCGTTGCAGATATTATGTTAGAGCCTTTGTGGCTGATAGTGCAGATACAAGAGGGAAACCTCTTGTGACCCTTCCTGCAAAGACTAGTACAAAATATGTAACTACATATTGCTATAAAAAGGTAACCCCTACAACACACAAAAACATCTTGCAAAAACCTCGACACATTTTCTCGTAGACTCTAAACATTTCACTAATGTACCCACTCCACCCATGAATCACAGATCAAACCATTGAAATAAACCCTCGCCTCACGCCATCTAGACCATACTCTATACCCCATACCCCATATCCCATCATCCTAAGATCCAGCAACCTCACAGCAAAAGCAACACCCTCCAACCAAACACCATATCAGACACATATCCACATATCCACACACCCACATAATCTCCTCTTCCAATTTCCCACTTCCCACTCCCCCGTCTTCCTCCTATATCAAATCTCGCAAATCCCAAACCAACATAACCGTAGACTTCCAGCTAACACTTAAACACACGTCTAACACACAATCTAACATTCCATCGATCCCACTCGCATAAATTACAGCACCTCACATTACATCTCCTCGCCCACAGAATCCTCAAGACTACCTGCAGACCAGTGGCGAGGAAAATTCGCCGAACTACGACGTAGAGCTCGAAATAGTAAGATCTCGACACAACACAAATATATCAACCGCGAACCTCAGTTTCGAAATGCTTCGCGGTGAGATTGCAGGGAAGTGATTGGTAGTGAGTTTTCTTACTGAAATGAGGTGAAAGTCAAATAACACTTTACGCTGGATGAAATACTCCTCACTGCATACACAACCAAAAGATCACTCATCACTATCATCACTCTCTCACATGATCATGTATCGGGGTTCTTTTTTTTTTCGTCATTCATACAACCATCATCAAATCATAGGTATCAATCATTCCATTTTTTATCGTTTCGATTTGGCCAGCCCAATCCGATCCGATCCGCTGCGTTCATCCAGCCCAGCCCAGTCCAACCGTCCTAAAAGACCAAGACCAGCGAACCAAAGACCAAACCAACCGAACTTTTCAATGTGTGCCCCGGGTATGAACAAGCAGCCTGCATAAAAGCGCGCAAAAAGGAAAATCAAGTTGGCCAAAGTACAGGAAATGTGTGTTGTGTATGTAATGCCATAAAAAAACGAGACGCTCTCCCATATCGTATTGTACCCCTATGCCATATCCAGCCAATATCAAGAACATGACAGATTCATGCAAATGCTTAATTGTGCTGTTTTCGCAATTGCAAATATTAAATGCAAGAAAAACTTTACCCATTTCGCCTTTGTGTGATGCCATGCCGCGAGAAACAAGTTGAATGAAAGAATCAGGATATTACAAGTTGCGTGAGCTAATGCATCTAGGATTTCACAGTTTGTGAGGCCATAGAGCTGTTTCCGAAAGGTGAATCTATGATGACTCGCCTCTTGGGGCACGAGGAGCACCACGAGGAGCACCACGTCCGCGTCCTCTATATCCATCGCCTCTGAAGCCACCACGACCTCGGCCACCTCTACCACCTCGATGATCTCCACGGCCACGGTTGCGGCTGACTTCATGGAAGCCATCATTGTTGCTGACTGGAGGGGTAGGAGTCTTCTGAAGCGAAGTCATTAGCAAGATACTCTCATTTATTGTACAAATTGGGATCAACTTACTGAACCAGGACTCTCAGGTTGCTCATCGGCCCAGCTTTGAGTGTTAGAAGGGGCAGCAGGAGTAGCAGTAACACCGACATCTGTCTCAGTGGCTTCACGAGGAACCTCGATCCACTCTTGCGATGTAGACAAATCGTTGTTGTTATCCCAATTTGCCTCAGCTGCAGCATTTCCTCCTTCGCCAAAAGCTGAATTTGGGGGAATTCCTTGAGCTTCCTCGAAGCTTGGTGATTGGTGGCCATTGCTCAATGCACTTGTGACGGGGTCATCGATTTCAGTCAAACCGGCGTTAGCGATAGTTGGGTCACTTTGAACAGGATATTCGGCGACTTCGGTTTGGGTTGTCTCTTCATCTGCGAGCTCGGTGGGTTCGGCGACAGATGTGGTTGGCAGCGCAAGGGCAATGGCCTTGATGTCGGCAACTAATATACCAATCAGTGGATTGTAATAATTACAACTACAGGTGAACTTACAGGTTGTGGTAAGTTCTTCGCCGTTGACGGATGAACAGACTTCATTAGATCCTTGGATGATCTTTGTCATGGCAGCTACAGCAGCTTCGTCTCCACTGTAAACTTGAGTGAGAAGCCCTTCAATTCCCTTGTTCTCATCGAGCTCTGGATCATTTTCTGGGCTTCGGCGCAAGGCAGCGAGACAGAGAAACTTAGTGATAAGCAACAAATTACTCTCTTGTTCTTCAGCCTTTTCCTTAGCAACAGAATCCTTAGCAGCCTTGACTTTCTCCTCGAGTTCTTTGCTGGCACGCTCATTGAAAGTCTTTTCGAATTCGGCCTTCTCCAACTGAAGCTTTGTCTTGTATTCTTGGTCGAACTTCTTATATTGTGCGATTTGCTCCTCAAGCTGGGCTAAAGATGCTTGGAGGGATGGCTTCTTCAAAATTTGTGCCTTTTGGTCAGCATTGATCTTGCGAGTAGCTACCAATTCGTCCAAGCTCTTGCCTGGGTTTTCGGCGAGAACATTGTCAACTTTTGAAGCGTTGGTCTATCCGATATATAATTAGCAATTTGCCTAAGGGCGATCAAATGTAGATTGTGTTGGCTTACGATCTTCTTGTTGACATTACGGATGCTCCTAACACCAGTTGTTAGCTGTGTCAACCCCACCAAAGATTGACAAGAATGCCAATGATGGATAAACTTAGATGGCCTAGAAAAAAAATCTTACTTGTAGAGCTCCTTGATATATGGACTCTCGTATGCTCCATCTCCATTGCTGTTCTCTTCAGCATTAGTGGACGAGGCCTTTTCTGTAACAGCAACATCTGCTTGTGCGGCGGGCTTTTGCACGTCGACAGCTTCAGTCTTGGCCTTCTTCTTCTTTGCAGACTTAGATTCCGGCTTAGAAGATGGGTTTTGAACTACGGAAGCAGCCATTGTGAACTTGTTTTGTTGTGTGATCGTGATGTTTGGTTTCGTGATACAGAAATCTCGAGAAAGATAGCTTGCTCGTAAGTGAATGAATGATTAAAATGCGTCGTCTATGAATAAAACGAAGTATTTAATACAAGGAGATGAGGAAGAAGATATTTTCAGGTTTAAGAACGAAGTTTTGTGAGATAGGATTTTTTAGGAAGTGTTGGTATCAATTATCAAAAGTGAGTGAGCTCCAAGATGATGGGGAGAGATGTTTGGATCGGAACCTTGTCAGCCTTAGCGAACGTGGAAGAAGGAAGTGGAATAAATTCTGCCCCCAACAGAAGAAGAAGTAGGAGCAGAAGGTCAACGCATCTAATAAATTTTATAAGGTATTGTACTGTGGAAATGAAATTGAGCTGTATTTAGACATCATTGAATTCTTATTTTATTGTAGTTTAATCATATCAGCCACAAGTGATTGATGTATGGCTAAAAAAGAGTTGCTAGCATCTCCAGCTGGTCATCTTCGCCTTGTCCCCCGAGCTCCGTGAAATTCACAGCCTCGCGCATCAGTCCAATACATTCTTCTTCTTCTTCTTCTTCCTCATGATTGTCGACCACCAATGGTATCGTACCTAGGTACTCTTCGCATCGCCATCTGCCGTCCGATCCATTGTTCGTAGCATCTGTTTTAAGTAGGTACATCTCGTATTCCTCCTTCGGATTCAAGCGCCCTTGAGACCCATACCCTCTTGGAAAGAGGATTCACTTTATCATCTATACAACCACGTATCGAAGCTCGAGCATCATCCCTTAAATTTCGATAGCGATAGCTAGTTTGATATGGTTATTATAGGTATGAGTAGCAAGAGGGTTAGACTTACTTCAGTAACCTTTTTGATACTCTTCGCACTAATGCCACGCTCTCCAGCCTGCTTCGCATTGATACCAGCTTCCTTCATTAACCTGAATCAATTAGACAATATTTCTGGATAACTGACTCCGCAAAATGGAGGTTATCGTGACATACGTTTCGAGAAATAGCATATAATCGAGGAAGATCTGTGATAGTATCAGTGAATGTCCTTTTAGCCCGGAACGCGTCGTAAAACATACCAATACATCAACATTTTTGGTGAGATTACGCTTGGAATGAGCTTTAACGATCTTCTTAAGATTTGCTCGAGGATAGAGTTTCTGTCCTGTAGCCATGCTTCCGGTAATGGCAGATGTTATTCGTATGAAGAAGAATGCTTGCGATAAGATTAAGTTGCTAAGTTTGGTTGTGTACACAGGAATTACTATGATGCTCTCTTCGCGTGTTGTGATGTGATGTGATGTTTGAGTTTCTACAGCCTTGTCATGTGTCGTCGCTTATTGGTTGAAACTTCAAGCTTCCGCCAAGCTTTCATCGGATAAGCTACCCAATTAGGCAAGTGGGCGGTATCGTCCCTTCCCGCACCTGCCAACCTTAGCACCTATGACAAACGGACTAAATTTCCATAGTTACTTCTGATTTACTCCGTACTTGAACTCCGTGCTTTCATCCACGCTTTCCTTCGGCCTTCTTTCCAATTCTTTCTTCTTTAAATACCAGAACTCCAATCAAAGTCCTCCCAACCATTCAAGAACATTCCCAAATTACAAAGTCCGATTCAACGTCAACTGGTTTGACCGTTTCTTGATATCTAGTACTAGATCTCACCACAGTCGTTGAACCATTCACATCATGGCTTCTTCAGCATCCGACCGAGATGTGCTTCCAGATTCGGTCAAGCCTTCTCACTATGCGCTCTCTATCTACGATATCGAGTTAGGAGGAGCTTTTAGTTATCAAGGAACAGTCAAAATCGATATCAAAATCGTCAAGCCAACCAAGGAAATCACTTTGAATGCTTTTCAACTCAAGTTGCATGAAGCAGAGGTTTCTTTCACTTCCGGGAAGACTTCTCAGTCTATTAAGTCCAGTGAGATATCTTATGATACCAAGAAACAACGTGTAACTTTAAGTTTCCCGGACGAGCTTTCTGTTTCTGAAAATGCCATACTAGCAATCAAATTTCAAGGAACTGTCAACAATGACATGGCTGGCTTTTATTATTCAAAATACAAACCTCAAGTCACCCCAGCCGCATCTGTTCCTAAGGTTGATGAGTTCCATTGCATGTATAGCACTCAATTTGAGTCATCTGATGCTCGCAGGGCTTTCCCATGTTTTGATGAGCCTAACTTGAAGGCCACTTTTGACTTCGAGATCGAAATTCCCAAGGACCAAATTGCTTTGAGCAATATGCCTGAGAAAGGCTCAAGAAATTCTAAGGACGGATTTCACTTCATTGAATTCGAGAGAACACCAATCATGAGTACCTATCTCCTAGCTTGGGCCATGGGAGATTTCGAGTACATCGAGGACTTCACAAAGCGCAAGTATAACGGAAAGTCACTGCCTGTCCGTGTCTATACTACCAGAGGATTAAAGAGCCAAGCACAATATGCTCTCGATCATGCACCCAAAGTCATCGATTTGTTTTCTGAAATCTTTGATATTGATTATCCACTTCCTAAAGCCGATTTGCTTGCGGTACATGAATTTGTGAGTCTCAAAATGCCTTTTCATCTGCAACGGCGCCTCTATGTCCAATTACTATCAACCCTTTCACTGACCATTCATTCTAGTCCCATGGAGCGTATGATAGCCCCCTTAGATTTCCCACACCTACTTATGAGTACGTTAGCTAACCTTTTAAATTTTCGGATAGTATGGAGAACTGGGGTCTGGTTAGTTTTAACATTCTTTTATGTGATTGAAGTATTTACTCACTGGTACAGGTCACCTATCGCACAACAGCTGTCTTGTTTGACGAGAAGACTTCTGATACAAAATACAAAAATAGAATTGCCTATGTCGTTGCGCACGAACTTGCCCATCAATGGTTTGGTAATCTAGTCACCATGGACTGGTGGAGTGAACTTTGGCTAAACGAGGGTTTCGCTACCTGGGTCGGGTGGTTGGCAACAGATCACTTCCATCCTGATTGGTGTGTATGGGATCAGTTCGTGGCTGAGGGTATGCAAACTGCATTTCAACTGGACTCCCTACGCAGCTCGCACCCTATTGAAGTACCTGTCAAAGATGCTTTGGATGTTGACCAAATTTTCGACCACATCAGCTACCTCAAAGGTAGCTCGGTAATTCGAATGCTAGCCACGCATCTTGGCCAAAAGACTTTCCTGAAGGGTGTCTCAAATTATTTAAAGGCACATGCTTATGGTAATGCTACAACACAAAATTTGTGGTCAGCTTTGAGCGAAGCTTCTGGTCTAGACGTCAAGGCTATCATTGATCCATGGATCACCAAGATTGGCTATCCTGTTCTCACGGTTGAAGAAGAGCCTGGTCAAATTAGCATCAAACAAAGTCGTTACCTTTCAACTGGAGATGTAAAACCCGAAGATGATGAAACAACTTGGTGGGTGCCTTTGGATTTCCAAGGAAAGGTGGGAGCCAAGGGAGCACAGCAAATCGCGTTTGAACAAAAAGAAGATGTAGTCCGAGATGTCGATGATTCTTTCTACAAGATTAATACCGATACTGCAGGCTTTTATCGAGTCAACTATCCACCGTCAAGACTTGCCAAGTTGGGTTCACAATTGGATCGCCTCAGCTTGACTGACAAAATTGGTGAGTCTAGATCAAGATTTTGATTATCTTATAGTCCAGACTGCAGTTCAGTCCAACAGTGAGATATCATTGCGTCTAATTGATCTCTTGATACGCTCGGTTATTCAATTAACTGGCATATGGATTTCGCTCAAGATTGAATCTGTCCGTACGATCAAACTGCATTCGGACGTTCGAGGCTTTCGGGTTCAGATTTTAGTCTGGACTATCATAGTCCAATATGCTTCTTCATCTTATTCTGATAACTAACACTCTCTTAGGTCTAATCGCCGACGCGGGTTCACTCGCAATTTCAGGACAAGCAGGAACTCCAGCATTCTTGTCTTTAGTGCAAGGCTTAGCTAATGAATCGAATCACTTTGTTTGGTCAAAGATCCTAGGACCAATTGGTACTATCAAATCTGTGTTTTCCGACGATGATGCAGTTTCCAATGGCTTGAAAGCATTCTTGCTGAAACTGGTCTCCCCGGCGGTGGAAAAGATAGGTTGGGAACAGCCTGCAGATGAAGATTTCCTTAAGTCTCAACTTAGACCTCAATTAATCTTGAGTGCTGGTCTTAATGGACATAAAGAGTAAGTTCAGAAGGATTTGTTGCCTGAGTATTTCATGACTGACAAGTTACAGAATTATCACCGAAGCTAAACGTCGCTTCGATCTATACACAAGCGGCAAGGATAAGACTGTCATTCATCCAAGTCTTAGAAGCGCCATCTATGGTCTTTCCGTTCGATATGGTGATAAATCAGAATATGAGGCTTTGAAGAAAGAGTACCGCGAAACAACTTCCATTGATGGCAAAGAAATTGTTCTCCGTGCAATGGGACGTGTTCAAACCCCAGAACTCATTTCAGATTATTTCGAGTTCCTTTTCAAGGAGGTCGCAACGCAAGATGTACACACAGGTGCATCTGCTCTTGCAGCCAATACCAAAACACGTTACCAGCTTTGGCAATACATCCAAGACAACTTTGATCCAGTTAAAGAAAGATTGTGAGTACTGAATGGCACACTGAATAGCTTCTCTATTTAATAACATTACTAATACTTTTGACAGATCTGCTAACATGGTTGTCTTCGATCGATTCATTAAACTTTCTCTGTCAACCTTCAGTGATGATAATGTCAACAAGGAAATTGAAAAATTCTTTGAAAATAAAGACAACAGAGGATATGATAGATCACTAGCAATTATTGGTGATACTATCAAAGGAAGAGCAGCTCTCAAATCAAGAGACAGGGAGGTTATCCTTGAATGGTTGCAAACCAATGGTTATTGCTGAATTCAACCAAGCTATGGATATTCATATTGATCTGATAGGTTCTCGAGCATTGCATCTATTTTCTTAGGAATCGAAAGAAAGAAACATATCTAGTATAAAATTACATCCATTCGTTATCCAAAATTGATGGATTCCCCTTACTGTTTTCTATGTCTGTTTGACCAGTGATCGTGAACCGCATAAATGTCTATGTATTCTTACATCACCTCCCTTCTACATGAACACAGATTGAACGGGTTGTTCAAAGCAATCATGGCTAGATTTCTGTGCGAAGTACTCTTTTTTCGATATCAAGAAAAAAAAAAGACTGAAAACTGTCCAGAGATGTTCGAAGTTTTTCGGATCATTCCCAAGAATGATATTCATTCATTATTCGTACTCATTATATTTGTTGCTGCTGCTCTCTAGTAATAATGACAAGTGGATCGATAGAAAGATAGGGTGTGCCACTTTTTACGGCCATGTATGGAGGTAGCCCACTCCACTTATCCGCCGCCCGACTGCGCATAAAAACAAAAAGTGATCCTTTCTTCCCAAGAGTCAGCACAACCGCTCGAGGGGACGATGGAGAAAAGAGAAATGGAAGCAAAAGTAGTGACCAGACTGGGGCACGATCCCAGGACCTTGTCCGTATTTAACAGGTTTGAATTGTTAAGGACACGTGATAACCAACTACACCATCCGGCCGATGATTGATGGAAGTCATGAAAATTTAAAAACTATATTTTGTCTGTGTGTGGGTATACTGATTGAGGTGTGGTTTAATTTTTCTCTCTCCTACGGATTTTAAATGCACTTTGCTTCTACTCGAAGGGTACCAATTTGCTAACAGAATTTAAGTGCTTATGCTATTTGTATGTGGCATTAATAATGGGATGAATATTCTCATTTCCTGCATTATCTTTTTTGTATATCTATTTTGTAGCGGACAAGTAAATTTTGGCTATTTCTTTCTCCTCAAGGGGTGGGCATAGGTCGAACGAACTAGTGCGATGGAAATGGAAAGACTCGTACACAAAGTAAAGGAAAGGCTAAATTTTGGTCAACAAATATCCAATGGTAATATCAATCTTTCAGTCAGGCTTGATACCTTTTATTCATTCATCTGAGACTTCGAGTTATTTGTGTCATTTGTGTTTATATGATGAGGCAGTTTAGATGCATCCTTCTCTTTATGATTCGAAGATAATAAAAGAGTCTCAAGTTTCATACATTTCGAAAGATGTAAGACAGTGTATATTAGTGGTTTCTTTACAGTTTTTTTTACAAATTCTTTACTGTTGTGCTTTATTTGACGCTCACGAGACACTTGTGAGAACCGTCTCATTCGGCAAGTGCTTGGTACCGATAACTCTCTAGTATCTTTGTCTCGTTTCTGGCCCGATTCGGAATCAGAGATTCTCCATGCTCATAAGTCTTGGTTTCTTTGTTGTTGTGATCTCGCTTCAATCTTTGAATGGAATGGCGAGGCGTAGGGACTATTATTTTTCGCTGTTGTACTATGCATGTTCTTTGAAGTTTGAGGCTTCCTTGTTCGATGCTCAAGTCCCGAGTATATATATAAAGTTCCGCAATGGGATGAATATAACATCATTAACCTTAATTTCTTGTTGTTTCGATTATACATACTTCACTTTGCAAACACTCAAACAATCCCAAGATTTCAATATGCCACCAAAAAGAGCCCCTTGCAAACATATCATTTTATCTGACGAAGAACTGGCATCTGGAATTACCAGTTTAGAACACATACAAGCTGGAGTGGAAGAATTCCATACAAATGGAATTGTCATATTTGAGAATGCCATTCCTCATGATATTCTCGATAAGTTCTACGAGAAGATGAATACGGATGGTGCCAAAAGGTTGGAAGATCCGAAAGTCTTTTTCAATCATGGCAACGAGAAAACCAATTTCTCCATATGTCCCCCTCTATCCAAAGAGTGGCTTGCCGAAGATATATGGGCCAACAAACACGCTTCAGCAGTAATGGAGGCTGTATTTGGGAAACCACAACTAGCATATGCAGGAAGTAATATCAACCTCCCAGCTGCAGATCCAACATCTCGTCAAGCTGTACATGTCGATTCTTACCACGACCATCACCAATTTCCCACCTGCATCGAGCTTTTCATGTACCTCCACGACGTATCACCCACAAATGGCTCCACCGAAATCTGGCCCGGCTCTCACCGCGACTATAATTTGAAAAATCTAGTAAGCCATGGTCGTGGCTGGGTAAAATCATCAGCTTTCAATCGTCGTGCAGAGCATTCTCCTCCCTTCCAACCCACTATGCCTAAAGGTTCCATCGCCATTCGAGATCTCCGTCTCTGGCACGCCGGTATGCCCAACCTGTCAGATCAAAATAGAATCATGCTTGGGTTTATTTATTTCCCTCGCTGGTACCGTAGTCCCATGCGCATCATGCTTCCTAAGAATTGTAAAACTGTCGTGCAAAAATGGACACAGGTTGATGCGGTTGGGGCGACGCAATTCGTGGATGGGGAGGTAGATCATTTGGATCAGACGTTGGGAACGCTGGCCTATTTGAATTTCACACAGGATCCGGAGATGGGGATTAAACAAATTCGGGCCAAGATTGATGTGGAACAGGGAAGAGAGCCGAATGCGGCGTTGGAGGTTACGGAAAAAGATTATTGGGTTCCGGGAAGGAACAGGTTGAGTGATAGAGTGACGGAGGAGGCGGAGGGTAAAAGTTACAAAGGGAGGTCGAGACTGAGTCGCAGGGGCAGGGGCAGAGGAGGGGGAAATTTTGATGCTCTGAAGCCGAGGGGTGGGAGTGTAAAGAAGAGGGCTAGGAAGTAGGTAACGGAAAACGAATCCAAGAATGAGTGAGGACGGTAAAATTGTTGCTATCTCTTAGAGAACTTGTATTTTTATTGTTATTCTCTTTTGATTATGTAGTAGTGAAGAATCTGAACGAATCTGTACTGTTGCAGCTTTAATTTTTATGTACTACTGCCGAGAATCTGATCCTTAATGATCTACTAAATAATACCAACGAAACACCTTTATAGCGCTGCAATGAGAAAATTGCATATAACAATATCCATGCCTGAAAAAAATTCACCAACCAGGGTCTGTCGCCCCATCCCATCCAATTCCATGCTATCAAAAACCAATCCTAACAATTCCGACCGCTACTCCCGCTCCCCTCAAATAGGCGAAACCGGGCTTCCTGATCTCGGCAAAGGATCTCTACTATATGGAGGAACCAAAGATCTATTAGCCCTCCTCATACTCGGCCCTCTAGCATACGGACTCACACTTCTACTATTTCTCCTCTCCGACGACGATCGCTCTAAGAGCGTTTTCGTAATACTCCCGCTCATCATCGCGGCCACGGTACTAAAAATCCATGTTATCCATTGAAGTGCTAACATTACTTTTCCGGGCTCGATATTCATCTCTGTAACTTCTCCGTTTGAATTTGAGGCCGAAAGGGAAGATGGGGAATGGACAGCTAATGCTGCGCCGGACGAGGTGAGCGAATACGCAGCAGCGAAAGCTACAGCAGCGGAACACCAGAAGAGGAGTGTGATGGTAAAGATGTGGGAGGGAGAATTGTTTCCGTTTCTTTTGATGATTCCACGGGCGAAAAAGAGGGCGAGGAGGAAGAGGAGGAAGAGGAGAGCGGACATGGCGGGGATGACGAAGGATATGCTTTTTTGCAGATCGAGTGCGTATTGGAGGGTTGAGTGGGGAGTAGTGAAGTTGTAGAGGGTGGTGAGAATGAGGGGAGATTTTCCGACAGAGGGAGTACAGATGCGGCCGGTGGTGGTGGGGGCGCAGAGGGCTGTGGATTGTTAATAGTGCTACGAGTAGGGGGGTGAGTGGGTGGCTTACAGGTGTAGGAGAATCTAACTCCGTTAGATAGTGAGGCAACGTAGATGTTGTCCATACCGGGTGAGTTGGTTGCACAGCCGATCAGTAGCAGAACTAGAAAAATCACGTTAGAATGCTTCTGACATTTAGCATAGAAAACGTACTATGAAATAACAAGATGGGAAATCCTAAAGCATATAATGCAAATGTAATAAAAGTTACTTTGAACCTCCCTAAGTCTGATGATCAGCAATTACTCAGAGAAGATGATTTCAAGGGGACTTACCCCAACCACCAAGACGTGGTCTCCTTTCTCCGGAAGGCATTGTATTATGATAATGAACTTTCCCCTTTGAATTTGAAAAATTAAAATTAAAATTGATAAGAAAAGAAGTCAGGTTGCGATGCTTCAAGAATGCTGTGAGGCAGTTATACAAGCTAATATAGACAATAGCAATCACTATATGGATAATGTTTGTATTTTAAAGCACCTAAATTCAAATTCCATACATTCATAATACTATGATATTGAGTCATGTGGCGGTAAGGCGGTGGCCAGCATGATCATTAAGAGATATGAGAATTATTGCTGCCCAATTCAGGTCCAAAAATAGGTCTACAGATTGCGGAAACTTTGATCCTAGCTATAGTTTCGTTACGACGACATGCATCAAGGAAGAAGCGATTTATCGACAGGATCGAAATCTGTTTTCATTCAATGGCAAATACTGGGAAGAGAAGTTTTCTCGCTGGGTGTGGTCGGCTGTCGGGTCATATGTCGAGTCTCTTTGCCAGATTTGGTGGAGGAGACCCATCAATAGACCGGGAGTTCCAAGAGGCGAAGTGAGCAATGTTTTTGTCTGCACTGTCTCATGATATGTGGAAAGCAGAAATGAAGATAGACATGCACAGATCGTGTTCGTAAAAGAAAATTTCAGCATCTCAGAAATCATTAAAAAAATTCGAGAAGCATCTTTCCCACTCCGCAACCCAGTGATCCATCCGGTAATTTGGCCATAGGTCGCGACCTATTGGGGCGGGGATTTGAACATTAAAATGAAAAGTCACACGAACTCATCAAGATTTGGCTCGTCATCGATTTGCCTCAAGACTTTTGAGGCAAATTTGTGAAATTCCATGTGCACTCGCCGTGGTAAATGTTTTACTATTCTTTACTGAAACTGCAAAGTTCGCCATGAATGACAGCAATGGAGCTCTAGTATTATGAAGTATAAATAATATATACGTTTGATCCACAAAAATTCAGATAGAGATACCTTATCCCGCTGAGTTGTTTCGCATGTTATGATGTTTTTTTGGAACTCAATGTGAATGACATGGACATTGTCCCAAATTTGTTTCTCCGTTGAAGCATATGGCAGAAAGGCTTGTAATAAGTTGCACACCAAAGCATGATTGATATTCTAATTCGAATTTGAAAATCAAACGCTTTGAATGTTCCAAACAATTAAGATGTTCAAATTCATATTTGAGAATTCAGCTTGGTGTGTGGTTTATGCCATGTAGAGCATCAACCTTGGAGCGTGAAGAGCAATCGCGAGGGTGCGGAACTATCCATGCTCGACTAGGTACCGACACATGATGGTCGTCTGGTCACACATAGGCAAATCTTACTAAGTTCACTCCTCACAAGCATGACCGCACACCTTGCTCTCAAACAAACCACGAGGAAAACATATTATTATTCTATTTGGATAGCCAGCACGACCTGCATGTACTATCTACACAAACCCAGAAACCAAATACAATTGCCATCTCGCCATCCCAAGAAACCGATCCATGGACCAAACATAACCATTCAGCAAATCCCCACCGGAAATTTCTCATTCCTTGTTTGGTACAAACAGATCCATGAACTCGCAAACCGACATACCAAAAAACTCCATGCTTTTGGTTTTTTCTATAATCGTATCGATTCTCTCCTCACTCAGTTTCAATGCGAAATTCTTCCTTGCTTTCTTTTCTATTAACTCTAAACTTTCTTTCCTTCTCGCATGGCCTTGAGGGAAGTGGATGACTATCTCTTCTAATTCGGTATCGTCATTTAGAGTAACCTTGATCGCGTTGGCTAGACTGCGAAGATCTTGATTGTGGTAATCTCTTGTAAATTCCGGATCTTCCTTGATGGTGATTTTATCTCTCAATTCTTCTACCCGAGGATCTTTCGACCAGGAGCTGGTGTTTTGGTAATCTTCAGTCTCGGGCAGAGAATTCTTGAGAAGAGTAATGGCAATCATATATCCAAGACTATGATCACGATCTGAAGGTGTTTGAAGCGCTCCTTGTTTATTCATAATAACCATCGCTGCTTCTTGGGTCCGAACTTGGATACTTTTGATATCGCTCGTGGATACTTCTTTTTCTTTCAATTCTTCGCAGATTAAAAGGGCGGCCTCGAGTGCAGTCATGCCGTGGCTTTCGGTTGTATAGATTTTGAAAAATACGTTTTCAACAACGGAGGTACCAAACGGTCGGGGAAGCTCAAATGTATTGCCTCTGAAGAGAACATCGTAAAATCCAGATCGTGGAGCACTCAAAGCAGTTTTCACACCTGCTTGTCCGGTCTTCGCTATGAGTGCCATTTGTACAGCTCGCATACAGGCATCACCTGCCGCCCAGTTCTTTCTTGGGCCAATGTTGGGTGCTTGACGATATGCACGGAGAGGGTTACCATCAATCCACGCATGAGAGACAGCGGCTTTGGCTTGCTCTTTTGGGAGATCCATGAGCCAGGAGACGACAGCTGTGGAAGCTACTTTGACAAGGATGACGTCATCTAGACCAGCTCTGTTGAAAGCATTCTTGCCTTGAAAACAGCCCTGAATTTCGTAGGCCTTGATTAGAGCGATGAGGACATGACGCATGGTAAGGATGGAATCTTGATCGTCTTTGGAGGTGGCTACGCGCGAGAGAACGTCGGCTGTTGATAAAATAGCTCCGAGATTGTCTATGAGATAATGTCAATAATCCATTTGGACGATGAGGAAAGGAGTGTTGGTAATCATACCAGAGGGATGCGTCCACTCAGCGCCTAAGAATGCATCATTATGGTTGAGGTATCGAATCATGGCTCCCATATCAAAAGCACCCTTCGCTATATCAAGTTGATAATTTGTTCCGGGTAGCTTAAATCCATTGGGAATGGTGTCTGGAGAAGGGAAGGTAGGCCCAACCAATTGAGAGAGTTCGGTGCTTGTGGCAATGCTTTCGAGACCAGCTCCAATAGCATCAAGTAAAGCTGAAGTTGCGCGAGTCCATGCTAAAGGAGATGTAATCTCATAGTCGTATGTGTAGTCAACGATCCTAGTGATTTCTTCATCGTAACAAGTAATGCCATTTCTGTCTACTTTTTCATTCCTCGTCCTGCGAGGAATTGAAGCCGTAGAGGCTGATGTTTGAAGTTCTATCATCTTCATGATGAATGCGGCTAAATCAGAAAACGAGGAAAGAAAAAAGACGTGATTATTGAAAATAGAAGGAAGAATGACAACGATAGCAAAACCGGAGAAAACATCAGGGGAAAGAAAGACTTCATATATAGGTGTGCGTTGAGGCACTTGCTCTCCAACCCAATTGTTCCGATAACATTTTGACCTACATGGAATACTTGGCCCAATGGCCGTTTTGATTGTCACAATTAAGAACGAACCAGGTAGACTGTCGAACTACGACAGACAAAGTTCAAACTCTCCAAGCTATTCAGAGCGTACAAGGTTACGAGCTGAATACTTGGTAGATTTTAGCGTGCGTAGTGTTGTCAAGTACGAACTCCTCTCCTTATTGATTTTCCAGCAAGCAAGTTGCCTTGCATGCTATTTGAAACAAAACCAGGTAGAGTCTCGCAAATGTAGCCCCAGGTTGATTTGAGGATCTCGGTTGGTAGACGTGTATCCATCGGTCATGCATATTTCCCCACTCGGTTCGTTGGTGTCACAACCGCTCATGATTATCCCTGCCAAGCTGCATTGGCGTGCGGCCACGCATGTCGACTATGAAAATTGATGACACGACTTCACCGCGCTAATAAGTGATGTGAATTGTCTCTTTGAATTTGCATGAACTTTTCAACGGACAGTTCTTATCCAATCACGATAGAAGAGTAGGGCCTCTATAAGAAGCACAATGCTTTCTGCTTGGATTTTCATTGGTTCGACTTCAGAGCGAGCATCCGGACTTCGAAGATAAAGCAATCTTCCCAATTACTCATCGTAAGGCAAAAGAAGAATTGATACAGAGCTTGGACAGCAAGTTCATCTGTGAGCCAATGCACTCAACTCAGCCTGTATTCGGAGATGTGGCAAATGGATGTTTTCTCAAATGCTTCTTGAACCGTCGGAGAAGTGGACAAAAAGATTCAAAAACATACAACAGTGGGGATTCGCTGGTGGTCACCCACCCAACTACTAATCCACCGATCTGAAGCTTGTGTATGGCAGAGCGGACGGGATGCCCAATTCTCTTCAGTCTATGGTCGTATGTGGCAGTCATGGGCTTGCTGCAGAATATATTCCAAGTCTTTGTGTACTTATACTAAAACTACACAATTTTCGATACCACAAACCCCTCTCGCAGTTGCTAGCAAATACAAAGTATTTAGCTATTCTGATACACATCATGCATTAGATAAAAAACATCAAGCTTCCCATTAAGATATTCTCAAATAGATACTTTGCACTAGTAGTCATGAGTCTCTTTCTTTTCCCCGACAGTCATTCTGCTCGTTGTCTATCACTTCTTCCGCAACTTCTCCTCCTTCCCCAGTAAGCTCTTCTTGTTCAGTAAGTTCTTCAGCATCTTCAATCCCTGATGACTGATCCTTTTGCTGCCAATTCACCATGCCGTAATTATCTTGAGATCCTTGCGAAGGGTCACCGTGTAAAAAATCCAATAAATTAAACGGAAACATCTCCATAGGGCCACGATACGCTTGATAGCATTGTTCAAACATTTCCAAAGCTTCCTCAAGTTTGTATTCATGGTGCTGATAGCTTGCTCGAAGAAGATATCTATTTCTCCTCCAGGGGTCGCAGAAATTCTCAGGTTTGCAGCAAGTATGAGTTAATCCCATCGATTCGAAGATAAGCATCCTTGTGCAATCATATGAGTATTGCTTCAACTGCATCGGCGATGGATGAGTATTTATTACCCAGCAGCAATAGATACTTTCTAAATACGGCCTTGATTGAGTTAAAGATCGGGATGCTGTAATCAGAATCGATATAGGCGTACATCCACGTGGCGAGCACAAACAATCGCAGTCGTCGTGACCTAGACTGTCCCGGGGCTGTGCAGACCACATCCACACCTATGCTGTGTAAATAAAGCCTCCATTCATCAGAGAAACTGCTTTCTGGAGCATTCGTTCAAGTGACTAGGTGCATCTTAGCGGATCACTGCTTAGTCCCACGTTATATCAACTTTCAGTTCTGGCGACTAGCCATAATCTAATGCCATCAATCGCTACATTTAGGATAATCCATTAACTGAGTGCATTGGTTTTATCACAGACACCGACAGTATCTGCTGTAAAACGTAAGAGCATGAAGATTAATTGTGGTAGGCTTGGGCACCGCCTCCGGTATCCATAGCTGGATCGATCTATACGGTGGTAATAAGGCTCTGAGTAAATAAATATCTTTGTTCGGATATCAAGCATGTCGAAAAATACATGCACCAGCAGGCTGCACAGCCACATACTTGTGTACGACAAGATTGTGTAACTGAAGAATGGATTCTTCCATTCCAAAAAATTGATAAGAATTTTGTACTTCTAAATCACACTGCAAGGATAGAGAAGGAATGCACGTCATTTCAGGTTCAGTTAATTGTCGAGAAGTATTCCCTTTGGGGTGATTGGCTATAATACCCAAGGATGGCCAGTTAGATGCATATAGTTGAAAAAGCCATCAATTGTGTAAAGAAAAGTCAGATCAGTAGTCCGAAATGAACGGTGAAGATTCACAGCCTTCCTGTTCCTATCGCTTATCCTTATAGCCCTTCATTATCGGTGAAGCAATGGTTCGAGCCACTTGTCGAGTTATTGGGTGTCTCACTTTGAGAAGAAGATTATTTGGAACGAGTGTTAGATGATTTTATGAAAGTCCCAGTTTCAAACCTCGCTTTCTTGGATTGAACAGTGGTTTCTGATTGTACAAGCGATTCGTAAGATTCGAGTTGTGTACATCGAGTGAAAAACACTAGCCAAGTAATTCCAGGCACAATATGTTGGAGGCTTCTGCCACATAAATCCAGTATGGACGACATATATATTTGGGAGATCCGCTGCTGTTATGTAAATCATGTGTAGCCCTAAATTGTCGATTTCAACTTTTCGTGTCATCTGCGCATATTTACATGATAGACTGAGTTCTTCCTCTCTAGCCGCAGCGACGATCCGCCCTTGCATACCAAAACATACCATCCCCTCTAGTCCGCACTTATCATGATGTCAAGATTGAACGATCAAATTGCAGAGCCAAGATGTAGAAGCGCCTTCTCCCTCATGAAGTATCGTGATTTGTTGTGTGTCGCCATTATGCAGTAGGCTTTCGCAGCTCGTTTGACAATCCTTCCATGCGAACATTCCCAGACTCTGAGGCTGGAGTAATTTACAGCGAAAAGTAAGAAGGCTTAACAAATTTGCCCGTTTATGTTTCACTTCTGCATAGTGTTACACAAAGAACGTATGTTGGTGCCTAGAAAGAATACGTACATGCAGCCTCTTACGCCAAGTCGGACTAAACCAGGACAGATCTTACATCTTTTAGTCGCAGCTTCGACTTCAATCTCATACACTTTTCAACCTCATTTATCTGTCAGTCGTTGCCACTAAGCATATAGTTGGGCTTGAATCAGCTGGAACATTTCTAAAAATGTGAGAAGTGATCAACCCTAGATCTTGGGAATTTTTGCTAACATGCGGAGTTTCGCCTAGCAACTCTCATAGCAGAGAGTCGCAAAATCTCTCATATGTGATGGTTGGGTAATCGATAACTCGATATTGATCATAGATGAAGCAGACATTCATTCTCTAATTACAAGCGGAAGCTTTTCATTGAAAGAACCGTATTATCAAATATACAATCTGGTGCGAGAGCGCCGACCTTTCTAGTGCTTGAACTAAAATATCAACTTGAGACTTTGTTTCCGTCATCGAAAAGGGAGAGAGCGGGGCCCCAACATCTCAAAAGCCTCAATAGAAGAAGAAAAGGATCTGCATGCAGGTGACAGACCTGATTCTTTATGCTCAAAATTCCACAACTTTGATCAGCAGGCTCAACTACAGAATATTAAGAACGCGGCAGAACTTGCCGTCGACAGGTAAACTACACCTTTTGATAGAAAAATGCTGTGACGTTTGGCTTTCATGCGCTGGCCACAATACTCCGAGAAGATTATCTGCTTGGAATGTCTAGCACCGCTGAATAAAGGCTTAATGTCTATATAAGAGTCCCTTCTCACAACAAAACCTGATTTTCGATCATCAATCTAACAACATATTGCAGACTTACTTCAAAGTAGCCAAATATAAAAGCTTCATCATGCAGTTCAAGCTTACATCACTCCTCATTCTCCTGCCCCTTTCCCTTGCACTACCCGAGCCGATTGCGGAGCCAGTTCCAGAGGCTGGTTTCAAAGAAGGAAGCGCCGTTACACCCCGTGATGGGCCCGATACACTCATAGCCCGCGCTTGCTCCTACAACACTGGCTGTACATCCCAAAGCGGAGCCAGTGCTGGAAAATATTGCGGTTTTTGTACCCAAGTACGCGGAACGTATCATGTCGGTGACATCTATCAGTGAGTAGTTTCCCTTTCCATTTGCCCTTTTAGTACCAGGGCTGCATGTTCAAATCTTTCTTGCATAGCACCAAGTGATCTGTAAATGATAATAGTTGCTAACTTCGGCTTTTAGAGTCAATGGTGGCTCTGGGTCCTCGAGCTGCTGCAGTTATGGAGCAAGCTCGGCATGTGCTGCACGTTGGCCAGCTGTCAGCCCAAAGTAAGTGAAATTCATGTAAGAATTTATACCAAGCTGATAATTCTAGTGTTCTTGTCAAATGCGCCAACAATGGTAGAGGATACTAGCTGAGTGGAGGCCTTTGATTAGCTGGAAAGCTCACTCTTTTTCCTGATCTAAATTGCGAAGTAGACTGCCGAGCAGACTTGGAGGTTTTGCTTTACCCACAGTCTTTTCTTGTGGAGCTTGCGAATGAACGTTCCAAATCTATGTATTCCTTGCGTTTTGTTCAATGACATTCTTTTGGTATTACGTAGCCATAACCAATGAAACAAAGCTCTGTTGAGTACCCAGAATTACGGAGCCATTGCTGTTGCTAAAGGGCATCCGTACCAACATTTGAATTCAATGCTGTGAAGCATCTTGCTTAATGTTGCATAAGAAGGAGCTGTTTTAACAGAGAAACAAACATAGAAAAAAATTATTACAAGAGAGTGCTGGTGAGAGATTGGCTAGTGTACAGGCCACACGACAGGCAAGTGCAAGTAAACTCAAGAGACAAGATGCAGGGAAGAATATCTCCAAACCAAACCTTGACGCCAGCCGCCCAAGTATGTTAATGTAGACAATCAGTGAAAAGATGGGTGGATGTGAGGTTCGCACTAGAATTGTAGAAATTATGCTAGGAAGCCTGAACAAGAAGACGTGAAGTGTCGCCATCGAAACACTTCCATCAATCCGGCAAACTTTCCATTTTCGCAATTCGCGAGCGTAATCTTCAAGAATATCAAGTTGAGTTTTGAACTGTGAAAATATAAGAACCTTTGCGTATGTATTTGCCTCTGAGAAAACATGTACCCAAGAAAGATACATGCTTTTGGTTTGTGGAGTTTCTCCGATTGTGTTGACCTGTCTAGACAAACGAGAAGAAAGGGGAGGGGCGTGTGAAAAGTGGGCCGAATTGGTCATCGATATCAACAGTACAAAAGTGGGTCGTCAGCCTTGCATTGAAGGCTGCCGAGCTCGGCTTCAAAATATATTTCTAACCCCTCCAAGATTCATGACTCTTTATAATTAAGCAACAACCACATATCACAATGCCTTCTCGTACAGATTCCCCGTTCAACTTGCAGACATGTGCTCGACCTAATATTCTTGCATTGGAGCCATATCGCTGTGCACGAGAGTCAGTGTTCTACAATCCCATCTATGTCTGTTTACTGACTCATATTCTCATTTAGTGATTATAAAGATGATGGAACAAACATCCTTCTCGACGCCAATGAGAATGCTTACGGCCCATCTCTTCCAGACAGCGTTACTTCGAACCAATCCCTCAATTTCCTTGGGCTGAACCGCTATCCCGACCCTCATCAACATCCTCTCAAATCTCTCTTATGCAAATTGCGCAACACCCACCATCATACCGATTTGCCCCTCCACCCTCTCAACCTCTTTCTCGGCGTCGGTTCCGATGAAGCAATTGATGCTCTTCTCCGCTGCTTCTGCACACCCTCAGTCGATTCTATTCTCGTCTGCCCGCCAACTTATGGCATGTATAGTGTATCTGCGCAAGTCAACGATGTAGCCCTCGTTAAAGTGCCATTACTACCAGCTCCTGAGTTTGGTCTCGATGTTCCAGCTATTCTTGACACACTGTCGAAACCACAACCAAAGCCCATCAAGCTCATATACATCTGTTCGCCTGGAAACCCTACTGGATCCTTAATTCCAAAAGAACAGATTGAGCAAATACTGTTACACAAGACATGGAATGGTATAGTGGTGGTCGATGAAGCATATATAGATTTCTCACCTGAGGGATCATCACTTGCAGAATGGGTGAACGAGTGGCCAAATTTAGTGGTGTTGCAGACGCTGAGTAAGGCATTTGGCTTAGCTGGTATCAGACTTGGTGCGGCGTTTGCTAGTGTTGAAGTTGCGGCATTGTTGAACAACTTGAAGGCACCATACAATATTAGCTCACCTACAGAGGCTCTTGCTTCTCAGGCGTTGAAGGAAGACGGATTGTCAGTCATGACAGCACATAAAGAGAAGATTGTGGAACAAAGAGAGCGGTTACTAAATGAATTGCCAAAGGTCAAGGGTGTGGGGCGATTCAGAGGTGGCGTAGCCAGTAATTTCTTGCTCGTGGAGATTTTGAATGAGAATGGGCAGCCTGACAACGAGGTTGCAAGAAAGGCTTATGAAAGCTTGGCAGAGAACAGGGGAGTCGTGGTTAGATTCAGAGGAAAGGAACATGGCTGCCTTGGTTGTGTGAGAATAACAGTTGGAACGGAAGATGAGGTAACGAGGTTCTTGGGACAAATTGGTGGAGTTATCAAAGAGGTTTGGAAAGGTGAGGGAGCGAAGGTAGAAAGCGCTGAGGCAGAGCAAAAGAAGGAAGTGGCAGCTAATAATATCTTGGCATAGAAAAGAAGGATAGAAATGTAGAAATGATATAGATACCATACCTTGTTTGGGAATTCGCACATCTGGTAACACAAATTCTCCAACCTGACAATCCTGTGGAACTAAGTTGCACAACTACGAGGATAATGTAGCCATATTCTGTAAGGCTTTAAAGCAGATCTCGCATTTGAAGTTGCCCATTTCCGCGATATCTGGGTAGGAACATTTCAAACCGGGGATAATTACACATCTCAACCATACATGATTCCAGATTCAAACTAATGATATCCTCTCAGGGGCTCCGAATTTTTAGAGGGGGGCAAGCAGCATTTTGAGCTTTCTGAGATCGGGGAAGTTGTTGAAGCTAAAGTTTCCGAGGCTACTTGACGTTATTAAGTTTTTGCTCTTCAGGAATAGCACGAGGATTGTATGGATTCGAAATTTGCAGTGGATTGTGGGATAGTTGGCTTTGCATAAAGCAGAGCCGGGTCAGTTCCATGCACCGGATGTAAAAGAGACCTGATATAGTACGTTTCCATTAGTTCATTAGGTCATGCTAACGAAACTAAAAGACAGTTCTAGACACTCTTATTATCATGTTGACGTCTCATGACTGTAAAAGACAAATGAAATTTTGAAAACCACTTCTCTCAACTGACATCCCATCCACATGCAACGGCCACCTTGATACATTATTAAACCTCCTAGGATCTGATTTGAAATTGGAGAACTTGTAAACTCTCCTCTTGTAGGATCACCATTCATCATACAATCAATTAACCCTCCATACCATTTCCTGGAGACGAAGCGAAGAGAACAGTGGAAAACAAAAACAGATGTGACCACCCAATTGTCGGTATGTGGCATTGTATATACGTCAGGAGGTTGAAATATACCACATCATACTTCTTTTCGTATCCAATCTTAGATATTTTGGTGTTTCCAAGAATCCTAGGGTAGATAACAACTCACAAGGAAGGACGACTCAGCATATAGTCCATGCCAAGCCATTTCTCATGGTTAACTCCATACTCTCCCTCACAATAATCAGCAACAAATGTATAATAGGCCTCTTCGTCTGAGATCAATTCATCCAGCTCATTCTCAGCGAGACCCCATTCTTCTTCCGGCAAATCATCTTCGACTAACTTGGGTGTATCATCATCGGCGTCGACGTCACCAAGTTGACCAGCAACCTTAGCTGGCTTAGGGCGATACTCCTCGCATGGGGGGTGTTGATAAGTCACACCTGGTATATGAGGAAAGTTGTTACACTCGCAACGTTGATACTGACCCATGTGTGATAGTTTACCATCACGAGCCGCTCCCACAACCGAAACGGAAGGGACTCTCCAAGTACAAGTCAAATCCCACTTCACGTCTGTAAAACCTCTGACTATTTCGTGAGCCCCGCAGAAGGCGCAGAAAACTGGAGGGTGAAGGCGTATATTGGCAGGAATGTCGTGAAATGTAATTTCCCCTTTCTGATAGGGGTTAATATCTTCAACAACCACGTATAGTCTCTTCAAGGAACTGAATCTGGCGAGTACATTTGATGTAGCGTGACAGAAATATTCCATGCTGTTGGCTGAAAATCCCTCGGGTACGTCAAAATAGATCGAGTTGACAGCTACTCTTGTAATTGATTTCAAATCCTGTCTTCCTATTCCCATCTTACCAAGCGGACCAATGCCAACATGTTCAAACCAACCGTTCTCCTCATATTTATAGCCCGTAAGCCAGTCGAAGAAGTAGACAACATCGATATCATATCTCATGTAAATATTCGCCGGGTAGGATGGTGTTGGAAAGCACAAGTTGTAGACTTTTTGTGCAAACGATCTGGCTTCTCTATTCTAAGGAGTTGACTTGTTAGCAACATTACTATCATGATATTACAGGGGATGAGCAGGGTACTCAATAGTCCGGACGGCAGTCCAACAATCAAAAAGTTTAAAACATTGATTCCCTTTAAGTATCGAGCTTATCTCAGGCAATGAAATAAATTTGATTATTGGATCATATTTTAATAATGGATTTGTGAAATTGACAAGTGAATATTCGAAATCCCAAAATTAAAATCCTAGATTGAGCTGCAGTCCGGACTATTGGAAAAACTGGGATTAAGCATCTTGACGATGGCTTTTCCGGATAACAAAACACAGGATATGAAGACAGATCAAACTTACTGTGTGCAGTAGAGAGGGTGGTTTAGAACGGAACGATAAGTACTTGTCCTGGTCTATGTCGTAAATTACATCAATGATTCGGGCTCCAGGTAAGGTCCATCTCCATATCATTTCGCGTAACTCAAAGGACAGCTTCTGAAACTTTGGAAATGTGCCAGGAATTACTGGTAAGACCGCATTTATTGATCCAGGTTGCATAATTCCTTGAGATGAAGAAGAACTCATTCTCGCCTATGTAGTCCAAGATGAGAATTAAGATCGGTGCTTTGAAGAAAATGAAGTATTTGTCTGTGGTCGGTAGTTGTAAAATTGGTTGCAATGTCCACGATCTACAATAAGAAGGGTGTTAGTGGATATTGCTAGCGAATGAGATGGGATTCATACCTTACTTGCAGAGAGAAATGACAAGAAGATACCAGTAGTATCGTGGTGTCGGACGAAATATTCTCAATGTTATGTGCGAGATAATAGCCCAGACGTTGTCTGTGTGAGAAGAAGGTTGCAATATGCTTCAAGTGGTGTAACTAAGGAGGACTGTCGTTGAAGCTTCTTTATCATGTGTAGAATAAGGTAGATTGCTTCTTTGTGCTCTTGGTGTAATATGTCCAATTCACAGTATGATATTCTTCAGATGAAACATAAAAGTCTCAAGCTAAAGTCTGCGATGGTATTTCGACTAGGAGATGGTTGTCAACTGGTTGTTCTCCGAACCTTTTTGTTTATCGAGAGAATCAGATAAGGTAATCAAGTCAACCTCGAACATATAAACAATTCCCAATCAAAGTAAATGGACTCGAAGAGAGAAGGTGCATTGGGTCCGTGCGACATCAAATAACAAACACCAACTTCCTTTTCCTAAAGACCTTCAACTTCAATCCACTTTTACCTTTTTTCATTGTCAATTTCTACATCTCGAGATGATTTCTGCAAAAGAAAGTCGACATGAAAGTGCGTGGGAGGAAGAAGCTTTACTAGAGCTTCTCTTTAGAGCACCAGATTTAGTAACTGATGATGATCTACTAAACATATCTTTGAGCAACTTAGCTAAGAATGTGAACGATGAATCACCAGCTTCTTTGATCATGAGAATATATTGCCGATGGCTCGAAGTCCATCGAAGAAGCTCATTACAACTATTTAAAGCTTGGCCAAACACGATCAAACAGTGGGTGGAATCATTGGAGCACCGTGGAGTTGACAAGGAAGCAGTAATCGCACACGTTATAGATTGGAAGAAATCCAATGGTCCTTCCACGCTCAATGGCCCGAAAGGATGGATTGAGGAGAAGCACCTTCCTTCCGTTGATGAGATTGAAAAAGTGTTTAATGAGAGATACGGCTTAAACAAAGATAAACCTTCGGATAAAGGATACTCTGACAGAGGTGAGTATCGATCGGACAAGCCCTCGAGTAACTCGGATCTCGGAGGCAGCCGTTCAGAGTATATCCCACCGAGTTATATCTGCAATCGATGCGGGAAAAATGGTATGAGCCCCTTTTGAGATACACTCTAATGATAAAGGTCTTCATCTCTACCATGAAAATCGCATACGAGAGCAAGTAATGACTACTAACATTGAATAGGCCACTTGGTCAAAAAATGTCCAACAAATATGGTGGATAATCATGATCAAAGCACAATGCGGAAGAATGCTGATAGATTTTCAGGATCCTACTTTTGACAAAAAGCCACCGGGGTCGTACAAATGCTCGATTTGTAACAAATTCGGAAAGCACTGGTATTCCCTATGCCCAGAGAACACCAAAAAAGACTCCATCACCCAAAAACGTCTGGCTGCCGGGATGAAAGCCAAAACTCAACAAAGAACCTTGGATAAGAGAGACGACTCTAAGGCAAGGCAGGGGGGGATGTCAAAATCAAACAATTTCGAAAACGAAGGTGCGGAGTGGGATTCGAGTCAATGGCGAGGTGAAAACTTGGAGACATTTAAGAAATCTAGTTCCTCTAAACGAGAACAAGCAATGACTTTAGATGACGATATCGATCGAGAGCCAGAATTGCCAACTCGTAAAAACATGCTTGAACAACTTGCCGATATCGAGGAACGCATACACAGAGCCTCCGTGGCTATGGCAGAAGATACCGGGATGTCAATGGAAGGGGTAGCAGAAGTGACTGGTGTGTCGATCTCCAATGTGGCCTCTACCATCATGGCAGCTAATCGCAAGCGTGCTCGCTCCATGGAAATGAATGATATTGATTACAAGGAGCATCAACGTACCACCAGACAAAAAGTTGAATATGATGATAGAGAAGAGCTGATGCAAGGTGTTGATGACACAAGACCCTTACACTTGGACACTGAAAGACATGACGCAGATGCTAGGGGAATACTCAAGGAAACGGATCCCTACACCGCAGAATTTGAGTTGAGCCAAAAACTTCCAGTCAGAAAATCGACAAATTCAACCGAGAATTCTGTGCAAAGCCCACTCTCTGATATGAACATGCGCCAGCGAGAGGTTTCATCTATGGATACTTCTAGCGAAGATGACATCCGAACTCCTGTGGATGATATGGAAGCAGGGTGTGACTCGCCACGGGTTCGTTCAGACACGCCAGAGAAAATCTATTCCGATTTTGTTAAGAGCCTAATTGCAAATCGAACAGAAGGTCAAATTGTAAACCTGAGAAGAAGACGTCGCACAGCGGTAGAGCTATGGGATGAAGACGACCAACGTCGCATGGGACAATTGGATGTGTCAACATCGTAAGTTAAATACCCGTTGTCCAAATGGGAGTGTGAGATAATTGTATTAACAATCATCAGATCCCGACAGAGCTCTTCTCCATTGTCTTCCGCTTCATCAATGGATTCAGATCATACCTTTGATTCACCTGGCCGAGTTTCAAGTGAGATTCCTTACTTCATTCTTGACAAAAATACGTCAGCCTCCCCAGGTTCCGATATTGAAATGCAAGAGTAAACATCCGGGGACCATGGACATGTTAATGATGGTAACACCTCGACGGATGCTGCGGGCGATCAATCGTTGTAACGACAGCTGTTTTTATATGAAGGGAGTTTTGAAAATTGATGATACGGCGGATGTTGAAAACAATATAAGCAGCTACTTCGCAAAATCTGGGCTGTTTATTAAAGTCTGCACAGACTTTGACAATCATTTTGCTTTTATAGTAGCTCTTTGATATTGCTGTTGTATGAAAGTTGGTAATTAGGAGGTATGGTACACTGAGTGATAGGTGACAAGAGAAGAGCGTTTTAGCTTGCTATTTGTGCAAGGAGAGAAACATATGAATCACAGTACCTCAATAATGGTGCCACTCGCGTGACAAATCTAGGTTTTGACTGTAACTTCGCCTTGCGCCAGTTTTTATGCCTGCAGTTGAACTCCTAAACTCCTAGCTTTCCCTTTGGTATCGACTGCTACTAACTGCTTACTGCCATTACTGTTGGCTAATTTTAGTAGACCAGCCTCTTATGTTTCCGCAATCATTCCAATTTATCCAGATGTTCCAACCTCGTCAAAACAACTTGTTTACTCGTCTCCTCAATTTCCCCAGCCAAAAATACTTCATCTAATATGGCGTACACCTATTATCGCGAAAAATCAGTACTATTCTATTCCCCTTTCATCTCCTCCTTGCACTCTCTAATCCGAAATAGTTCCCTCGGAGGGGAAACATACCTTATAAAAATTAAAGACCAAATCCAATTCACACACATTCCCAAAAAAGCTATCGAGCACCTCGACAAAAAAATGTATAGCCTCTAAATACGCCAACTCATTATCATTCGCATCGACGCACGCGCAGAAGAACAGTCCCGCATAGCGACGATAGACAATTTTATTATTGCGAAACTCGACGAAATTCGATTGGTATTTTTGATCGCGGGGCGCGACGAGTCGATGCACCTGGTGCATTGTTAGATTGATGTTGGGAAATAGGGGGGAGAATGAATGTACTTCGCCCTTGAGCTTGATCTTCTCTTCATCGTTGTACGGAGCGTACCATTTCGCGAGCCGGGTTTTACCTCTGTGTATAATGGAACATGTGGTTAGGGATGAGCGGGGAGAGGATTGGGTACTGGTGATCGGAAGTACTTACTGGCGGTTTTGTATTAGGATGAAGGAGAGAACCATTGTGTAGATGGTTATGGAGCTTGGAAGGGGAGATGGTGGTGAGGTAAGGTTATGGGAGGTCCGGATATTACGGTGGTCGAGATGTGATCGTGGGGCGGTTTTAGTGTAGTTTGGAGTCAAACGAGAGATACAACACAACATCTAGGGGTAATTTACGAACGTCACTTCGATGGAAACACATTCTACAATTATATTTTTCCGCTTGATGTTGGTCTAAAGTACACTTTGGGTTCTTCATATATGGTATTATACTTACAATCTGCTTTGATCTCATATGATCAATTCCCAATCTCAAGTTCGAACAACTGCTTGGGAATGAATAGAGCCCCTTTTTGATCATTTTTGAGTTCGATTCATTGCGGACAGTTTTACAAAGCAGTTGTGAAATTGAATTTCGGATTTACATAGGTATTTCTTTATGAGTTACATACCTATTCATGTTTATCACACTGAATTGTTCACTGTAACATCCAAAATGATAAATGTTACTTCAAACAAGAGTTGCAAATAATTTGCTCCAACCATAGCAGGATAGTTGAACTAGATGGCGTTGGGCAAACACTAAATTCTGCTGGATTATAACGGCCTTCATTCTCTGATGTATTTCGTTGTTATTCCGGCTATTCCGCTCTGTGTCATTGGAGGAAGAAAGTAGCTTTTCTTTAACGACAGAGATATCTCGTCGCAAGTTGCCCGAGTCTGGCATGAGCATGGCTCTCTCTCTCTCTCTCTCTCTCTCTCACACACACACACACACACACACACACACACACACACACACACACACACACACAATTACGTGTCTATACTGCAAGCTCGCAAGTGTTGCAAACTTCTAGCTTTCTGAGCTTTTGCGTGGCATTGATCGCGAGCTAACTCATACTCCAAGCTCTGCCACTCTCACCATTGTAAATCTCATCAAAGTCTTTTGCGTCGTCAGACTCTCAAGAAATTCATTTCTACACTTTTCAGGTACTTTGAAGCACGAGGCCTACATAGCTCAAAATCCGGTGAAACATTGTTACTACTTATGCTCAGCTTTTTCAAAGCGCATTTGATGGCAGCCGCTTGGATGACAAATTTCTCTCGACTTAGAAGTATGTTGTAGATTTCAAGAAATGTCTCCCACTGTTGTTGACCAAGACATTCCAGAGGCTCAACAGGAGCTTCACACATATCTTTTTAGCAAAATGTAATTGCACCGATCCTCCAGAAAACATGCAACGTTCACTAATCTCTTGCATATTTCCAGTCAAACTCTCTCTTCTCTTTGCCATACAAGTCCAGGATTCGTGGATCTAAACTTTCTAATATAGGACTACGAGTTCCACTATGAGGACAAGAAAGCTCTCTGAGAGGTCGTGTTGTAGTTCCAGATGGACATGGGCTCCATGAGTGATAGTTCCAATTAGCAATCAGCACCAAGCACCCTAGAATTCTTTGAATGAATGCCCTAGACTTCGCGTCGTCCTCATGCACGTCAGTTAACCCATAACAGCTCTCAGTATGTCGACGAATCACCTGAAATATTAAGCATGTAATCAATAACAGCGCCTGAAGAGATTGAAAGATTTTAGTTAGAATTCTTCAACTGTTTCCTAGAAATTTCGTATCCCAAGCAATACCAGTCATCTCCAAAAAATAAAACAGACATCCCAAATTAAAAACTCTGCAAGAATAAAACAACAAGCAAGCCACTTCTTGCACTATCATTGTCACAGAACCTTCTACCCTCAACTCCCTCGCCCCCTAAACATTCCACCAGCTCAAATACCATAAACCCGTAAAATTATTCGCACTCTCCAATTCCAAGTTCCAACTACCTACCCACACACACAACGTATCACCTTCTCTCTTGCACGCATGTCCTCAAATCCCGTACCGTACACTTATTTATTATAGTTGGTAGGTCGCTACCAGGCCAGATATACATAAACAGTATATATATATGTATATATATATACCATCTCCATTTCAGATCCGTACCATCACCAACATCAACCTCAACCCCAATTCCACAAACACACATAGCAATCAGAGCCTAATAAATAGGTACTAACCCGTTACTCTCAACATCCATCATGACGTCATCTCGTTTTCACAAAATGACTTTCAGGGTATTCACACCTAGAATGCCTTGCCTGGGTCCACACACACACACACAACTGTCTAGTAGCTATCCTCATCCAGAATATCCCAAACAAATCAGAGATTCCAATATAATGAATATGTAACATACCTACATAACATACCTATATAATATATCTACCTACCTACCTACCTACCTACCTACACACTTACACACTCACCCATCTAGAATCCCCCCGCGCACCACCACAAACCCAGTAATCCCCATCCCCATCCCCATCCACATATCCTCATCCTCATCCCCATCCTTCATCCCCCATCCACACATCAAACATCACATCAACAATCTCCAAACCAAACCACTCCAAACCATTCCAAACCACTCCTTCTATCGATTTCAACAAATCTCCAATCAAGCTCATCAAGCTCATCAAGCTCCTCAAATAATTACAAACTAGACGCTTATGAACCAGCACATACCACATACCACATACCACATACCACACACCACCCACCCCATTGCCCATCCCCCCCAAAACCCAAAACCCAAAAGTCCCAATAATTCCCAAATGCCCCCCCCCCCCCTATATACAAAATATCCATTTGCACCTACACCTACACCCACACCTACATCTACACATACATCTATACATCCAAAAAACAAAACACCTTCAAACCACCCACCAAAATACCAATACAATACACACAAGTTCCAATCATCACCATCACCATCACCATCACCATCTCCATTTCCAAACCCATCACACAGCCCTCACTATCACTCACCACCCAATTCCCCATCTACTCTACAATTACATCATATCATACCCCATCATATCATATCATACCCCATCATATCATACCCCATCATATCATACCCCATCATATCATTTCATACCCCATCATATCATTTCATACCCCATCATATCATTTCATACCCCATCATATCATTTCATACCCATCATATCATTTCATACCCCATCATATCATTTCATACCCCATCATATCATTTCATACCCCATCATATCATTTCATACCCCATCATATCATTTCATACCCCATCATATCATTTCATACCCCATCATATCATTTCATACCCCATCATATCATTTCATACCCCATCATATCATTTCATACCCCATCATATCATTTCATACCCCATCATATCAAATCATAGCTTCCAATCCCTCCAATTCAGACCCCCAACTCATCAAGTTTCAAGAATTTCAGATCCTAAATCTCATAGGGATGAAGTGTTTATGCCCAGCTACCTACTTGGATACTATCCATGATATAAGACAAGATGAGATTTCGCTTACCAGAACAGCAGAGGAGAGAACGCATTATGAATCACAATACCAGGAGTAGGGCATTTCGGCGCCAGCTTACTGTTCACTGACCGGTAACAAAACAAGTCAAGGTATGCGAGCTCGTGAACATGTCAAAAATTGTACTCTAAACCTCATCCAAACCTCGAAACTACTTTAATGCAGAATTAAACACATTCACAAAAACTAAAGATTTTTAAATTTTTCATTTTAATTTGGAAAAACGCAAAAAGAACTATAATGCCCTTCCTATGTCCGTAAAAAACGCAAACGCTCCTTATAAAATATCATCAATAACCGTAACGTCATTCCTACCCACCCATTTCACTCCATCCCATCCATCCATTAGAAGATACCCACTTGGAACCAACCAAAAGGCAGCGACCGACAGAACTAAAGAAGTCGCACAACTAAATCAAAAAGTAAGAGAAAAAGCTTCACAGACAACAAATTTTGCCGTGCATTTCGTGCTAGTCCCTGTATTTCCTTCACCGGATCTCGTAATATGGTAATTGTCGTATGCATATCAATCTGCGTGATTCTCGCTGACTCCTTGTGTTTCTTCAGCTAATACCATGATATAACTTTTTGCTTTTGTATCTCGACCCCTCAACTGAGGATATATTGACCTCTCTTATGAGAGTTGTGGGGAGTCTCCTTTCCACGATGTGTTGCATTTGCGGTACATTTATGCAGCAATGAGTGGCTCCTCCTCAGCAGCAATTCCGGATTTGAACTCCTCCTTTGGGGCTGTTGGGAAATCTTCCTCCTTGATACCGTTGGTCTTGGCAGTTGGGGAGGCGACTCTGCTAGCTTCTGGAGATCCGGAGCGGCTTCTAGCACTTCCGATCATTTCTTGTGCCTTGTGAGCATACTCTCCAGCATATTGCTTGGTGGTCTCAGCAACGTGGGAAGCGTGTTGACTAGCAAGTTGCTTGACTTGTTCGGTTTGTTGGTTGACAATGCTCGAGATTTGAGCAAGAGTGTTGTCGATGAGCTCCTTGTTGGTCTTATAGACAAGTGGGGAGATGAAGAGAACTGAAGTAGCGATGAGAGTGAGACCCCAGAATGGAATGAGCTTAATCAAGTAGTAGGAAATGAAGGATCCGATCAAGGCCTGTTTAAGTCAGTACTTCATATTTTATGGCAAGGAATTCGAGGAATTCTTACAGTGAGGGAAACAAATACATTCTCGGCAAAGAGAACACGTTGTGACTCAATGACGAAGAAGTTGATAAGTTCATGGACATCACCGAGTAAGCTATCGAGAGTCTCTTTGGAAACTGTGTAATACTTCTTAGGTCTGAATTGAGAAGTGAGTCCATGCGAGAAAGCTAGCTTTCCAAGACCTTCTGCGAGAACAGTCACAAACAAAGTCATATATGTAATCTTGAATGAATATCGGAGGATGTCAAGATATCTGGCGGCGAAGATGAATGCAACGGTAGAAAGGTATGCGATTCCAGATGCACGAGGATTCTCCCACGATAACAAGTTGTAGAAGAAGGAATGGTAATGTGTGAGTTGTTGACCGGTAGCTGTTTGAGTGGTAGGGGTGGTGCGAGAGCTTGCGAGGTTGGAAAACTCGGCTTGAGTCTTTTGATGTTGGTCTCGTACATTATCTGCCATTGGGCCTATGGAGAAAATGTCAGTATTGTGGATTTTAAGGATATGTCATGGGAAATCATCAAATTATCATACCGTTCACGACACTTTGAGTGAGAGGATGATTTCCAACAGCGTTGGCAGCTGCAGATGCATCTACAATTGATTGATTAGTTTATTTCCTGTATTGATCTCATTGACTTCATTGTGCGAAGTTTTGAACTGTTTCATTATTAGCAATGTAGACTTTGGTGCGATTTATTTGATAGATTGATAGATATAGCTTACCTTACTGTCATACACTGTATTCTTTGCGTTCTCCATTGTGCTGGTAGTCCCTTCAGTGGAAGTTGTACTGGCGTTGGAGGGAAAATCGGACATAATATGTGTAGAAATTGATGGTTGTGTGTGGAAGAAGGGAAACGGTCGAGGAAGCTTTTGATGATAAGCTTGTGATGGAAAGGTGGTTGATTTTTGTTCGATGGTGCGATGTCTTGTGTTGATGTTGTTGTTCTGGAGGTGGTGTATCCTTTGAAGTTGTGACTGGCAAAGGCTTTTTGTTTAAAAGAAAGGCAAAGGACTAGGTAGGATAGATAGTCTTTCACGGTTTATTAATTGAATTGCAATTATGACGAAAGCTGGCAAGAAGAAGACCGATCGATTCTTTTGTCCTTTTCTTTCTGACCTACGAAAAGCTGCAGTAGTGGGTTGAGAAATGGGAAGAAAGTGGAGTCAATATGGTCGCACTTGCACAAGCCAAACAATTTCTGTGGTAGAGGGAAGAGCTTGATATGGAATTTATTTTTGGTCCTAGTGAGAGCCAATGGGGTTTAGCGTTGAATGAAGCACGCGAGCAATCCTGTTCTGTTATGCTTTGCCATGGGAATTGTTTGGAATTCAAGGTTATGGATGGGCTTGTACAGTACCTGGAGAGGTAGGAACGGAGTAGGAACGGAATAGGTACGGAGCAGGCACTCTACTCTACACGGGAGAGTATTCTGTAGGGACCTGGGTAGATGGTAGATAGACATTGGACATTGGATTGGACATTGGATTGGACATTGGACATTACCTAGGTAAACATTGGATTGACAGACTGGACACTACCTACATACAGTAATACCTACCTACAAACATACAGTAACTGGCTGGTCAGTGAATTGTCCTTTGGATGGATGGGGCACGTCATAATCGAAGCGCCACACTACAAAATCTGGTACATGGATACGCACGGTTACAGGATTACAGACTGATTACAGACGACTAGGTAATTACTACGGGTACGGGATACCATTTATTAGACCGGACCATACAATGAATGTCATAATACAATAACAGAAATACATCCATCACTAATCACACTCCATATATACCTATCTAGGTAACATCTACACATTCCACAAATTACACCTTATCATTTACATCTTATATCTTCATGATTCATGATTCATGATTCACTTCCCTCCCCATCTCTATACCAATAATTAACAGCATCGTGGTCTTTTCACTACCTCCCTACGCTATTCTGCTGGAAACAGAGACACATCTAAAATCACATCGACGCCCTAGTCCATATTTCTACCCAGTCGTTCCCTAGTCATTACGGATACCCATCATGCAGACTCGCTCGCTTGCTTGCGTGGGTGTCTCTAATTGTCCATTGCTCTCACTCACTCCAGCTGCTTTGGCTTTTGCTTTTTCCTTTTTGCATGTGATTCTTATCTCTCGCCTTGATGAATCATGCGAATCAAAGTTCCAGTCCCGGTTTCTGTGGCTGTCACACAATATCTGCTGATGACGGAGATGGAGGAAAGGAAGAACAAGATGACTTTGAAGATATTGACTCATATATCGTCTACTGTACCAACTTTTCTTTCTTACATTCCTTCACTTATCTGTCCTCTGTAAACAGTTGAAGAAACTGGAAACCTACCTACACCTACCTACCTATCGTCACTTACATGAGAAGGGGCCAGATCCAGTAAGACATGGGATGAGGTGGGGGTGTTCTAGCTACTAGCCATTGAAGCACAATGCGTCACATCTTTCAGTATCCACCAAAGCCTAAGAAGGTATCTCATTCCCGTCTTCATTTTGACTTTCCTATGCCCAACCAATTACATTGATATGAATCAATTTCATCCTTAGGGTTTGCACATTCTCATACCCTAATGTTGAAATGCTTCTCTTTTCTATATCGCTGCCATCCAAAATGGAAACATAGGTATCCATCGTTTCCGTGAAACCTTGGTGGCGTGTGGATCAGGGTACAGAGAGCAGTGAGCACAGTTCTGGAATCTCAACTGATAAGGATTCCGTGCCCCGCGAAGGATCTTTTGTGGGTATGTATGTATCAGTCAGATTATCGTACACCATCATGAAAATACCATGATAAAAATACTCTCTCACATGTAAGTCGGGTACCCCACTTTCGGGCCACCCCCCTTTTGGGCCACTTTTTATACCAAAAATACACCAAAAATGGAATTTATAACTTTCTTATTTATAGATAGAATTTAATGAAAATTTATACATATATAATTTAAATCGATTTAAGCTTATTCTGAAATTTTTAGATTTTTAGGATTTTTCTGTATTGAAAACTAGAGCTTCAAAATATCGATTTTTAAATTTATATGGGAATCACATACAAATTTAATTTTTTTATAAAATCATTAATAACTTTTTAATAAAAATTGTTAAAAATAAACTATAAAATTTTATTATAAATTTATAATATGTTTAATATAAGAGATTCAGAAAAAATAGAAAATTCCTTATAAATAAATATTTATAGGGGTACCCTCAAAATGACAGGGATTATTTATACTACTCTAAACTCACTGTATACTATATTTCTATATCTATTAATTTTTTCGAATTTTTTTTTGAATTTCTAAATAGATTCAAGTTTAAATATCTCAAAAATATATATGGTTTTCTTTTAATAATTGTTATTCAAAAGTTATTAAAGATTTTAGAAAAGTTTTAAATTTATATGTGATTCCTATACAAATTTGAAAATCGATATTTTGAAGCTCTAGTTTTCAATACAGAAAAATCCTAAAACTCTAAAAATTTCAGAATAAGCTTAAATCGATTTAAATTATATATGTATAAATTTTCATGGAATTATATTGAATATTGATAGAGATATTAATAGGCCTAAAAAGTGATTTTTGGTGTGAAAGGGTGGCCCAAAACAGGGGTGGCCCGAAAGTAGGGTAACCGACTTATATTTGAAATCAACTTATCTATCTCGATCATTCCAAGGCTATTAAAATGAGCATCTTCGAATGTTTTACGTCTGCCCCCTGAGGAGTATCATAGACCTAATGATATATCGTCCATTGTAGCAAATTTCTTTCCTTAAGGAATTTACATGTCTCTATTGATAACCAATTGACCAATTGTTGGTTAGGCACGTGCTCAAGATTCACGAGGTCGAGGAAACAATTCGTGGCTGTCCCAATGAAACACCACCTGCTTGCTGACCAAAAAAATCATAGAAGTATTCTATTCATTCTATCGACTATCACTTCAAGTGATTCTAAGTTTGAAAAGCACATAGGGTCCAAAGAAACAAATTGCTATTATATTCTAAAATACAAGCTAACACAGAAAACAACCAACCAACCAACCAACAAACTTACAACAAATCCCCAATCCAAACCCCCAAATTCTCAATCAAGACATGCGATTAGGATATGCCACCACCTGACTCATGACATGAGTACACAACTCACTACTCTGTCCCACCGTCTGCACCGTATTCCAATCCAAATACCCATAAACCCACTCTCCGGGACTCATCAGCGCCGCAGGCGTATAATTCGCACAATGCTTCACATAGATCAAATCATCCAACACAGCGACATCGAAGCCCGCAGTCGTCATGGGGACCTCGCTCAAATTGCACAGAAAGGCAACGGTACCGTGATAATCAGGGTCATCAAATGCACCACGTATCGCCGACACGGTATCTTGGTTCGGCGTCATGCCGATCCCGAAACAGGGCCATCCTGGGGAGATGGTCGCGCAGGTGCTGGTGGTGTTGGTTTGGAGAATGGAGCGCGCTCGGTCGGTCGCGGTTTCGGGGAGGAATCCAGCGCCGCAAGTTGCGGTGGCGGCGGTGGCAGAGGCGGAGAAGTCGGCGGTGAGGGTTCCGGTTGTTTGGATTGTGCTGCTGGAAGATGTAGTTGATGAAGTGGTGGAAGATGAAGTGGTGGACGAAGTAGTGGAAGAGGAAGTAGTAGATGATGTCTTCTTAGTAGAACATAAAGAGGGCGATAACGAACAATCCGTCTCTTTCGCCCTTTCCACTATCGCAACCGCAATAGCATTGCCAATAAAGGCAAACAGAAACACCCTATGAAGTCTCATCAGGTAGCTTTCAGAATGAAATCTTTCACAGCACAAGGTAAGTGATACGGTCCGTAAACTCAAAAGAAATGAGAAAAACAGAAATCAAGTATCGATCTCAAGAATGTGGATACATGAATAACAAGAATCGATAAATTGTCAGACGATAAACAGAGATCTACACAGCAAGAGTTTATGTATGAACCCTCCCTTTTTCTTCTTCAAATATGTTGGACCACTCGGTCAATACACAGGCGCGGTCATATCTCGCGTCGCTATGTAGAGATGTGTACGGATGAGGTCGGGATTTGGGTATTTGATGTCGCAAAGCCTTGCGAGAGACCTCGCGTCTTGTGTGTATTGCGCTTTCGGCATTCTAGATTTTGGGAATACGTACCTAGTACGTACCTTGCTTTGAGGGGTTGCTGGTGATGGGGGGGTTTTTGTTTGGAAGGGAGATGTGTAGGTAGGTGTACTTACTATTCGATATGTGAATAGTTCTTTCTATCTCCTAACTTTGAATATACATATATATATCATAACCATACCAAACCATACCAAATCAACACGAATCTCCAAACCACCAACAATTATTTCATTTCATTTTTTATTTTTTTTTCGTTCTGTACATCCACCCACCCATCCACCCATCCATCCATCAATCCCTCACAAAATTACACAATTACATAATATAAGATTACAATAGGTACTCATCATCCAATTACCCAGTATCCAACTAAAAGGTCGCAGGATCATATTAAGCGCCCAATAACTGCGAAAGGATTAGCAGAATCGTAGGTGTTTATTGGAGTGGGTTAATTGGGATGGAATGGGAAGGATGCGGATATTGGATGGGGGATTGGGTGGTGGAAATAGATCATGTGAGAGACACGTGTTTGTGTGCGCGGGTGTGGTTTGGAGGATGGGAGTATGGAGGATGGGGTTTGGAGATGGGGGTTTGGAGTTTGGAGTTTAGAGTTTGGATTTATGAAATTCGATCTTTTTTCCTGGATATTGATATTCTATGAGTTGTTTTGATTGAGAGGGGGGTTATCTAAAATCATATAAAGTAAGATTTCGTAACTTGATATATGTCGAGATTCTAATCCAACTGCTCTCTTGTCCAACTCCTCTCAAAGCAAAGGTCTAAATCGTACTCTCCTTAAAACTCCTCAGAAATGGGATTTGTTTTGCAACTAGCCTTTTGAAATGACATTAATTGACTTGATCTATATCGAAAGCTTTCTCTCCAGCCCCTCAAAGCAAAGGTCTCAACGCTTCCGCTGTATCAATCACACTCTCCTTAAAACTCCTGAACCTAAATCCCATTTCCCTCTGTGCCTTCTCTCCACTCACACGTGGTCTCTCCGGGGTCGATTCTACTCTCTCTACTTTTCCCGTTTCCTTATTGTATCCTACATAACCCTCTCCGGGATTTCCAACCACAATCTTCTCAAGAGCTTTCTCATCTCCCTTCTCCTTGAAATACTCCCGCAAAATATCAGCCTGCGACTGAGGGGGCCCAGTTCCCAAACACGCGATGTAGCGCTCCCCGTCTGATTTTTCAGGGTGTTCGTACGCCCAGATGTGCATGTACGCTACATCGCGCACGTCTACGGAACTGCCGGTACCGGAGGCAGGTGAGATGGTTTTGGTGGCGCCGGAGAGCATGTTGTAGATGGGTTTGAGGGTTTCGTTTAGTTTCTCGCCTGTTTCGGGGAGGGATACTGGGGGTCCGGTGACGAAGGCGGGGTGGATGGTTGTGAGTGCGAAGGAGGGGGATTTTTCGGTGCGGAATTTCCAGACGGCGGATTCGGCGGCGCTCTTGGAGGCGGCGTAGAGAATTCCGGCGCTGGAGGAACGGTTTTCTTGGAGATCTTTTTGCGCTTGGGTGAGGTAGGAAGTGGCAAAGTCGCTCTCGGTGAAGGTGTAGGGGTCGGTGCGAGGATCTACGACGGTGATGACGGAAGAGGTTACTACTACGGTTTTGAGTTGGGGTCCGGCTTTTAGGGAGGATTGAAGCAGAGTGTTGGTGCCGTCTATGGCTGGAGTGACCATTTGGGCGTAGGTTTTGAGACTGAAGTCTATGGGAGATGCGGTGTGGAAGATTCCATTGACACCTGGTATATTGATCAGTCTAATTCAGTTCAATTCAGATCGACCGTTTAGAGTGAGGAGAGTGAGGAGAGTGAGGAGAGTGAGGAGAGTGAGGAGAGTGAGGAGAGTGAGGAGAGTGAGGAGAGTGAGGAGAGTGAGGAGAGTGAGGAGAGTGAGGAGAGTGAGGAGAGTGAGGAGAGTGAGGAAATTGAGACTTACCTTTAACAGCTTCGTCGAAAGCACCAGAAATTGTCATATCGGGTACCTCGTATATCTTCACTCGATCAACATAAGGTGCATAAGGACCTTTGAGCAGTGGTTCTGCACTAGAGATACGACGAGTGGTGCCGCGAATTGAATAACCGGCTTGCAGAAGGTGAGAACCTAGGACACTGGCTATGTAGCCATTGATGCCAGTTATAAGGACTGTCTTGTTGTTTGAGGATGGAATTGCCATCTTGAAGTAGGGCATATATGACTGTTATTGAATATATAAATGATTGACTTATGGAAATAACAAGTAATGAAGAAAACTACTTCTTTTGATGCTTGATATCCTTATATGCTCTTGATAATATGAAGTTGAACTTTAATTGAAAGAAACTGTCCTACATGATGGGTCTACTTGACACATATATATACCTGTTCTCCTTCTCGAGGGCTCCATACAAAGCACAAGATGACGAAACCGGTCACGTTACTAAGTCGGAGAATAAAGATCAATATTCCTGCCGAAAAACTCTTTTCCGATATACAACTTTATATCGTCAAGCTTAGAAATCCATTGTGGAACCGTTATGAACCTCGGAATGATATTGTCCCATTAATCCACTTCGGAGGTTTTGTATTTATGTCTCTACTCCGTATCTGATCATGATCAGTAATCGGAAGCCGAGAAGTTAAGATTGACATAACCGGGGATGAGTATTACGTAGGTCAGACTGAAAAATATGCTTGCTAGATGCTGATTAATCAATAAGTTGCAAGAGAAGAAATCTGAACATTTCTTCAACGAGAGAGGACAGAAAAAAATCAGATGTGCAACAAAACATTTGTGTCAGACTAGGCACGTGAGCGGTCAAAGGCTTATCTTCTTAAAAGAGGGCGGTGTATAATTTTGACGGTTTAAAACAATTCCACAAGAACGTCAAATCCATTAGAATTCACAAATCATCAACTTCACAGTCATGAGTACTACTAAACTCATCCCCTCACGCCCTCTATTGCGTTATCTCAATGAAAAGATATCCAACACCTCAGTACGCCCGTTCTCCCACCCAGTAACCCAGCAGTCATCTACGAATTCATTGCGCCGCTCCATCCTACTTCGCCTTCCACAACAATGTCGCCATATTATGTTGTCACGAATCGCAGAAAGGACAAAACATGGTAAATTGCAAGCCGATAACCATAAAATTTTGGATTATGTCAAGACATCACTCTTTTCTGAAACAGATTATCAATCGCAAAAGATTATATTATGGGCAGAAGCGGACAAAAAGCCTTACAGCAAGCCACACACGTTTATCGGCGTAATGACGATAGGCGATGCAATGAAAGACTACCTGTGCAAAAGAGAAGAAGCATTATTGGACCCGGGAGAAGGGACGAGCTGGATGCTGGTGCCTAGAACTGGGTTCCAAAATATCTCAAGGGGAGAGCGTCATCAGCTGAAGAAGATAGCTGAACGTCTTCATGATCTGGGAGCGACCGACGTTGACGAATACATTTTGATCAAACGAAAATCTTTCATGGTGCCAAAGCCCGGGAAAGCAATGAAAACTAAAGGAGGTCGTGGCAATGCGAAACTTATAAATTTGACAAAGGATGTTACGGGCGATAACCTGAGCGTGATGTTGGCAAAAGCTTATTACTTTTTAGAAACACGCAATTACAATGCAGAGTTTCACATACATTTCGCGAAAAATCTCAAGTTCGGCGAAAATGAGATGTTTCAAAAGATGATGGAGATGCCCGGTGGCTTGGCTCTACATCCTCAAGTCATTCAAAGCCAATTGCCTAGTAGTTCCCGGATCAATATAAAGCCTTGGAGTAATGGAAGAGAGCTTGTATGGGTTGTAGGGAGAAATTCATCACGTCAGCAAGAGAAACTGGTGTTACTTGCTAGGGATAATCTCGCTCAGATGAAAGGAACTCATGAATTTGTAATTCACAGGGGGAAGGAGATGAAAAAAGATAGGAACTGGAGATTGAACCAAGATAAACGAGAGATCGAAACCTTGAAAAAAGAAGGCAAATCTTTCGATCACGTTCTTGAACGACAAGAGGAAATCAATGCGCGTGAGGGCGGTCTAAAATCAATGTTTACGGAGGTGAAATTGGCACGAAGACAGAAAGAAAAGGATAGGAAAGCACGAAGGATTGAAGAAAGACTTAGTTATCAAGCACGCGGGCGAGCCATGTTGGCTGGTCGTTTGGAGCGAAAGAGAACATTGAGGACACGTTGGGAGCGAAGGAAACAAAATCTGAGAGCAACGGAGAGTCAAAGAAAAGAGCGCGATGCGATGAGAGCATCTTTCCTAGCTCGGAGGAAAGCGATGAAGGCAGAACTAAAAGCCGAGGCTATGATAGGCACCGTGAATTATTATTCGCGATCGGTACAGATAGGAGAAAAAGGGGTGGAGCATAACGGATCAGGTGCGAGAAAAATACGACTAATTAAGTTTAAGGAGACAGCAAGGGATGTAGCGAAGAGAAAATCGCTTTCGCGATCTCCACATCCTGCTGCACCGACTGCTTTGAGAATTGAAAGACAAAGGTCACTGAGTCAAAGAAGAGCAATTAAAGTGAAGGCAAGAAGGGAGTTGGAGTTGAGGAGGAAGAGGGCAAGCCCTATTCGGTCGAAATTTGAGGATATGATTTAGAATTTGGAAATGGTATAAATATAGACGTGGAAAATTACATTATGATACCTTCAGTTCATAATCTCTATACTTGCTCAGGGTGTATTTCTAAGAGCCAAGGCTTGTAGGACTAAAAGGATAGGTAAGTGTATTGTTACACGAATTTAGACCAAATTTGCGAAAATTACGTCCCACCTTGTCGCATGAGAGGGACATATCACTTTGACATCGCGAGGATTTTGATGGCGGTTTCATCTGGTGTTATCATCAATTTGATGGGTTGTAATTCGAACTTTGGCTATTTAAATCGGTTGTAGGTGGAGTCATTTTTTTTCTATGCCAATGGCAAGCATGAGAACACTGCCACATAGATTCCTGTAGTTGGGATTGGCCGAGTACTCTGTTGATGCGGCTGTGCTTACTTTTGATCCCACGTCGCGAAACGACACAGTCCTCGGGCTCGTCCTCGAAATGTCTTTTCGTTCTCGCAATTGATTTCAATTTATATTATACTTCCTTTCGTGCCAAACATAATTATTTCACGAGCTTAGAAACAGATCTTGTCTTTCAACACCATACTCATGGCAGAAATTGGCATTATTGCCAGTGGCATGGGCGTAGCCTCGTTGGGGCTTCAGCTCATGGACGGCGTTAGAAAATTGAAACAATTCTGGGACGAGGTGAAAGAAGCCCCCGAAGATATCCAATATGCCCTTGAAGAGCTCGATGCACTAAGTCTGGTTCTTTCCGATATCCACACATCCAATTCAAATCTGCCATCGATTCCTTCGGCTACGGTCACAAGGTGCTCAGAGCTTTGTCGCCGTGGAACAGATATCCTCAATACAATAGTGAAAGACCTTAATGTGGCTATCTCCAAGCGACGCAAGATTGGCAGCGCGAAAGTGGTGTTGAAGAAAGACACACTCGATAAATTTCGGAATCGGTTGAGGGATGCGCAATATATGCTTATGCTCTCTCGGCAGACATACTCGGACGCACTCCAAACGGAATACCACAAGCTTCAAATAGAGGCAGTTGAAAGTCATGCGAATCGTCAACTGCAAGGAATAGAGGAGCTAAAACTTTCCGTTACCCGTTCCGCCAATGTAATGTCTAGTACCCTGCTTCAATCGCGCGATACTGTGGTTTATGATTATGAGACGAAGAGACCCATGAGAGGTAGAACACGAACGAAGCTTGATAGAAAGGCTAAATGCTTTCAAAAGAAGTTCAGAACTCCTCGGTTGTTTTCATCCTCGGGCTATACTTGGGATTTCTCTGGGTATCAAGCACCTTCAGGGTGGACATTCAACTTCCGACAATATTATACAATCAATGGTGATTCGTTAACTTGGAGATGTGTATTTGATGGAGACGTATCTGGACTTCAAGTATTGTTTCAGAGTAAAAGGGCCACCCCATTTGATAGAGTACTTCATGGCATGACATTGCTTGATGTATGTATTAAAAAAATCCTTTTTGAGAGTTGTCATAGTCTAATTTGCATAGCTAGCTAGTAGCCGTGAACAGTATGATATTTGCCGTCTTCTACTTGATCAAGGAGCAGATCCAAATGACTCTTCCAAGACGTATGTACTCTGGCCTTTACAGCATACACGGCTTCAAATAATCAGTTAAGGCAGATCTGCGTTATCATACAACGTTCGCCGGTCCTGCATTAGCGCCTCTGGGAACAGTGTGCTGAAGCTACTGTATCCAATATCCGAGATTCATAATCCATTGCAAGATATCTCGACCTTTCATGTTGATCTTGACACTTTATCTTTGCTGCTTCATAAAATTGATCCGACATTCAAAGAGTGGAGTTTCGAGGAGAGGATGATGTTCGCACTGAAAGTTTGTAACTTTACTATTTATTGTAGTACAGCTGGTATGATATCACTAATGCTTCACGAAGACCAATTGAACGAAGTTTGCTGCAAGATGGTTTTCGGAAACCGCCCTGAATATATTAGCAGAACTTTTTTATCAATTGAGCTTGATTACGTTGCAAGTGTCATATTTAGTTGGTTTAGAAGAAATAGAGACTCGACTATATGCTCCGACTCAACTCAGCTGATAGCTAGGAAAGCAGAATTTGGACCGAGGGGTCGATTTTCAAATGCAGAATGTTTTACATCAATCGAGTTGATAGAACGCCTCATTGCCAATGGTTCAGAGATCTTCCGCGGAGGACTTCTACCTTGCTTGTTGAGTGGAAATACTTGGACTTCCCCCCATGTTTTACCCTACTCAGGGATATGCCCAGTTTCTGTGCAACTCTGGCTGGAGATACTGCACGACTCTGGCACTGATCTACTGAAATACGGCAAAGTAGAGCATGACCATTTCATGGATAGGGACTCTGAAGATTATAGTCACAGTATCTGCGATACTACTTCTAGATGGAGGTTGTTCTTCGAACGAAAAAGGAAGATGAGGAATGGGAAATCTCACTACATTTTGGATAGGGGACATCTGATAAGCTTTGTCTATGGACCAGCTATCGAGGATTGGAAGTTCTGGTATTCCTGGGACGAACCGCGTCGGAACTACTACCAAAACTTCCGGGACTTCTGGGAACTAGTTGATCATCCAGAGAGAGGGATGCCTGGGGCTTGGGAGGATTATGAATTAAATTTCACGTGATCTGATAGTAGAAGAGCACTTCAATGCGGATGATATAGGAAGGGTGATTGGTGAATGGGACTAAGCCCCACGTTTTGTGCTATGGATAGAGTGTGGAAACAACTTCTTTTGTCAGGACTCTTCAAGATGCAGATTAATGAAGATCTATTGGCTACTAGGTGTATCCCTCGCTGATTTAATATGCTACCATCGATACATTGCATCTACTGTATTCTCCTGGCTGATCAGCCTAAAACATGTATGCCATAATCATGAGCTTGAGCTTGAGTCAGATGCTGAGGTGGAAAGAAGATTGAGATGAGCGAATTCCTATTGAACAATAATTCTGGTCCTCACAAGGGACGCTCTCGAAACCTTCATTCGTGAATCGAAAGTTGATCATGGCAGGATGAGTTATATATGGTAGCATACTATAGGCATTATCCCGTATACTGAAGAATTTGAAGCTCAAAGCTGACTTGACGCATATAATAGTCACACAGCCAGAGAAATACCGAGAACTGTCGAGATGAATGTTAATGCATTGGACGATGAAGTAAGACATCCTGCAAGGGACTTCCCCATGACCAAAAGCATGATTATCCATCTCCAGCCCAACCAGCCCAACTCCAAGGTATAACTCTAAAACCATACCTCCCCATATCCGAAAACGTCACTCATAGCGTAGTGGTATAGTGTATTACTCGACGTGAGAGACATGATTAGGTGTCCAATGTTCACTTAAAGAGTGCAAATAATATGACCCTTTCACTAGCAGAAATATTACGGGACACTGAACTAGTGAGCATTGATAGATTAAGCCGAGTGGCCCAACTTTTGGTATTTTGCTTTTGCTTTTTGTGGATGTTGTGGAGTGGGGATTGTGAAGTGAATGAGAGAGGTAGGATGAGATGAGACAAGACGAGATGAGATGGAGGTATAGGCTGAGTATATAATTTTCGCAAAGTGGTTATGAGTGAGTGAATGTGAAATGGAGTAGTGGGCTCATAGTACAGAAAGTCAGTCGATCATAGCAAAATCAATTGGGCAACGACAACATGATAGACTTACTCAGTATCAGTTATTGAAGAAGCTATGCAAAAACCATCAAAATTCATCCTCCTTTGAAGTTTTTGGAAGACGTGGAGAAAAATTCAAGGAGCGTGTTCGCAATGATTCACTTCAATCATTTGAAGAAAGTGTTTGGTACTTGCGATTCAGTTGAAACGACATGTAGTGTATGCAACATGCCAGTCTTGTACTTTGGGAATCAGAAAGTCTACATATAGAGGAATTATACTTTTGATTCTGACCCAAGATTGCTGCATTGAATGCAATACAACAAAGCATGTTCCAACTGCCTGGAAAAACAGTTCACTGGTAACAGTTAACTAGTCCAGCTCATCTCTCAACTATCAACTCAGACCACTCTTTTTACAACTCCAGAAAATGTGTCTAAGAACAATCCCAAGATTTCTACATTCGCCTTTGCCCAGCTCTCAAACGATTTCAGATACTCCACATCTTCCTTTACTGTTTTCTTGGGACTAGTTTTCATTTCGTTAGCACTATTCTTTGATTATCATAACCTCACTGCATTCAGGTCATCCACAAGATTCTGAAACAGGAAACACTAACTCCACTATAGCACCAAATTCCTCTCCATGGAGATTAATCTCAGGATGCTTTGCTTTTGATCTTTCCTGAAATTCAGATTCTGAGTAATGAGACATTCCGCAGTCTGTATGATGAATCACAATAATGGTGCCTGTATTTCCTAGACTATCCAGGGCGAGGAGGCTGGCTAGAGCAGGACGAGCGCGCCCTCCCGCATTACGTATAATGGCTGCTTCTATAGAATATATTAGCTTCAGAATACTCCTAGAGCTTCAAGTGAAGGGAAGACAATACCGGCAAATTCAAGACCAAGGAATTTCTCAGGAGTAATGCGAGGATCGGCGCATGAAACTGTGAGTGAAGTTAGAGCCTAGACGAAAATTTGATCTTGAGCAAATGAAGAAACTTTACCAATAACAGTGCCACGTCTTCCGAGGGATTTATTCTTCTCTATTCCAACACTGAGTAGTGGTGGTTGAACATGTATGGTCTTGGAGTAACGTCTGAAGTTTAAGTTATTAGCGTGTTGAATGTGTAGACTTCTAATAGCAGTTTCACGTACAAATTACGCTCAATGATACTTGTTATTCTTTCCGCTGACTGGGTTGACATGGTATAGGATGTGATAGAAGTTTCTGTAAAGTGAAATGGTGTTAATATGTCAGATTCTTTAGATTTAGGAGCTGAAGTATTAGCAGTTAGAATAATGTGTGATATTCTACCGCTTGAATATAAGTCAAATGGAAGACGTATAGTAGTAGTATTACACTCTTGTGACGCATTTGAGGTGTCTTGAAATCGTTTCTGGATTTTTGATTGTTCTTGATTAATATTCCCTTCATATGCTCACTCCGACTACACATTTTCAGGAAAATATATGGCCAATCGAGTAAAAACTCGACGCCTCTAAGTACAAAAGTACTCAAACTATGATTACAATCCGTATTCCCACACTCGCATTCCCGCACTTGGAAGAAATCTAATCCTAACTAATCATCAAAACTAGCATCAGTACATTTCTACAACCTTTCAAGGCACCGTATCCTTCTCATCCAATAATCCGAAGTGACCACATTAATGCCGACAAAGGCTCTATGCTTGTTGCGGAGTAAGCATTTTCTTTTGTTGCATGATTACTATTCATTTCTCATCATCGACTCCTAAAAGGGCTCGCTTAAATCAGCACCTCGATTGTGGCGCTCTAGACAAAGATATTGCGCGGGGAAAGAGGATGCAGATATGAGTGAGGTGTAAATGATTAATAAATATTCTGCGGGTTGATGCGAGGTATGTAGATGATGCAACAATCGACGCGTGGGTGATTAGATATTTGCGCCGAGAAGGAGGGAGGTATAGAACATGATTAGTGATATAGAGAAGGGTATATGTTGGGGGTTTTTGTGGCTGGAAAATTTTCTAGAGGGACTTTATATAGATAAATACCAGAACACTCAATTCATTTAGTCTAGGATAATTAAACAATCTCAACAACTATTCAAATCTACAACTTCTAAGCTGAAAACAGAATGTCTTCTACAAAACCCCTTGTTCTTGTCATTGGAGGCACAGGCGTCCAAGGCATGCCCGTAGTCAAAGGTAAATTCCCATGATATCCATCGATAATCCCCTAAGATACACTAACACTCCCTTAGAACTAGCTCAAGATGGCGCCTACAACATTCGCCTCGTAACTCGAAGTGCCAACTCTCCACACGCGCAAGAATTGGCACAACTTCCAGGGGTAACCATCGTCGAAGGAGATATCTACTCCGAGCATGACCTCCATAAATTCTTCTCTGGATGCACCCACGCCTTCATCAACACAAATGGTGGTGCCATTGGCGAAAAAGGGGAGATCTACTGGGGCATCCGTTATTACGAAATCGCACGCACACACAAGTTGCAACATTTCTTGTACTCCAGTCTTGAGTATTCACTCAAGATCTCCGATTTCGATAATGATTATAGAGATGGTCATATGGATGCGAAAGCTAAGGTTGCGGATTGGATTAGTGTGCAGGATAAGGAGAAGATGAAGTGGAGCATCTTGACTAGTTGTTTGTATATGGAAATGTTGAATGAGCTTTTGGCTCCTCATCCTGATAAGGACGACCCTGAGACTTTGGCTTTTATTGCGCCCTTGGGACCAAGAGGAAGTGCGCCGTTGATTGCTTTAGAGGATTTTGGAAAATATACCAGATGGGTGTTCGATCATTCCGATCGTAGCAATGGACTTAATCTCCATGTTGCTTCTCAAGAAGTTGTTTGGGCGGATATTCCAGCTGCCTTTACTGAAGCGACCGGGAAGAAAGCGGTGTACAAAGATGTGACGGTTGATGGATGGTTTGATCTTGGCCTCTTCCCAGATCCGGATGCGAAGTTTGGGCACAGTGCTCCCGGGGATGAAGGAACATTGCAAACGTATCGGGAGAATTTTGGTGGGTTCTGGAGATTTTGGAAGAGTGGCAAGGTAAGAAAGGATTGGGCTTTGATGGATGAAATTTTGCCGGGAAGGATCAAGTCGGTGGGCGAATGGATGAGGAAGAGTGGGTACGATGGAAATATTAAGCCCTTGTTGCATGACTTTCATCAGAAAAAGAGAGAAGCCTAAGAAAGGAGACCGAAGTTCGATACTGCTTCAAAATCTCAGGAAGGCCTGGAAGGAAGATCTCGGCATATGACCTCAGAAAAGACTTGGGAGACTAGGTTGTTAATGGATAAACGTTCCTATGATTGAATTCTATCCTACAGTGGCCATGATCGTGACCCCGGATAAAATCACACAGCATCTGAATAGTGGTATAGATTGACGCCAAATAAAAATAAATCCCTATGCCTGCCTGAATATGCTCTCCAACTCCTGATTCCGCCGCCGTTGCAATATTCTATAACCTTACTCATTTCTTCAATGCTGCAAATCTTGCCGCCAACTCATCCACATCCGGTATCGTACCTCCAACTGGACCCTTGCTTTGAATGCCAGGTTTTGACGCAGCCGCAGTTTGCATCTTCTTTGTTGGCTTCAGGTCTAGAGCTCCGCGAACCCTAGGATGCAAGTTGTCTGTACGAGGACTTGGTGGATTGACCCTAAGTGGGCTTGAGGGCCCGAAATTCTTTGGTGGGGTGGCTTTACTCAACTCCTCTCTCTCTTCGTCAGCCTTACCGTTTGCTGCTAGCGGCGCCTCCAGGTTCTTTTGTGCCTGTCCACCACTCGGATTTTCGTCATCATCATCATCATCATCATCATCCACAAATTCTGGGGCTTCTCCAAGATCTTCCTTTGGTCTTTTTGGCCAGTCAACTCCATATGTTCTAGCAATCTCTTCCAAATATCCATTCACCAATTCCTGGGCCGGTGGTGTGACAGATAGCTTCTTTAACACTTTCTCCGAGACCTTCTCATCACTATTCTCCATCGCTTGCAACGCAAACTCCTTTCCGTACTTTTCGCACAATAAAGCGCGCACTTGTTGTAACTCCTTAATTTCTGTTCTAGGCGCAGCATATATCAAGCTCTTAACAGCTTCCTCCAAGCCCGCATCGCAAACCGACGATTCCATGAGTCCAGTTCGCGCAAGGAGTAGCTCGCAATAGAGCTCGAGTATTTCATGGAGTTCGGTTGTGATATCTGATCGAATGATATTCTCGACTCGAATCTTTGCAGATTCTATCTTTCCGGTCTCTAGAAGTTGAGCCATAGCTCTACGTTGTTGTTTCGAAACAGCTTCATCTTTCTGTTGTACCATGCGAAGCCGGGCAATTGAGAGCTTCAGTTGGACCTTGAGTTTAGCCTTTGTAGGAGTTAGCATATGTACATGTGATTCAGTATTCACACATAATACATAACAAAAGTATTAGCACTCACAATTACCGTTGAAGAAGGCGCCATGGTGATAAAAAGACGATTGTTTATTATCTTGATGTTAAGAAAGTAGGAATGTAGTTACGTTGGTGGTTGTCTGTCATTGCTCATTGCTCAGGATGTAGATTAAGTTGTGCGGGGCACACTTTTAGCTGGGCTAGGCTCGCTGGGGTCTGTGAATCACAGCCCGGTGAGCTCGTAAAGATAGGTACGGGCGGTCAATCACCCCCTGTATGCAAGTTTAATCACTGTAGATCAAAAATTGGGTCGTCATTGGTTGGCACGGTTGGCTCGAGGTTGGGCATTTTCATACTTTGGAAAGAAATTCCCATCGCGCCTCAATTTTCTTTCTTCAATGTCTTTTCTACTTCCTTTCTTTTAATTAACTTCAAACTATAAATATATATCTACTTTTCCTTTGGCTATGCATTCAATTGATTTTTAATGGTGTACACGTCTCAATCTTTCTTTTTCCTTATGCTCTTGTAATGCCTCACGATACACGACCAACACGATTCTAACACTCGAAATCTGCGTCAAGTCCACTCTAGGCATCTGTCGGTACCATTGAATATCTGCGACCTTACCCATAAATACATGGTAAGATTGATCAAGTCCTTCATGCGCCGAAATACACATACAATATATACATGATGGGGAAGTCGTTATGGAGTCCCAGCAGATGGGAGGAATGGGCGGAGAAGAGAGCGAGAGCAATATGGACCAACATGCAGACGAACAATTTGTGGCAGCGAATGCTGAAAAACACTCTGGCGACTACAATCTGTATTATTCTTGCAATTATCCCGCAGGTAGTAGCGGTATATGGGAAAGCCGCATACCTTGCGCCAATAACCACTGTCTTTGGCCATCCAGGAAGACGCTTCGGAATGATGGCTGAAGCTCTGATACTGGCTCTTTCAGGAACAATGCTTGGAGTGGCTTGGTCTATGCTCGCGCTATACTTGTCGAGTCTCATATATGACAGTAATCCCCAAGCAGCATTCACTATTCGAGGCATATTTCTTGCTATAGCGCTGCTCTTTCATGGAGTCCTACGGTCACACACACCACGCCTATTTCTCATGGTGCTACTCCTAGTTATAGTGTGCGTCGTGAGTATGACTAGTACAGCCACGGCAGTCACAACGCTCTCAGTCACCCAGCTTGTTTACCCAATTGTAACTGCTATCGCTGTCCTACTTGCTGTGAACACTCTTGTTTTCCCGGAGTTCTCTAGTAGCTTCCTGGGAATCACCACTATTGAGACCCTTGGCGAAACTGTTGGAGCTTTGCGGGATGCTGGGCGCTACTTCATTGCCAGTGCCGAAGGTTCTGAAATTGCAATCACAGATACTAAATTAGAAAACATCACAAGTGCCTCTGGAAGCGAAAATGGTGCAGACCTTGATAGACCTCCGACTCTCGCCGAAAGGCTTCCCGAAAAGTCTAACATCAACCACTTGACTTTGAGGCAAAAACTACTTTCTCTTTTCCACAAGACTAAAGAAACTCCGGAAACGCCTCCAACAGACGTCGACAAAGGACCCCAACCAGTGAAGCTCAAATCACTGACCGACAAAAAGGCCCAACTACGTGCTAAATTAGCAGGATGTAAGGCAGCCCAACAAGAATGTAATTTTGAGCTTGCTTGGGCGGTCATACCACCGAGAGATGTGAAACCCATCAGTGATATTGAAATGAAGAAACTTGTGGCTAACACCATTGCTCTTATTTGTGCCTGTGAAAGCAAGTATGCATTAATGGGTGACGTTGATGACAAGAAAGAGGCAGAAACTAAGAATGAACAGCAGCTCAAATCAGTGGCTGAAGATGCTGGAATCGAGAATCCAGATACAGAGGACTCGTCAAGAGCAGCGACAGACATGGACACACACGATGACTCAAGTTCAGATGGGAAGAAACCTTCCAGAAAAGAAAGGCGCAAACAAAAGAAGAAGAGAAGGAAGGATAGGAAAAAGGTCAAGTCATTGATTGAAAAGGAGATGGACAACCTGGAGTTGATTAAGCCGAGAAAAGAAATCGAGTATGGCGATATTGATTTGTTGAAGTATCTTGTGCAACGTATTGCAAAGCCATTGTCAACTCTTCAAGAAAACATTGATAGAAGTGTTGATGTCGTTTCTTCTTCTCTCGCCTATTGCTACGATGTCCCGAAACTACCGTCAGGCACTCAGGCGCCCGCTGGTATTCAACTCGAAGAGATTGACATTCGAGTCGACATTCTGGTTGATGCGATAGCAGAGTTTGATAGAACCTCAGCCTCAGCATTGGAAAATGCTGCCGTGCTACACGATCTTGGCGGACCGCAAGTTGATTTGATGCCTCGAATGGAGACATTCCTAATTTCCTCGTTCTTGTTGAATCTTCGGCAAGCCGCCCTACATACACTTGGAATGCTTAGACATTCTCGGGTTCTAGTTGAAAGACGACAGGAACGACACGACCGAAAAAGAATTTATCTTCCACAAATCAATTGGAGAAAGTGGCTTCAGTCTGGTGGTGAAGCGGATATGTTAGCCTTACCGGACAGTGCACGAAAAGACGCAAGAACAGGCAAGAAGAAGGACACTGATGCGGGCGATGCTGCAAGTATTGATAGTGGAGAAACACTGCTAGCGAAAAAGGATGTGGAGTCAGCAACGCCCAAAAAGGAACCCCCGACACCATCATCCAAAGCTACAGATAAAACTGTAAAACGAAAGAAAAAGGGAACGCGCATGTTCCGACTGCGAAATGAGTTAGCCGACGCGATTGAATACTTGGTTGGTAGCGACGACATATCATACGCTGTCAAGTTGACTGTTGCCGTCTTTCTTGTAACTTGGCCGGCTTTTCTTGTTCAGTGGAATACTTGGTATTCTTTGAACAGAGGCCTTTGGGCTGCTCTGCAACTGGTCCTCATCACAGAAGTTGCTATTGGAACCTCTGTTATGACTTTTATGTTGCGAGGTGTCGGTACAACAATAGGTTGTATATGGGGGTATGCCGCTTTTCAGGCTCATGGGGGCAACAGAATAGTAGCTGTGGTGATGATCGTTATTGGCATCATTCCATCCACTTACATACAACTCGGGTCTAAATACATCAAAGCAGGGATGGTCACAATCATCTCAATGTCGATTGTAGTTCTTGCGACTGAAGATCATACCGTTCCTGGTTCAGCTACCGAGAATTTCTTGAAACGACTGATTGCCTTCTTCATTGGTGGTGTTGTGGCTCTCATCGTAGAAGTCGCGCTATTTCCAGTCAAAGCACGTGATCGTCTTGTAGAATCTCTCGCCTGTTCTATACGACAAATCACGGAAATGGAAGCCTGTCTAGCATATGGTATCGAAACTGAAATCAATAACGTTAATGTACGCTCTCCAGCTGTCATATCCCGCTTTTCCATCGCCAAGGGAAAGGCCGAAGCCGCATTAGCAGCCGCAGAAACCTTCCTTCCATTCTGCGCCAATGAGCCACGTCTCAAAGGTTCCTTCGCACCTCATGCTCTTATCTACAGCGAAATTCTTTACGTATTACACGCTATTGTAGATCGAATGGAGAATATGCTTATCCTACGTCACGAATATGGATCTGGTGTGCTCGAAGAACTCAATGCACAAGTTTACCCCTATCGGCGTAACGTTGCTGGATCCATAACGCTGATTCTTTTTGCCACTCACGAGGCGCTTACGACAAAACTTCCTCTTCCTCAATTCTTGCCATCCGCTCGTCTTGCCCATCTGCGCATGATAAACCGTGTCCGGGAAGTCGTTATTTCCTCTTCAGGCCATGTCAAAGACTCTTCTCACGAACGATCAGAAATTGAAGTCTCGATGGTCAAAAGATTCGTTCGGCAAAAATTTCTATCTTGGAATGCGGCTTCCGCTGGTCAAATTGAAGTCATCGAATACTTGGAAGAACTCATTGATCTTGTCAAGCTATTGGTGGGAGCAAATGAGTTTAGGAGCGGACTATTGACGAGAGGCAGTTATAGGGAGTGGGTTGATAAGATTCAAAGACCTGACACGGTAGAATCGGAAATGATACCAGCTGATGGAACTGTGGAGGAAGCCCAACCACAGATGATATCGACGAGAAAGCGGAGACCAACATTTAGCAGTACGAAAGAGAAAATATTCGGGCCTAGTCTTGGAAATGCCAGTACTGCACGACCTGATACTGCAAGGCCTAGTACTGGGGCCAAGTCTGTGATGATGGATAAATCGGAGCTGGAAAAACAGAAGAAGGATATGGAAGAGGAATTACCAAGGGTTCTGCAGAGGGTTCGCACGAGGAGAATGAGTGAGATGAAGGGTTTTGGGGAAAGGAAGAGTAAGGAAGACATGAATAGTGGCAATGCTGGAAAGGGTAAAGGAAGAGGAAAATGAATATTCACGAGGAGTTCAGACTGTTTTTATAGGGAATTTGGGTTGGTACTATTATATAAATCTTTTAATTCATAGGGATTTTGGGTGGGCATCGGTATGTAGATATTGTAATTCATGCACATTTTTTCCTATCATTTACTTTTAGATACGAACATGGTTCTGTACCTATATACATAATTCTTTTGATAAAAATTCACTAAGAAATCAAACCCCAGCGTTGCATCCTCGCAAACGCTCAACTCCAACCCCGACATGATACTCCCGCTTCCTTTAGTATATGCAACTCGCTAATGACTGGAAATATATGCAAAACGCGCTAATAATAACAAAGAATCATTCCCCGTTTGTCTAGAAATCTCTCATCTTTCGACGCCTATCCCCCGAACCTCATAACTTTTCATCATCAATCTAAATCCAGGGATCTATCCATACCATCTCCCAAGCCTTTCAGATCTAGCCAGTAGCATCATACCAACTCGTGACCCTCTCTCCCAAATCTCCACTTCCCTGCCCATGCATCAATCTTTCCTTCCTCTTCATCCTCCTCTCTTCCTGACGTTCCTGGAAACGTTTCTTCTCCGGGCCTTCTTGAAACAATTCTTCAACATGAGGTTTCAAATTTGGTTTTCCGCTACTGCTTTGCGAGCCACAGGAACTGACGGTGTCGAAGCGGTCGATGACGGGTTTAATTGAAATGACGGGTTTGGAGGATCTCTCTTCATTGTGGGTGAGGAAGGGATTGTTCGAAGGGGGAGCGCGGAGAATGGGTTCGGGAGTGGCGAAGATGGAGTCGGAGGGGACGATGGAGATACCGGGGGTGTTGGAGAGGTAGATCATTTTGGGTTTTACTTTTGAGATGGAGGTTTGTTTGCTGTGGTAGTATTTATCGGTTTGGGGGCGGGAAGACTCGGAGGTGGTGGGGCGGCTGGGGGGGAGGGATGGGTAGGTTGGTGTGGGGTAGATGGAGGGGATGTTGGGGAGGGGAGGCACTTCGGTTATGTCTTGGGGGGAGATGGGGAAGGTTTGGAAGGTGGAGACGGAGGCTTGGGAGTGGGTGGAGTAGCGGGCGCCGAAGGTGTGGAAGGATTGCGCGGAGGGGGATTGGAAGGGTGGGGAGGTGGGCGAGGCGAACTCGGTGGTTGCGGTGGGTGTTCGAGGTGTGTTGGGGATGGATGAGATGGAATGACGGGAGCGAGTTTGGAGAGCTCGGGGAGAGGATGGGGTTTCGGCGACTGAGAGCGAGCGTGCTAGGGCGCCGTAGGAGATTCCGACGGTTCGGGGTGAAGGTGGCATATTGTGGGGGAAATCTGAGAAAGGCCTATCTAGTCGAGCAATGGTCTTTACTGGGACTTCAGGTGGTGGCGGGGTTCGAGGTAGAGATTGATGTGGGGTATTAGGTCTTGAGGATGTCGAAAGGGTTATAGCCGGTAGATCCAGTGCCGGTAATATGGGGGGCAAGGACTCTCGTGAGTTCGAGTTATTACGAGAGTGGTGAGGAGGGAATAGGGCACCTCTGGGTTCGACCATCTCAGGAGATGTAGGGGAGTTGGCGGTGGATGTCGAAGGCCACCTTACAGGACTAGTATCGATTCTACCAACTGGCTCTGGAATTTGTCCCACTCCTCGTAAATTTTCATCTATTGTCGAGAGGAGACCTCGTGGCTCTCCCCAAGATTCACCACGGTTTCTGTTCTTGGGAGAGGTTGGTGACATGTATGAAGTGATCCTTTGGGTGTGGACCCTAAATGATTTCCGAACGCCAATACCTCCCCACTTGAATATTTGGGTATCATTTCCTTGGAGCTCCACCGGCGTCTTACCCATCTCTTCATCTTCGTCAAGGTTCTTGAACTTCCCTCTTGTTGAAGAGGTTTTCTGGTTTCTTCTCCGTTTCCATAATAGCCATGCACCGACAGCAAGTATTAGTAACAAGGCCGCGACGGCCAGAGCAATCATGGCCTTCGCGACATCACTCAGACCCTTACCCGAAGAGTTATTGGAAGAGGTTGATGTGCTAGACGGCGAGCTTGCTAGTGCTATTGGCGTAGCAGTCGTGGTCACTGAAGTAGAGGCCATCGAAGTAGATGACACTGCACTACTTGAAGTTGTACTACTTTGTGATGACGTAGTAGAAGAGCTCGAGGCGCTTGATGTTACTGATGAAGAGCTCGAAGAGGAGGATGTGGGGTCATTAATAAGGACACAAATCTGGCCAACAACCTTCAAGGAAGCTATGAGGAATTAAGCATGAGTTCTGAACTATCCGGGGAACAACTTACTGCTAGCATCAATCAGACTACATGAGTCTTGTATACAGGTGGTCGCATTCGATACGGTCGAACTCTGTGCCGAGTTTCCACTTTCGTCTGCACAAAAGCAACTGTAATCACCAATACTACATCCAAGTCTGCTTGTAGCAGTATCAAGACAGCTATCCGAGCATGGCGGGAGAGAATTAATTTCGTCCGAAAGAGATTGAGTGTTAACAAATGTCGATAACAAAAGAATTATTGAACAGTATGAAAAAATCATTATGAAGCTACATTACTCGTAGTACAACAGAAAAAAAACATCAACGTCGCAAAAGGGACCAGAATCATATCACACGTTGGGTATCCATAGATCTAAAGTCAACATGTCAAGACCCCGGTCAGAAGATGACATGGGGATAGATGAGAATAGAATAAGCTCTAAAACTCGAACGATGCTCAACCTACTGCACAGTATCCACAAAAATATACGTTTGAATATATCAATGGAGGCGCAGCTGGCAGGGTTGTATTGTAAACATGAACTTGGATGCCTTTTTTAACCGGATTGCAGATGAGAGTGCTTGGAGTAGGATTAAGGATTACCATCAGTATGGTCCGCGTCTCCAAGTCATCGGAAACTAACCGTGAAACGCCCCTCCGAACCTCGTGCTACGTTGGGTTTGAAAGTCGCGAAAATATCCACAAAGAGTTTGAATACCAACAAGCTATCACAAGTTATGTTACTCTCGTCGAATTTACTCAAATTCTGCCTGCGCTTAACTCGCCCCACAATGTCGTTTGGAAAGTCGAGACTAATTGTCAATGGCAGAGGTATGAAATGATAGAAACGGTGAACTAAAGGATGAGTGGACATTACAGCATTACAGCCAATCGATCCACTTTGCATCCTCGAAGGATTTCAGACGTCGATATAAATCCCTGTCCCTTCATGTCATTTGAGGAAAGCGCAGTAACGTGTTAGGTTCAAGGGCGCTACCAATAAACCACACAAACTTATAGGCACTGAAGCAAAAAAGAAAGACAGAAAGTGCCACGTCTGAAACATGTAAACATTTTCTGGTACTCCTACGTAGAAGCTGGACAGAAGTAAGAGAAACATAACTTTACTTGAAACAGACACCCCACAGTTTGAGAAGTCCCCCTTCTCTTCTTCATCTATAGTGTAGATACATCGAAACCTTATGAGATGAACAGGAGTAAGTTAGCTGTAAGTTGTGACGCAATCACGCAACCAACAAAAGCAAATTCATGAACGGATGTTTGAAGACTCGGAAAAGAAGACATTTGGGTATCAATCTCTAGCATCACGCCCAATTATCAATTTCCACAAAAACAAGCTCTGAAGCCCATATGTCCACCCACTGTAACTGCAACAGTACCAAAATATACGATATCAACACGGAAATACCGTATCTTCAACATATCAAAACACGCATTGATCAATTGATAGACATTCAATCTTCTCGTATGTTTGATGATTAATATGGATTCCAATCCCATGACTAACACGCGAGCGACGGTATGTAATAAATATAATTTGTCATATGAGTTCAGACGAAGATAGAAATGACATTGTACCAAAGTGTCTTGGATATCCTCTACCGCCATCCCTTATTAGACTAATCGTAGCACTGACCGCCAATTTTCTTCTTCGCTTCTCGACTTCTTCCCTCCCCTTCATCAACCCGATCTAGTGACTCAGCCTTATTAGAAATATTATTCTCCATAACATAACGTTGTCTCAAAAAACTTTCCGACATTAACTTCACAACTAACTTTAAAGATCTAAGTTGCACATCTCTGTCGATAGGTATCCTTACTAATCTATAAGAGGGAACAATTTGTTCGTCAGATCCCACCCAACCCAACCACCAGCCACATCCACAAATAGCTACATGCATAGTATTACATACCACCTGGGCAGCCTTCCTGCATGCGAAATCCTTCGTTCTACCAGTGGATGAAATGCGGTTCCAACTTCTCATATTCCCAAGCTTCAACCGTGAAGAAAGTCTTACGAAATACAGTTGATTGATCCTCGCGACTTACTTAATACTCTCGCTTTCACTTCTTGCACAGGGTTCTTTACATACACAGATACATACAAAGATACAACTAACGACCCGAGTAAAATCTCTCTCATTCACCCCCTCACTCTACTCCTCTAAGTAAGTAAGCAAGCAAGCAAGCAAGCAAGCAAGTAAGCAAGCAAGCACAATGCCTCACTCCATGAATACTGTCCATATATACGATCGTATCCTAAAGCCCACCTATGCACGACTCTGTAAGAAGTATCCCGCTCCAGGCTGCGAATTATCCATTTTATCCATCCCATTATCAAGAGCTATCTACCTACCCAATGAAACCCCAAAATATCCCCCATTTATCAGATATTGATGTAAATTTCCCGAATCCCAAATGCGTACATCTCTCTTTTAGTCTCTAGGTATTAGAGACCCAGCTGATTCCAGCGTTCATCGGCGCTGATATCCAACATGGGATAAGTGATGAGGGGGTTTCACAAGCTTATCGCTCGCTTCTTTGCCTGTATGTAATGTAGACTCCGTGGCTCGCTGTTATCAGCTCTCTGAAGTTATTCGATACTTAACCCAACTGTCATTACATGGTATATCATCTCGCAGAGCCGCAACTGGCGAAACTAGCACTTCACATCCCACGACATACAAATTTGAGGCATAAAACTGGAACAAGAGTCCAAGAAGTATCAAATCTAGGTATATTTGCAATTCAATAATCCATAACCATTCCATACATGCAATATCCTGTTCCACTGCTATAAGCATAAAACCTCCCTTACCCAACGCCATATATCATACAGCATATACATACGCCTGAGCCTGTGTCGTCCGATGTAGCCAATCCCTCATCAAGTTTTGATACCCAACACCAATCAAATGCCACATCAATCCCGATCCTTCACTACAACCACGTTCTTTGATATTGACCAGCTGCAAGAAGTAAATATTTATCTTCCCGGCATTTGCCCCATATTCATCATTTGGTTCTTTTGGGCTTCCTGCATCATCCTCTGTCTCATCATTTCGTTTTGCATCTTTTGCTGGTGTTGCTGTTGCTGCTGCAATTGATTCTGATTTTGGTTGATGCCGGACATTCCCATATTTTGTTGACCTTGCTGCTGATGCTGCTGCATTTGGCCCATACCAACCATGCCACCCATGCCGCCTTGAACCATTTGACCTTGTCCCTGCCCTTGACCTTGCGCCATTCCATTCTGCCCTCCTATCATATTCTGTACGCTCTGGCTCATGTCACCCTGTTTCTGCCCTGCAGCCTGCATTAAATTTACGTGTTGCTGTGCCTGTGCTTGTGCTCGACCTGCTGCGTTGGGTGGCCCAGCAGGTGTATCTTTCTTAGGATCTACGCCTGGGTAAAGGGCCTGTAATCGTTTGTAAGCCTCTTTTAAAATCTCTCTCCGATCTTCGTGCCCTTCTTCAGGTTTCGATGCTGGATCGTCATCATTCGTGGGCGCAGATATAGGGATAGTATGCGCGGGTTTATATGTAAGAGTTGGTGCAAACATGATGGCGGGATGCGAGGGAATTTGAGCTGCGGGCTTGTGCGAGCGATCGGCGATTGCGGCAAGGTAAGCCAGATTTGATTGAAGTCGTCGCATACATCTTCAGATTCGTTAGTAAACGCTTCAGCCTCAACACGTATAGGGGACAAACTGCATATATTCGGTCGCCAGAAGCTTATGCTCTGCCTCAAGCGTTGACTTCTCGGCGGGATCCTCCGTTTTGTTGTTCTTCAAATCAGTCTGTAGAGCTATTATCCGCATAATTTCTAACAACATTTCTCGATTGATATCTAGTAGTACGGTGACCCTTTCCTTCTCTCGAAGCTCTGAGCCAGGACTTAATGGCGTACTCATGGCAGCTCCCGCGTTTTCAGAATTTCGCACACCTGGCGGGAAGCTTGGGGTCTGCGGAGTCAAGCTCATTCCTCCTTGTTGATTGTTATTAGGGGTTTGATGGTGTTGTTGATTGGGATTCGGTGGTACAGCGAATTGTGCGTTTGACGCGCTTGGTGGTGTGCTCTGGGGAAAATTTCCGTAGGGAGAGACGCGGGAACTCGCCGACGTCGGCGTCGGTGTAGAAGATGGCGGTGGCTGCATACGCTGTATTTGATGCTGCTGCTGTTGTGGTATCATTGCGGAAGGGTTCATTCCATATTGTGGAGGCGCATTTGATGCGGTCGGCATGAAGTTTGTAGGGTGTGAGACGGAAGAGGATGTAGCGATATTGTTGCCGTAAGGAGAGCTTGTATATGGCGTTTGATAGGAAGCAACTACTTAGAAACCAGTCAGTCATCTTGCTCTGTTTGATCACTACTGTGAGAAGTAACAGGTTGCCGCCTGCCTTTCTGCTTAACGCGAATGGCTGTGTGTACATGCGACACCTCGCATGCCCTTCATAGTCTGCTTAACAGGAGCTGTGCGGTCTTTCATCTGACATTGACGCGTGCACAAGATATGCAGCAGCCAATACATTCTTATAGCAGACTGCAAAATAATTATTAAAATGTGCGACTCACCATTTCCACCAGGCATATGCGACAAACCGCTGTTCTGCATCATTCCCATTCCACCGGCATTACCAGCCATGCCGGGGCCAGATGCGCCGTAGGGTGATTGATGACCTCCGGGCCCGTATTGTTGAGCATTATACATCATGTGCTGAGGCTGTTGTTGACCTGGTTGATGGACATTCTGGGGAGCCTGTGGATGGCCACCATTGAGGTTGAAAGACTGCGTATTGTTCCCCTGTCCAAAAGAGTAATTTGGTGCATACATGGCTCTTGGAAGTCAATAAAGGGGCCTATGATAGGCTGCCTATCATAATCTCAAGTCGCACATACGCCGCACGGCAATGATTTAGCTGGGAATTGCTAGATCAACTTTCGTTCGTTCGGGAATGTGCGTAAGGCAATGCCAAGGGTCTTTGGTTCCCGTTGGGTGGTCTCGTTTCGGGAAGTTTTTCCTGGGGTAATTTGGAGATGGGTGGGCTGTAGGATGTGGGATGGGTAGATGACGGTCTCTTGAGCTACTTTTTTGCTGTCCTCTTTCTTTTCCAGTATTACGATGTGGGTTGTTTTCTGGGGTGTGAGAAATTAATGCGCGTTTGCCTTCGGATGCATCGTAACAAGAACCGAGCTCAAATTTGGCAAGGATTTTTAACCGAAGTCATATTGAGTGGCTCGAGTGGTAGAAAAGCAATCTAGACCAGGAATGTGAACATATCTGGAAACGATCCATGCAACGACATCCATGGTATGGACACTAGTTGTACATTTAAACGGCAATATGGCAACATGAAATGAATGAGATGGCCTCAAATGCTTCAGCATGAGTTCTCAGATCTTGGTTCTCCTGGTACCGTTGTCGGCCCATTCTTCGACTGTTGATTGAAGGGTTTGCTAGAATCAAAATGATCGGATTGCTTCAATCACTGCACATCTTTAACCCGCATCTGCTAAGTGGTAAGATCGGATTGCACATGCATGACAACATGCTCCTAAATATGCACAACCATTGGCTTGCCGTTGTACGATGATTGATTCGTCTACTCTTACAGTGTTTCTTGAGGGTTCAGTGAGTCTTGTGGGCGTTGGTATACGCATTTCCACGCAAATGATCCTCTTGTACCTGGCGGCGCTTTCGTCGGAAGGGAAATATGCATGTTCGTCTCAGTAAGGCTTAGGTACGGGTGATGGTAACACAAGTAAGCATACAACTTCAGTTCCAGATAATCGTCACTTTTTCTATTTTATCATTATGTTTACTTATTAACCAATCGCTGATAACAAGCTACCAATTACCAATATGTGGCATACTTCGAGTTTCCTCTTACAACATTTAAAAATTCTTGAGCAATAACTTTGTCTGTTCCTTGAGAAGGGTGAAGTTCGTCGTACCACATATAGCCATCTAAGCTTCCTGGTTGCTTGGGACATGGTGATCCGGAGACAGCGCAGAGAATGTATGATACATCAACAACGGCTGGTGCTGGCAAATACTGCGTTGGATTGTTGTAAATGTCGGTAAGTAAAGAATTGGTGTCGAAGATGGCGATCGACGCTCCTGGGTAACGCTTTTTAATTACTATTTCAAATGGTACTCTGTAGTCGAATATGCTATTGGCCAATTGGGTATATTCTTTCATCTTCCCGCTGATTTCTGAAATGTTGCTTGGCTACAAATGTGTAAGTTTAAACGCCATATGAGAGGGGTTGAGATTCTCACTTTGTTGGGCCAATAATGGCTAGCATTCAGTCCTCCTGCACCTGGCATTCCATACAATGGCGTTAATTGTAACGGTGCATTATTCATCAGAACAAAATATCTGGCTCCGGTCTGATAAATTCCGTCGAATCTATCGAAAATGCAATCAACGTAGTCTGGAATGGTTGTCCCGTTCAAAGAAGAGTCTGTCAAAAAGGCACCCTCTCCCAAATCGTTGGTACCGATCCACATTGAGTATACCGTGTTGTCAGGCTTACGGTTGGTGTAAAGAGTGTTGGTATTTGTGGATGAATTGATATACTTCACATCCGCAACGAACGCATCAACTTCGTAGACAACATCAGGGAATGGTCCAAAGACACTGGCTAAATATCGATTGATGATTCCGTTAGAGCAGACTGCTCCGGCGACAGCATAGTCATAAAGCTTCGCTCCACTATAATTAGACACCCATCGATCCCAGGTGACGCCTCCACCAGCAGTCGAATTACTAGATGGAAGTAAAGTTCCTGGCGGCGGTGCAGAACCGTTGTGAGTTTGGAAATAACTCAGTCTTGACTCGTCTGTATAGCTGTTTTTGAATTAATTTTAGCCATTCTCTCTCACACGATCTTCCGGGAATCGTGAAAATCCGTGAGTTTGATTACAATCAACTTACCTGTCTCCAAAAGCTACTAAGTTCTCAAAGCGTGGAATCCAGCCATTTTTATGTGCAGATGATGTCAAATCTGCCTCCGATGCATCAGGCATAGCCATTGACAACCCATATCCCGTAAACAGAGGGACCGTATACTTAGAGAACTTCATGTTGTCTATTATCCCAAATTCCAACCAAAGAAGTAATGTAAACCACATAGAAAAAAGCCAAGACATGACGAGAATTTCCCAGCCTTTATATCTACCCATCCTCCCATCTCCACCTTCGATTCATCCAGGAACGTCCGGATACCATACATATTAAGCTTTCGGAGTATCATCGAACCTTCGTGTTATTATTTTTCCGAACCTTGGAAAGCTAAAGACTTGCAAGTAGCAAGCTGGAGACGGTGACCCCGCACAAAGTACCCCGCGAGATGTCAAGGTACATGCCGGTTGAATGGACGAAAATGCTATTCTACCGAAGAAGCGTATCGGAGAGGGAGAGTTTCCATATTTTCAGACGAAAGGTTGGAATTATCCGAAGTTCCGATGATCGATCTTATAAACATCCATAACACTCGTCAACTACTTACGCACGCCAGGTAATGAGGTAATGATTTATAGTCGGCCATGATTTCAAAATGCCAGCCAATATCACCGTTTTCTACAACAGCCTCATCTCAAATCAAGATGACGAGATCCTCATCCAATTAGCTTACAAGCAGTATCTGTATCAGGTGCATATAGGCTAAATTCATCACATGGCTTTTTAGTGGGAACTTTGGACAACAGGCGAATGTGGATGAAGAGACGATTGCATGTTTATTTTTAAGTATTATGCAGCATCAGTTATGAAAAAAGCTTTCAACACTCTTGATTTGGCTCATTTTGGCCATCCATGAAGCAATCGCGCAGTGTATATTGAGGGAACAGATCAATCACACAAAGCAGTCAGTTATCGGAGTATACAAGACGAGTTCCTGATCTTCAGATCATGAGAATAGAGAACAAGGAGGAAGGTATAAGAAGACATGTTGGATTCGTGATACGATTTATCTTGAACAAATATGTGTAGCATGAACTGAACATCTGAAGATCTCTCATGCATCTCGCTACACTCTCGTCTTCCTATGGGATAGCCCTTATCCTTCTTTCAATAACGTGATTGTGTACGAGCTGGCGCCAGCGTCGTTTTAGAACCTTTCCAAGGTTGTACCTGAGGATAGAAATAGGAGTACGAATTCAAAGAAGAAATTCGTTATGGATTTCCCTCTTCATATCATACACTTATTCCCATACTCTCGTATATCATCATGTAACCCACCATGTTACCATATGATTTGGCCCAGTATTGGAGGCACCCATTGCACCCATTGCTCTAGAGTCCTTGTGCCTAGGAGTGGGAGTGGGAGTGAGAGTTCAAATATAAGTAAGAACCCCCTTATGACCTGAGCCCCCCAAAGCCTTATGATCTATAATTATTCCAATGTATCCCGATATATCAACTGATGTGATCACTCACCTTAATTGAAATGATTGTTCCAATTGATAATTGATATCGACATCTAAACTAATATCAATACCTCAACTAATATGATTGCCCAACTGATATAACTATCCCAAAGGATATGATTATCTCAATTGACATGATTGTCCCAATTGATATGATTACTTCCAGTTTATATCAATATGCCAATTCATACCCTACAATCATACCCTCTCATACATTACTACATAACTATACTTTTCAGTAACTTCTAGGCAGTCCAAGAACCTTCTCTCCAACATAATTCATGATCATTTCCCTCGAGATTGGTGCAATTCTTGGAACAAAACACTCTCTTAAGTATCTCTCAACGTGATATTCCTGGGCATAGCCCATGCCGCCCAAACTTAACACGCTCCTTTCACAGGCAGTAAAGGCTGCTTCAGCTGCTAGATACTTTGCACTGTTGCACGCAACACCAACAGCTGCTTGGGTTATTGTCTCATCCGTCGTCGAGCTATCATACAATTTCGCAGCATGATAAGTGGCCAACTTTGCGGCTTCGAGGTGCATGTATGCATCGGCCAATGGATGCTGAATACCTTGATTCATACCTATAGGCCGACCGAAAACGATTCTTTCTTTTGCATACTGGGAAGCCCGGTACAGGGCAGCATACCCGAGACCTAGTGCTTCGCCTGCCAATAGACATCGTTCAGCGTTCATGCCATGGAGTACAATTTTGAAACCTTGCCCTTCTTTGCCGATTAATGAATCACTATCAACAGTGTAGTTGTCGAAGAAAACTTCGTTTGCATCAATAGCACGCCCACCCATCTTTTTAATTTTCTTGAGTTCGAGACCAGGCTGTTTAGGATCGAAATCGATGAAGAAAAGGGATAAACCTTCGGAAGGCTTTGTCACTTCTTCCAATGGAGTAGTTCTAGCCAACAAAACCATCTTTGTTGCGACCTGTGCTGAGGAAATCCATATTTTTTGACCCGATATTTTGTAAGTGTCGCCTTCACGCGTAGCTCGGGTTCTGAGCTTGAGAGTGTCCAAACCAGTGTTGGGTTCGGTGACTCCAAAACACGCTCGCCAGGTACCATCGATCAACTTGGGCAACATTCTTTGACGTTGCGAGGCCGTCGCGAATTTAGCGACAGGCTGGGTAGCATAAACGTCTGATATATATGGATTAGCATCGCAGTGTTTTGAATCACTGAAACCACAACGTTGTTTGAAATCACTGAACCTAAGAAAGCTGAGGTTCACCACGTCTGATCACCAAAGCAGTAGGAAAGTTTCGGTGGAATAGAATTCCAGCATATTTGGGTCAGACGGACTTGCATGTATACTTTGGGCACCAGCCATGCCTCCACCGCTCTCAGATATGGTCTGCAAAAGCATCGTCGCTTCTGAGATTCCAAGACCCGATCCTCCAAGTTCTTCAGGAAGTGCAATGCCGATCCATCCACCCTTTGCTAGATCTCGATGTAAATCATGAGGATATTCCCCGGTTTCATCACGCTTTGCCCAGTATTCCTGGTATATTCAGTGAGAAGTCACGGCAGTTTGAACCGGAATAATCTTACATCAGGATATTTTGAGCAAATTTTCGCAATGGCTTCTCGAACCTCCAATTGTGTGTCTGAAAACCCACTTGTTTCCATCAGTGTATTGGCTCTTAGAGAAGTCGAAGCCGCGAATGCTCTCCTGGCAACCGCATTTTGATTCAGTCTTAGGCCTAATAACCTAGAAATGTTGGAAACTCTGGTGCAAATCATCATGCTGGTAAAGAAAATTGGAAATGTCTTTCTTCATCAACATATAAGTTAGGGTTTCAATCCATTTGACTCTTTTCATGCATAGAAGAAAAGTGGTAGTCAGTCCTGTTGTTGTTTCCCGCGGCTATTCGAAACAAGCCGGAATTGACCGCTTGCGAAACCCTTCAATGATCCAATTGTTCCATTTCAATTGGAAGAAATGAAAATTTAGTTTGGATTGTAATTGAAGATTCAGACTCTATTGAGTAGGTAGGTACTATAAACTCTCATGATTTTATTGTGGCTGGACTGCGGGCGAGCTGGCGTTTGCGTTGTTTTAGAGCCTTTGTGCTTGGAAGTGTAGATATATGAAAGACAGACCTGATGATTGTTTCAATCCGTATCATACAATCAGTCTCATACTATAATATGAGACTACCACATAATTATATGATTTACCTAGTTTAGTAAAGAGACTCTATACTGTCCGCGAACTTTTTCTATGAAAACGCCCGATACAATGATTTTATCAGACACAAAAAGATACAATTTATTGGGATGAGGTAGCGTTGTGAAACAGTCATGTGATTCAGAATTTAGGGATGAGCCGTTGACGCGTGGGGGTAACCAAAACAATCATACAGCATCACTAAGTTTACGAATTTTAAGACTTCCGCTCATACTCTCATGACCACCACAACGCAAATCGCCCAACCTTCAATTAATGCTAATAGCTCACAAAGAAATGATCTTGTCATCTTCCGAGTAATAAATCACGTCAAATCATTCGGGACTTCATAACACGACGCGCTGTTTTGAACAGCAGAAAAAATGGCGGCAATGCGACCAAACAAACGATTGCAAGTAGGGTCGAGAGGGTGGATAGCAGAGGAGCGATCGAACGCGCTGCAGCTTGCAGCAGCAGAGGCAGAGGAGTTTACATTTGCTGCCAGGAATGAGATTGACTGGTTGAATGAACATATGGCAGAAATATTCAATAAGAATCAAGTGTATGTAAACAAACCTGCGACACTGGGCACGAGCTGACCTTATGTTCTTTAGGAACGTTGCCGAAATATTTAAAACGCCGGGGAAGTTACGTGGGAAGACACCTAGAACAGCTAGGAAACTGAATCAATTGGAAGTGCGCGCAGTATGTCTATCGAATGTATGTAGCGATTTAAACTAATACCAAGCAGCCATTGTCCGATGTCTTTTCGGCAACACCTCAAGGAGCCCCAAGTCCATTCAAACAAGCTCATCATGAGCGGTCACCCCCGAAATTCCGAGTAGCAGAGGACGCCCCGGCAGAAACTCAAGAGGAACCTGCTCAAGCGCAACCTACACCCTCGCAACCTACACCTTCACATCGTCTATCTAGCTCTGGCACTGCGCAGAGCAGTGTTCAGCGCAAATCTTTCATCAACGCACTTGATTCTGGTTACTACGGAAGTCAGCTTGAGGAGGCGACGCAACCTAATACTCAACCTACCGAACCAGAACCATTCGCAACAAGCCCACCCCGACAATTCATACCCCGAGAAGATACAATCGAGAATGAAGACAATGAAGAGATTGCAAGCAATGCAGGTAACACGGAGAATGAAGAAGATAGGCCCGAGGATAAGATAGCCCCCGTCGAAGAGAGTCCAGTCGCAAATTTAGAGTCTGAAGAGCAACGAACTGTCGAGGTTTCGTTTCAATCTGCACGAGAAGGTTCGCCAATAGCGCCCACCATTGAGGTAGAAGCACAGACAGAAACAGGGACAGAAGCTCAGCAAGTTGAGAATGAAGAACAACACAGGGAGCCAACGAACGGAGATCAGGTCATGGGAGATGTCGAATATCCAAATCTCAAGTTACAGCCTCATGACCAGAGCTCAGCCCATTCATCACCGGAAAAGCGACCACAACAGAAATCTCCATCTAAATCTCCCGCAAGAGCCGAATCTCCTTTCAAAGAGCCCTCGGTAGAGCCACAGTCTTCACCATTCGCCCCTCAAGATGACCCCCAAGATGAGGACGAGCAGATGGATGATATTCCCGATGCTCAATCTGCTTCCGAGGGATCAAGTCCCATACGCCCTATTTTCCGCAAAAGCAGTTTGAATTTTGCTTCTCTACCTGCGCGAGATTTATCCAAGAAAAGTCTCGGGCATCGTACTTCGCGAACGAGCCATCTAGACCAGACACGTACTAGTCATTATGGTCGGCCTACGGGCGGAAAGAGTCTGGGCAACGTCAAAGAAGATCTCGCAAACAAAAATGAAGACGAGATGGACGTTGATGAAATGCTTGAGCCGACTGGACGGGAGGAATCCGAAGCCGAAACATTACTAGCACGTATCCACAATAAAACTTCGACACAACGTCTTCAGGACCAGATCAGCATGCTCGGTCAGTCTCAGCCTACAACCAGGCCTGCATCGAAATCTCTTGTTGGTGGCATAATACCCTCACGCCAGTCGATACAAGCGATTCAACCTCCAACGCCACAACATGGACCAGAGGAAGCATCACCATCAAAAGACAAGCCCTTCGCGACTCCAGGTGCCTTCCCCGAAGATGAGGATAGCTGGATTGGACCTCCAACGACAGCGTTACATGGAAAGTCGATTTTCAGCCCTCGCCCAACCATTGCCAAGAATCACACTGCAGATGTGATGGAGAGCGTGCGTGGCAAAGAAACTGTCAGTGGATCAGAATTCATCGTACCCGAAAACGGAGACGAAGGAAGGCAAACATCTCCAATCCGTGAAACCAATGTACGAGGTCTGACTAAATCTATCTCGACTTCATTTATCTCCTCGCCTAAGAGAGCTGTTGGGCCACAAAGTCCTAACAAATTGATGTCGGTCTCCAACCCAAATCTTCCCATTAATGCAGTTGATGAAGATTCTACAACTCCTCCAAAGTCTCCGCCCAGGACACTTAGGGGAAGCCCGTTGAAGGTTGCGAAAGACAAATTCTCTTCGATTTTGAAATCAGGAAAGACTTTATTTGCAAGTAGCGCAGCTGCAAGTGCCGAAGCAAAAATTGAAACTCTACCATCATCTACAAGAATTTACCAGAATAGTGTGCCTTCCTTTGAAGATGTACTTCAGAATGAGAATAGCGACGCTGAAGTCTCGTATCCGAAAATGGATATGCATTTCAATGATTCAATCCCTAAACGTATTCAAAGTCCTGTTAAAGCTACCACTCGAAAAACTAGAGCTTCTACCGAAAAGGAAGAGGCCGCTAGAGAGGCTAGAGAGGCCAAAGAAGCCAAAGAAGCGCAAAAGATGAATGATCAATTAGAGAAGGCACGCATGAAGGTCAAAGAGGACGCACGTGTTTATCATCAAGAGCAAGAGCGAGCCGCAGCCATGCAGAGGGAAGTAATCTCCCGGAAAGAACAAGAGAAATTGGCCAAGGCAAGTCAAGTTGAAGTGCCAAAAGCAACTCGAGGTAGTCCACGAAGAACGAAAGCTCAATTGGAAGCAGAGGCCATAGCAACCACAGCTTCATCCGCCAATACGTCTTACGGTAAGGATACCGATATGACCGATGCACCAGCATCAATGCCACCGCCTTCTATTCCAAGACCAAAGTCTCAGATTGGGCGACCGCAGGCTAAACGGCCATTAAGACCAGTGAAAGACACTGCTCCTAAAGCCAAGGCACCAGCGACTGTAATACGTGTCGACACTGGCTCCTCGCGCGGTCAGCAATATCATCCATCTAATGCAACACTTGCAGCAACCTTGGAACAGTCCTTACAATCTTCACAAAGCGGACACCTACGAAACAAAGCTAGTTCTAGCTCGTTACAGAGCAAATCTTCGAATAACAGCTTCAAGGCTCAAGCCAATAAAGCCCTAGAAGCAGCTGCACGAAAGAAGGAGGCGGATGAACTTGCTGCTCAACAAAGAAGGGATGCGAAGTTGGAAATGGAACGCCAGCGAGCCGCTACAAAGGAAGAGCAAAGGCGACAGAATGAGCTAACTGTCAAACGTGACCAAGAGCGTCAACGGGAGCAGCAGAAGGAAATCAGTCTTAGCGAGGCTAATAAAAGGGCCATCGAAAGGGCGAAGCAGAAGAGAGCTCCTCCACCAGCTATTCGACCTCAACAAAATACCGATCAATGGCTTGAGAAGTCACTGCCACCAGTTCCACTTCAAAGAAACGACCTAGGTGGGCAAGCAAAAGCTACCCGTATGAACACCGCCAAAGCACCGCCAAAGAGACCTTTGCTAGAGAACAATGAAGAGATTGCTCGTCCACCAGTTCATCGAAATGCCCCTTCAATTCACGGTGACCCCCGCACCAAACGCCAAAGGACCAACGAGTATCTTGATGAAGAAGATGAATTGACAGAGTCTCATCCCAAAATGACTGCTCCCCCAATTCGTCAATCCAGTATTCGTCCAAAGGTAAGCCTATATTCATAATCAGTTCAATTTGTCATACTAACTAAAGATAGGAGATGCCCACAAAGTCGTTGTTTGCAAGCGGATATGCTCATGCTCCACCGCCTGCTAATCTACAAAGGTCTACTATTGTTTCACAACACCAGAATAAAATTGGCAATCCCATGGATATGACTCAGGTTTCTAAGGGAGCCATTCCATTTGCATCAAGCTCAAATGGACAGTCATACAAAACACCCGCACGTAATGTAAGCCATGCCTCAGCAAAGGCGGCAAAATCTGCAGCAAAATCATCACCACGATACGAGAATGGAGAGAACATCGTTCTTCCCGAAATACCGAGTGATAGCGAAGACGAAGATGATGAAGATGATGAGAAAGAGAAGAAAGCGTTCCAAGGGCTCGGCTGGACAGATTCTCCTGAGATTCGCAAACAATTGGCACTCCAAGAGACTATTGATCCCTCCAAGATTTTCGGACGACCCCAGGCCTTGAACATGGAAGAAGTGTTCGATAAAAGCAAGGATCGATTCCACAAGTTTAGAGCTAGGACATCCAGTGCGAATTGGAGTGGATCTGATCGCCTTACGGAAGAGGAGGTGCGCAAGGATTTGGAAGGGAGAGATCGTGTGCGAAGGCAAGGTGGATGGAGTTATGATCCCTCATTTTAAGCTGCGCATCTCAGTAAGAAAACTCTGGGTCTCAGCTATTGCTCAAGATATTCATGGCAGAAGGGGATGGATCTTTCCACGTATGGCGAATTATGCAGGAAATGTTATGGTTTCTGAATATTTGAATTCTGGATGACAGAATTCTGTTACTTGATTATGTTAGAGTCATGACAAGGCTTATCATGGATTGGCGATGGAGTATGATTTTGATTTAACAGGAGTTTGGGGGGAACAATAATAAATGAAGCGAAAATTAATCGTTCTCGCAAAGGATTGGAGTAACTTGTACCGAAGTACACATAACATAAACAAAGGAATATGAACAAGTCAAATTTACAATCATATGTAGATATTATTGCTCTGGTGATTTACATGTGTGATGATGTGGTTTATGTCTTTGAGGTTCTTTCTTTCTATGATGGCTTGTGACTAGTAGTTAGTAATATATGAACTTTATCCCGTCTGATGGGCTTCTCTCAAAGAGAACATGTAGCAGGACCTCGGGCACATATAGGTATAAAGATTGAGGCTATTCGGATTTTTGTGTATTTATCGTGCCTTATGATAACCTTGGAACTCATCAAACAATGTCTCGTTCCTACCTACCGACCAAAGATCCTCAGCTGACAGATCCATAGACTGACCGCCTTCTATATTTGATCATCGATCATCGAGCAAAAGTAGTTGTAAGAAGAAAGGTTGAAATTGATATCCATGCGAATAGAAATCTAGGTTGTACCAGAAATTAGCAGTTAATGAAGCAAGGAACATACGCGGAGAGATGAAGAACTGGAGAGACGATCTCAATGGTATCATTTGTTTCGGAAATTTGTTTTGATTCCATGAATCTCAATATACTTCCTTTACCACTGGACCTAGGTTCCACGAGATCTGCATCTGCATCTGCATCCGTATGGCTGCTACTGCAGTTCAGAATGGTCACTGCTTTCATGCTTCCCATATGGATCATCGGTGGTGACATCTTTCTCGTATGTATGTATGTATCTTGTTCTAGATGCTGTCTCTACGTCATTTTTGTGGTGCGTCTGTAACGTCAAGATTGAAGTGGGATTTTGTTGTGTTGTGTTCATTGGATGGATGTGTACCAGTCAGTATATTTCCTAAATAGCGTGCGCATTGGAATCTTTGATCTGATGTGATACGGCGTGAAAGTAGGAAATGTCGTTTTGTATTCCAAGGGGAGAAGAAGCTCATCCGGTAGAGTTGAATATACTTCCATACCGCTGCCGTATCTCTTGTCTCTTGATCAATGAGATGCTTATTAGTAGGGCGATGTAAAGTACCTGGTAATCATCTGATCTCTACCTGTGACCAAACAAAGCTCAAATGATATACTACCTAGGTAGGTAATTTAATCAGGTAAATGTATATATTCACCAGCCTTGATAACCTTGAAAATACCTAGGTAGGTATGTGTACATACATGTATGTAAATACTATGTATAAATATACTATTGAATGGTTGTGAATTGTTCGGATCAATTGAAATCCAGAAATGATATGATATGATATGATATGATATGATATCTGAGGTTATGACAGGTAAAAGAAATACAATTAATTACTTATCCACCTGGTAGTACCATACCTACGAAAGGAATCACTGTTTTCAGGGTCTTGGTCCGTGGATCATCGGCGATTATTTAGCCGCTTCCCTCCACCTTTTATTACCTTTTACCTGTAAACAAATCCCACCTAGTGCTTTTAACTATCACCTGTACCTCTACCTCTACCTCTCCCTCTCTACCTTTACCTCAAAATAGATATCACAAGCCAAAGAAAGTCCCTCTTACTACTGTTTTGCTGCCAATTTCGACGGAGTGATACATACGCCCGTCCCTTCCTTTCATTTAAACTTCAACATCACCTGGATATCCAACCATACTTCCTTATCTACTGAACCGTATTGCAGGATAAGTTGCGCACGAATTTATACATACAGCCCACCTCGAGATTTATTAGGTCCTGGCCAATTTAAATAAGCAGGGTAGCTGGGCCAACACAGGATCTTTTCCACTTCCTTTCGCTATCACAACCAAAACTCCAGAAGTCTTCTCAAATTCTAAGCCCCAATTTCCGAATGGAATATTCAGTGTAACCAATAAATCATTGTCTCCCACCAGGTCCAATAATCCAGTTCGTTGTTTCGACTTGGAAAACACCAGAAACTTTTCCATATACGTTTTGAGCTTCCCAACTGAATCTGGTCCGAACCGCCCCTTCAAATATGGTGAAGGCAGATTTCGATCGGGATTACTATGCTGATCTCGAGATTGATTCAAATGCTTCGATAAATGAGATTAAGAAACAATTTAGGAAACTTGGTACACAACCCTCACCTTAGCCTTCCCCGCGTTCAAAGCTAACCATTTTCTCTTGATAGCTCTCGTGTACCATCCAGATAGAAATTTAGGAAAGGAAAGCGACATTACTGCCAAATTTCAAGCCATTCAATCCGCACACGAAGTTCTCACAGATCCGTCAGAGCGACAAAGATACGACGATGCTCGATCGAGGTTTAGATATACATCAGCTTCAGCTTTCAGATCTACGAAAGGAAATCCTTATTCAAATTATGGCTCCGAATTCCCTCGTCCGCCCAAACCACCGCCATATCGACCTAATAGAAATCCTCCCCCACAATCTGCTGGTGCTGCGAGATATTCGACGTTCACAACACCGAAACAATCAGCCAGCGCGGCGGCACAAGAAGGGCCCGAGGCGAGGAAAAGCACGTTCAATGCATGGGAGAGCATGAAGGGTCACCAGAAGACACCATCATCCGGTTACAGAACTGGTTCAGGTCCGACATGGAATACACCAAAAGCAGCACCCAAAGAGTACGCTTCTCAGCCAAGTCGCGAAGAGAGCAGCTTCAGGGGCTTTAATGCACCTCCAAGAGCCAAGCCAGGATTCGACGAATATATGTCTGACCCTCCACGAAAACCAAGTAATCCTCCACCTCCTACACCAAAAAGAAATGGGTTCATGCCTAGCAATCCGGGAGCGGATGAGCCATCTGCAGGAAAGGGCAATTACTCTACTTCCCGCGTCAATAGAAACATGCCACCGCCACCGCCACCAAGAGACTCTCCATCATTCGAGCGGGAACGTGAGAAGGAGGATACTCCACCTGATGCTCCACCGGTCAATCATAATACCCGTCCATCGGCGAAGACGAATGATCCTTTGCGACAATTCAGGACCGAAGAAGAGTCACCATACGAGCCTCGCATCAGTACACCGTATGCCAGTGCCGGAGGAGAGAAGTTTGATCCATTTGACGCAGCCAATATAGGAAGGTCGAAGAGTACTCGAGAGAATGTTGCTGAACCAAAAAGTAGAAAGCCTGTCCCACGTGCTGGATCCGATTCAAATTTACCTTCCCCACGTCCAAATGGCACTCCAAAGACTAGCCCTCCCAAGACGACCCATGCATTCGCATCCTCCCCTGATTCCTCGGATTCCGGTAATGGCCCAGAGATCAATCCCCAGAAACCACGGGTATTTGCCAAGCCTAGGAAACCTGCACCCGCTCAAGAGCAAAAACAGCCAGATGCTGCTCCCCCAGGAACATCGAATCAAAGTGAGTGTGATTCTGAGGCTTTCAATAAAGATGAACGATCAGTCTATAATGACCCTCGTTTGCTAACTACGTTGCAGGTGAAACTCCAGCCCAGGAAGAGCCTAAACCACAACCTTCAATGTATGACACATCTTCTAAGTACACTGCTTCTGACTCCAAGGAGCCGCTCCATCATATCAAGCATGCATCATTCCCTGGAACCCCTTTGCGTCCACCCCATTTCAACTTTAAAAGCATGCAGGATGCATACAAAGAAAAGTACCCTGGTTCTTTTACTACTCCAAGAGAGCGTCCCACTGCATCACCTCTTAGTGGAGGTTCTTCTCGTCCTTTAGAAGGGTCTCAACCTGGAGATAAAGACAGATTGCATCGCAACAGCGATGGGTCTGCGAACAGACTGAATTCTTTTGAGGCTGCTCAACACAATCTCGTCGACCGATTGGTAACCAACAAGGAACGGGCTCAGAATTCTCGTCAAAATGGTCATGTAAAGCCAACCAAGAGTATTAACCACCAGGTTCACAATGACAAGGCCACATATTCGTTCAAGTCGACGCCAGCTGAGACGAGTAACTTTTCCAAGAGGCCAAGTTTTGTCACTAAATCTCAATCTGCATTTTCAGTTGGCGATTCGCGTTTGAATTCTTTGTTGTTGGATAAATTGAATGCCCATGCTAATCGTAATTCTCATGATAGCTTCTCTATGAAACTGGATGATGAAACATTCTCTCCAACTCGGCCAAAGATTAATACTACATTTTCCTCCGAAGAGTGGCATGGAAAGTTTGAAGCTGGTGGTGATTATTTTGTACCAGAACGTAAGAGTACTCAGATCCCGGTTTCCTCCCATGTCCGTGCTCAGTCAGCAAGCCGGCCACCAAGAGGTCGATCTCCCGTTAAAAGCCGCTCAGCGGATTCGAAACCTTTCCCGGCATCAAGAGTCAATTCGGATACACCAATCGAATCCCCTGGCGGTACTAAGTTCTCTCCAGAGGACTGGGCAGAAAAATTCAAGCCTCAAACATTCGCTCCTCCGTCAATTCCATCGCCTACTAAGCCGACTGTTCCTACACGAATTGGGTCTCGGAGACCAAGAGTGCCTATCGCTAAGCCCACTGTTGGTTCTGCTGCGGTAGTTATTGAAGATGACAGCGCAGACGACAAGCCGCTCTTCACTGGTAGAAACCCAAAGCCCCCAAAGCCCCCTGCTAGTCCAGATGCAATGGATGTCGATTCTCCTCCCCCAGCTACACCAGCTCCTCCACCACAAGTTGTACCACCACCAGCTGCACCGCCAGCAGCCCAGTCAACACAGACTTCGCCACCAAGGGCTAATGTTGGACTGAAGATCAACACCGATCAACTCAAGAGATCTGCAGCCCCATCACAATCTCCAATTGACGCAGAAAGCCTGGGAGTCGAATTTCATGACATGAACCTTCAAGATCTTCTTTCTTCCCTTAATTTACCAAAGCCACCCGCTGCCCCGAAGTATACTCACGAATCGAGCACATCATTGTCTCAAGGTATATATTTATCGTCATTTACAGCTTATATGGGTGACTGGGATGTATTTGCCAAGCGCATGTTGCTACATCTCCTCGCACGCAAGAATCAAAATGATGGGCTAGGATCAAATCGTTGGGAAAATCCCCAGGGTCTCGACATCTACAGACGTGGTCTCAAGGAAGATGGAGCAGTTATGAGTCACTGGGTTGCGGCGATGGCAAGTCATGATCAAGCTATGAAAGAATTTGCTATTCACAAGGAGCGTTTCAACATAGCAGAGGGTCAAGAGAGGGAGAGGCCAAGAAAGAAGACACATTAATTTAAATTTCGTGGGCACTTGTTTAATAGTATTACTATTCTGGTGATAGTACACTCCGACTTTTTGTTATTTGCTGAGTATTATTTTTCTAGAGATACATTAGGAGAAATGACGTGGATGTGATGGGGAAGGTTCAATAAATAAGATGAAAGAAATATGATTGGAGAGGATTCTGGTGATTAAATGGAGTGGTTGCATTGGTGCGTGGACATGATTTGGAACAAATAAAAGGAATTCATTTGGTAGCATGGTCTGGAAGTTTTGGTTCTGGTTCGACTTCATTATTCACGTTGGTTTTATTAATTTGATTGATTGGCTTTTGAATGGCTTCGTTTCCAGATACCCCTTGGGATAAGGATGGATGAATGAATGGATTGGCATACATATTAGGGTTATATTTTTCATTGAACTGCCGAATAGGGCGAGAAGAAAGATATGATAGGCGAATTCGAGGATGTTTCATGGAATGGATCAATGGATGAATGATTGGGATGAATGAATGAAATGAGCATATTGCATATTGCATACCTCGTACATACATACATATGAGGCACGCCTTAGAACAAATAATCTTGTAAATTTAGTTTTTTACCTTTTTTTTTCTAAGATTTCTTTCGAGATTTATTTGATGATTTTGGTGGTGGTGTGTGGGTGGGTGAGAGTATGGATTGATGTGATGATGTGATGATATTAGTTTGAGTAAATGATGGTATGATGGGTAGTTACGGTGCGAAGATTTAGTACCCTGTAGGTGGGAAGAAAGATTTGCTGATCTAGTTGATCTAGCTGATCTGGCTGGTTGTCTAGTAAAGTAAAGTGTGAGAGAGGGGGGGGAGGGAGTGTGATATAAGTACCATGGATTTAAAGGAAGGAAGAGGAAATTTGGGAGGTTGAGAGGAGGTTGAGAGGAGATGGAAAGGAGATGGAGAGGGAATGGAAAGGGAATGGAAAGGGAATGGAGAGGGAGGTGGAGAGGAGATGGAGAGGGAATGGAGAGGGAATGGAGAGGGAGGTGGTTGTGTGTATATTTATATATTTATATACAGGTAGGTAGGATCTTTCTCTGGATAGGGAGGGGGAAATGGGGAGGGGGGAAGTGAGAGGAAGAGGAAGAGGAAGAGGAAGAGGAAGAGGAAGAGGAAGAGGAAGAGGAAGAGGAAGAGGAAGAGGAAGAGGAAGAGGAAGAGGAAGAGGAAGAGGAAGAGGAAGAGGAAGAGGAAGAGGAAGAGGAAGAGGAAGAGGAAGAGGAAGAGGAAGAGGAAGAGGAAGAGGAAGAGGAAGAGGAAGAGGAAGAGGAAGAGGAAGAGGAAGAGGAAGAGGAAGAGGAAGAGGAAGAGGAAGAGGAAGAGGAAGAGGAAGAGGATTGATGGATGTATGGTAGAGAATGAGTTGGAGACGATAGGGTGGCATGTGGGATGTGGGAGGGCTTTAGTAAGGGGTTTGCTTTGAGCGGGGAGAGGAGGGGAGGCGGAGGATTCATAAAGGTGGAATAATGGGTATATATATATGTACAGATTATAGATAATAGAACTAGATAATCAACTAGGGAAATATATTTCTGTATTTATATATTGAGTGAGAATGAACTCGAAAATATCGGAATGATAATGTTGAGATGAAGAACTAGAATTAAATAAAGAAAAATTGAAATTGAAATTGAAATTGAAATTGAAATTGAAAGAGGATACTTACTGGCTTACTGGCTCATATAATAATTTGAAGTAAAATACTCCTGGAGGATCAGGGTCGAGGAGAGGAGAGGAAATCTATTGAGTAGAATCATTAGATTAAAGTGAAGTGATGGATTATGGGAAGAGGAGAAGTTTTTTCATATTGGGGATGTTGTGATGGAAGGGATGTGTGAGTGGGGGCTGTGTGAGTAGGGGGTGGAGTTGTGTGTTTGGGGATAGGGATGGGGATGGGGATGGGGATGGGGATGGGGATGGGGAGATGGATGGGGAGATGGATGGATGTGGGTGGACTTGAATTGTTGAGCTTGAGCTTGAGCTTGAGCTTGAGGGGATGGGATGGGAATGGAGATGGGGATGGGGATGGGGAGATGGGAAAGGGCTTGAGGATGGAATGGAATGGAGAGGAATGAGTACTGGGATATAGATATATAATTTGTGTGACTGTATATATCTATGTATGAATCCACGAAACAGAGGAATATAAAGGTAAAGATGCTGAAATGGAATGGAATATAATAATACAGTTTTAGCAAAAGTTGTTAAATTATCCAAAAGTTGATAATTATTGGAGAAACATAAAACTGTGTAGAAGTCTAGAGAATCATCTGATTGTATCTGATCTGATATAATATGGGAATTCCATTGAGACTTCATTCTCAAGGACGGTGTTCGCAATGGGTAGGTACTAGGTAGATTTCATACTTTCTTCTTCACATTTCAAGAATCAATTTAACTTGCTTGCTAGTCCAAAGAAAGCTATCGAGTTACAACTCACTCATAATCCGGTTCATGGAATTATAATTCTTTGAGAAATTATCTACCTATTCATCAAAACCGATCCGCATATTTGAACGAAATTAGAAATGTAAATTTATGAGTTTAGGAAATATATATTTCGATAGGAATATTTATATGGCCATGTCAGAATCTAGCAATCACGGATTATTCTTTTTACAATTCCTAGCTCAACCTATCATAATTCTTGGTTTATGATTTCAGGCTGTGTGATGCAATCCAATCCACTTAATGAGAGGACTGTCAGAGGGCCAAGTATAAGATAAGTGACATTCTTTCTGCACTGAGATACTGGGAAACACTCGATGTGTTTTGCATTACTATGTATGGGATAGAAAGAATATGTGCCCAGGTTTGCATGGTGTGATTATTATGTCCTGGTACAGTGACACGGTGATTGTAGAGACAAATACTACAAACTTGAATCGGCTATAGCTATAGCTATCACTCCTCCACCCGTGATTCCTCACTCCTTACTCTTTTGTCTCCTCTCCTCTCCTCTTATGCAACGTTTCCCCCGCTCATTCACATACCGGTCTTCTCAAACCACCATATAACTCTCAACAATCCAACTCGACACCCCTCTTCAAAAATCCCCCTGCCTGACTTTATGAAGCGTAACCTTCCAGCCAGCAGCGAGATGAGATATCATTCGCACACTTGTACTCACAATATCATATCAACGATCTCTCACACCTCTCTTGATCACATATTCGACAGTCTATGAAAGGTAATCAATCTCTGGAATATCTCACATCCTCACCAACCATAAAGTTTCCACTTCAGTGTCGACTCTGGTGTTGAAAAACCTCTCTCGTATGCAAATACATTCCTGCGAGATGTTTTTTGATGGGTTTTCCGAGCTAAGATTCTGTAGGAAATTTCAATACGTAATCATGTGTGCGTAATGTAATGTAGTCGCTGTGATTCCGCGACTGGAAGCTAGTGAGATGTATCTAAATCGTAGACTTGGTGGGAATTTGAGAATTCTGCAGAGTATCCTCGTGTTGGTTAGTATACACCACGGTTTACTTATTTATTTATTTACTCACTTGCCATCTTGAATCCTCTACTAGATAAATTTCTACTCGTCTTGTGTAGCACAAAATTCGATGAAACGTTGTAAGATACTTCGTACTGTGAAATGTAGGAAATAAATCTCGATTCTTATTTGCTTGATCCAGAAACACCCCGAGTACCTTGTATATATCTATATCTCTCAAATCGATAGATAGCTCGAGAATGATTACATGCCTAAAACAGAGCCCACACGACTTTTATCCCCTTCCTCTTTTCCTTCTGCAAAAATGTAATCTCGTATATAAATCTCGAAAAAACCTCACGAGAAGTGAACAGTACTTGAGCGCCTCGCGTTACTGGCATATCTGCCAATGTTATAATTCTGATATGATGATATGTATCGAGTCGAAGCTCGAACTAACTCGCACCGTGCGGCGGAATGTATCTCATCCCTCTCATTTGCGTGTCCATTCGAAGAAGCAGTTGGTTCGTCTTGGTAAATAGAAGAGGTATGTATGTGAGAGGGATAAACTCGCAAGTATACCGACAGCTGCTGGAACATATGTAATAACTTGATCATGGTATATATATGTATGAAGTTTAGATTTCGAAATCTCGGAAGATCGTACTGGGGAGCGGGTTTCATATTAACATTTTATTTTAAAACCTTTGTGTCTAGTGTAGAAATGGAAGTGTAGATACAAAAGGGGAAACCTTGTCACAATGCGTATTATCCAATAACTCTTACCCTTGTAATACCATACGAGTATTGAACCTAACTATATGATCTAGTTCAGCATAGAAAAAACATATCTTCCCGCCCCATACAATAAAAGACCGTCAAGAAACTCAGTACGATGATTTTCTCGCAGACGCCAAAATATTTGCATAATTGTGATTCTTGTCATCTTGAAGAGTGTCACGAATCTCTACACCCACCCATTATTGATTTTAGCCTCAAAACCTCGGTTCGAGATACACACTAAATCTCCTCTAGGAATTGCGCAAAAGCATCAAGCAGTTACGAATAAATAAAAGAGCAACCCATCAAATTAAACCATGTTATCGCGGAAGTACATAGTTATCTGACCGTCGACATTCTCGAGGGGCACTTTGCTTTTATTGGTCAATACGCGAGAAGTTGTTAGCGAATTTGGAGTCCAAGAGTATGATATTCACCTTCAAACATTAATGATTTTCAAGGTTATCAGAATGATAAATCCGCCACAAATGAATTCTACAGAATTGGAGAGTGAAACTGAATCTTATTTTCGGCTTAAGTAATCTTGCGTATCGAAATGTCGTTGGTAATTATTAAAGCCTGATATTTAGGACAATACGGGAATAACAAATGAGCACAGGACGTCTCACTGCGCACCCGTATTTTGTCATTTTATGCGGGGCCCCGCGTATAATTTTCCGATGCGGGGGTTAAACGACATGCCAATATCGATATAATTTATATGTACCATTTTAATCGACTGAGATGATTTATTGTTATAGTCATTATAAATTAAAATCAAGGAGCAAGTATAGTGTTTGGCTGTGTTGATTGGGGCTTGGAAAGTGTAAATGTAATAATTGTAATCAGAGATGGTTGACTTTCGGAACACTACCTACGTATATCTGTGGATAGACCCTCGCAAAGAATTTCATGATAGTTTATGCCCAATGAACTGAGGAAAAAGCTGACTCGTTATGAGAATTGTAAATATCGTATGCGAAGAGATATTTCGATAGTATATGCGTTGTAATCGAAAATAAAGATATGCGCTCTCAGTATAATTACAACCTTTAGTTTATAATAAGTCTCTACATAACCCTATATTCTCGTAGTACACTTGCTTCCGGTATAGAATATAGAGCAATCCAGTTCTAAGCTGCGAGTCTTGCTCAGTTCGTCTCGAGGAAGAGGAAGAGGAAGAGGAATGGGTAGGAAGGGATTGAGATTCGATATTAATAAAATCCTTGCTATTAAAGAAAAGGGATTAGCATGTTTGAGAATTAGAAAAGAATGTTCCATATGCTGGCTTTGTCGCGGAGCTTGACTGAAAGATTGAATTGCAGAAGAGATATCAGAGAACCCAACTTATCTTGGACTTTATTCTTGCGCCCCAATTCTGTGCCAGTGGGTAGAACTTGTAATTGATATAATGATTGATTGTAGAAACGAACAGATGATCGAGAGTGGTACTTGGTGTCGGGAAAGCTCTGCAGGAAGATAGGGAGCGGCCAAGTCTGGAGATATAGGGTGTGAAATCTTGTCGCCATTACACCCATCAGCAGTATTTGAGGTATTCGAGGCGAACACAATAATTTTTTTTTAAAAAAGTTAAGCGTTCCAATCTTTGAAACGCATAAATGTTGTACTTATGATACTGGCACAAATACTCAAGAGATGGAATGAGTTTGTGGACAAGAATAAATGGAAGAGGAAGGAAGGAAGGGCGGAAATGTACAGGGCGCATGGTTAGAGAAGGCACCCAGATGGAGAGACTTTACTGAAAAACGAAAACACGGAAACATATCTATCTCAATATATAATGAAGAATGAAGAATGAAGAATCAATGTCAAACTGCGTATTGAATTTGATGTGTGTTCTCCGAATTTTCTATTTCTGTTTCCATTCGAATTTGTGGTATGGGCATAGTTATATTGACAAGTTGAATACATGAAGGCTATTTATTTAAGACTTACTTACAAGAGCAGATGATATATAGTAGAAAGAGATCGGCATCCAAAGTAAAGGACAATAAACTGAGATTCTATCACATATGTCTACTTTCATATCTGTTCTTTGACTTTGTATTTGGGTTAGAATCGTCCTGATGAACATTGTCAATGAGGAATGTGCATCTAGATGGTGCTTGCAATTTAAATTACAGAGAAGGAGACATATATCCCATGTCAGGGGTGAAATTGAGAGATCAGTGTTACACATTCGTCTCAAAACCGTCTTTTTGATTGGATGGCTACCTAGATATCTTCAAGTTCCTCTTTTGGTATGAGCTCAGTCTTCTTCAATCAAATGTGGTGTGATGTGGTGTGGTAAGTGTGATTGATCCTGTAGATGATTGCTCTTCCCCATGCTGTTATCTCGTACAGTAATTTACCAATGTTAATTCACCACCAGTTGAACATCTGAACGTTCGGACGAGTTACCAATAATACGGGCTCGAGAGGTTTCTGTGCAGTTCCACCACGGTACCACCAGCTGCCTTATTATCTCTTCATTCCCGATTGAAATTCCCTCGAGAACTATTCTGGTACGGCAGTTCAAATCTCCTTGTGGTGCGAGACCTCTATTGGGTAGATTTGCCCGCCCTAGACAGTCTAGTCTAGGTCTACTCTGACGATTAATAAGCGGGCCACACTTCCACTTTCTATGTTCATAAAATTTTACCCTTTACTATTTCCCCTCTTGAAACTAAAAGTCTCTTCTACACACAACACAACACAACACAATCGCCGCAACTCCAAGAAAGTTTCATCAAAATATTCATCATAACAATTCGACACAGTGACTCCCAATACCAATTAATTCAGAAACTGTATATTATATATCTCTTTTCATCACAATGTCTGGCCATGATCCAAAAGATATCAGCTCCAAGGGCAAACATCGAGGAGGTTTTGAAGCTATCAAAAGATCCCGCAAGAGAGCACCAACAAGCTCTGGAGTGTCATCTCCGCCTGTTCCTCTTGTCGATCCACAGCCTCAAGTCCCATTGCTTGATTTTCAAGGTTTGCCTGGAGGAGATCAGTTCCCTGACTATCATCCGAACAATGGCGGATCCACTGTCAACCAGCAAATACCTGCTCATCATTATGTTGATGGAACTCTCATCAACCATGATCAAGTACCTCAATGGCCCTTGAATAGCAATCAACATCAGGCTCAAGATCCATCCTATACTTTCAGGCAACAGCAGACTCAAATCCAGGGCAACTATCCAAGTAATATAGACCATGTCATCGCTCAACAACCATTCATCGATCTTCCATTTCCAGTTCCTCCGATCGAGATGGATCAACGATTTTCAACGCCTGTTTATGCCACACATAGTAATGGACACGAAATTAGCCAGCAAATACCTGCTCAATTCCAACATGGAGAAGCTCCTGCTCATTGCAATCAACAATCTCAAATGCCCATCAATCAGAATAACTTCAATGGTGTTAACAATAACCAACAAGAATACATTGATTTTTCATTTCAAATTGCTCCGATCGATCTTGAACGATTATTTCAGATGCCTTTTGATGATAACGGACACAACATTAGCCAGCAAATACCTGCTCAATCCCAACTTGAAGAAGCTCCTGCTTATTGCGGTCAACAACATCAACCGCCCGTCAATCAGACCAACTTCAATGGTGTCAACAACAACCAACAAGCATACCAAGGAATGGATACCACCGCCGCATCATCATTCGCTAATCTATCGGCGCAAGAACAGGAAGCCGAATTTCAACACTTTGTTCAACAACGTCTCGCCCTTGGAGATACGCAAATGATCCAGTTCAAAATATTCCAGGCCTGGTATATAGGCAGGCAGTTGAATGGAATCATCACACCAACACTTGCATATGGAGTTATTCCTCTCCATCCAGCTCTTAGCTTTAATAACAATGTACCAATTCAACAGCCCATGATGCCGCTGAATAATCAAGGATACATGCAACCGCCTAACATGATCTATCAGAATACGGGTGAAGAATTAACTACTGGCTTTCAGCACACGATGGGCCCTTCAACAACTTTTAATGGACAAGCTATGCAACCGAACAACGAGCAGCATCTTCAAAACCCTCAAAAAAGCATCAAACCTGATACGCGAACAAGAAGAACTTCGTTGGCTGTTGTATCCGGGGGCCAATCCATTTTGCCGGGCTCCTCACGATCTATGGCACGGCCAGTCCTTTCAATAATTACGACAATGCCCGCTCCTTCATCATCAACAAGGGCTCAAGCTTCCTCATCAACTACAAGACCTCAAGCCCCTCCATTGACCACGACAATGACAAGAGCTCAAGCTCCCCCATCGAACACGGCCCTGCCAGCGGTCACCAGAAGAAATCGAAAACAACAAATTGGTATGTCTCAAAGAAAACTTACTTCAGGATGCCATGACTAACAATACATAGGTCATCCAGAACAAATGGGGAACAAAACTTGCGCCACAGGGAAAAAGACTTCGCGAGAGCAAGAAACTGAGGTTACTCCAGCAAACCAGCCAATGTACATCTCGATTGATCGAATCCTTGGTGCTGCTCCTGGCAAATACACTGTTTCCTTTTCGAAATTGCCAGAAGTGGGTTCGTATGCTGACGATTTCGATAACCATATTTACCACTACTTTGATGCTGAAATCGAAGCTCTTGATGCGAAGAAAGCGGAGTCAGAGAAAGTAAAAGTGTACATGCTCAGGAATGAAGAAAGTTTGGCTATGTTGAGGACGGTCTTGGGAGAAATGCTCCAACAGTTCATCGCTCTGTCACTGGACACTTCCTCGGACGCACGACAAAGCCTCGAAAACTATGCAAAGACCAAACAGATTCGCCATTCCTCCATGAAGTCGTTAGAATTCGCCCCAAAATCGCAATTTACTGAAGAGAAAGTCAAAGTTGCACGCGAAACAGAGCAAACAGCCCAATCGACCAAGGATGATGTCCCAGCGTGCGCCACGCATAATTTAATGTGTGCTACAAACGAGAGTGATCTCAATGGAACAACGGTGGAAGGAAGTTGGTCGTTGTTTACGAAAACAACCTTCATTGATGAAAGTACTCCCTTGAAGTACGCAATCGGGCTCGAAATAGAGGTTGAAAAGATTGGTGATAGATACGCTAGAGACAACCTGCTCATTTATGAAAGATCTCTGCCATCGAATATTGCAGGGGAGCCTCTTTGGGCTGATATAACCGACCTTTTCGCACTGCAAGCTGCGGAGTGGGGTATAACCGCCAGTATTCAAGATCCACCTACGCCTGAGCCACGTACAGTTCGTGGAGAGAAGCGCAAGCGCCAACAACAACCAGAGCTTCATGCTTCTCCGGTCATTCTTGCGTCAAGCTCCGAGGCCTCCAATTCTTCAAGCGATCAAGGAAACAGTCCAACCTCTAACACGTCTACTGATAGGACCAGTGTTTCCCCAAAACCAGTAGTAGGGGCACCTCGATTATCAGACAATTCAAGGCCTATCAAACGATCAAGAAATGTACATGAGATGGGCTTGCTAGAGGCAGGAACCGGTATGAGGGAATCTTCGCCTTTGGGAGTGCAAGCTCGCTTGCCATCAAGTATGCAACCACCCATGGGCCGGATCTCTCAGAATGACCACATGCATCCTGCACGTTCTCCTTCCGAAATTGTGCGATCGCCATCTACAACTGAGACTCAGAATCGTATGCCTGTGCAGGTGAGAGCTGAAGCTGATGAATCGTCCTTTGATGCACCAATAACTCTTTATAGGCAGGGAGTGCTACTCGTCAACAATGAGAGACCTTATCAATACCCTATTTCAGAACTCATACAACCGTCACGCACATTTTCAGCTCAGAGTAATATGCCGCCACCAGTGCAAATTCGACTTTCGAGACAACCCACAGAGGTAGAACTGGCTCCTTGTGAAGAATTTGTGAATAGCAGGTGGGTGAGATCTTTTCCAGCTGAAAAGAAATCGTCATAGAGTCAGCGAATGTGCACATTCAATGACTGGATTTGACTTGAGCTAGGATTTCGTATTTTACTTTCGTTGTTTCAGGTATAATATACCGGGGATACACGGTTTTGTAATATAGCTCCCTGTGACAAACATCGGTAGATTTTGATTATATTCCTAGAATTTGGATGGATGCGGGAACGAGGAAAGGGGAAAGGAGTTTATGTTATTGTTATATAAGCAGAGTAGTATCACAAATTGAAGACTCACAACTAGAGTTAAAGTTCACGTTGGTGACAGTGAGGTTTCATGTGAATAAATTCCAAATTTAACTTATAGGAGGTGTTCTGTCAAATAAGCGAAGCTGAATTAGGTATGTTGAATTTGTGAAAGGGGGGTCGGCGTATCTGAATGACATTTTGAGATTCATTCCCATGGGGTTCTGTGCGGGTGTATAGTTCCGAGGATATAGGTGCTAACGAGGTTCGAGAGAAGAGAAAAAGGAAGAGTTTATTGACAAGGTACAGCACTTTTCACAATTCGTGTGGGGAATCTATTTACTTATACTCCAACTCACTGTTACGGGGATTCCAATCGAGATGTCTCACATCGCTTAGGCATTCTCTTGGGCGCATCATTAGGCACCACTGCTTTGGAAAAATGGATATGTCTCAATTAGAGTTGGTAATATTATTTTGTTTTTGGTCTAGTATGAAGGATTGAGAGGGGGGATGTCACATTGTTGGATGTTAATGCATGTATGATGGTGTTTGGGGCTGAAATTAGCATGAAGGCTTTCGGAGAGCCAGGAAAATATTTGAATATGGTGGTACGAAAATCGATTTGGAAATTGGAGAGGTTGGGGCTCTAGGGTTCGGACTATGTAATTAAAAAGTTTCTTTCGGGTGTTGGTTTTTTAGAGCATGTGCTAGAGTGATTTTAGGCTCAGAGAGTCGTTCTCGATGAAGTACCATTGCTTTGACGTAATAGCAAGCGCGAATATTAGCTTTATTTTCTTTAGTGACAAAATTACATTGATCGTCACGTGCTTTTGCGTGCTTCGGTGGAAGCGCTAATTGTTGCATGCCTTAGGAAATTCATTAGACTAGTTATTGTGACAATCATAGCCAAGCTCATTTCTAAGCTAACTAATGACGTAGATCGGTCGGAATCTGTGGTTTTAAAGCGTGATCTTGACTACAAAAAGGGCTTTCTCCCCACAAACTTTTCATTTCATATATCATCAAAAATAATTGACGCGCAAATTGAAAACTTTTCACGACGGTTTGGATTTTTTGAAATGATGGATGGGCCTCTTATATTGACTCACTTTGTTGTACATTTTAATGTAATTTGACTCATTTTTCGATTCCAGACCTCATTTTTCCTTCGATGAGAATAACAAGAATGGTTAGCCAGGCAATAATGAGGAGTTTATCTCTCTTAGCTGTGGAAATACTCGATAGTTCGCGACTACATCAGTACTAAAAATCACAGATCAAGATATAACGAACACAGAAAACCAAGAAAGAAAAAGGAATCATGGAAAAGCAAGCCCCTAGATCAACAGACACGTTTGAGACAAGCAGACGACGATATGAGGACACGTCATTCTACGACGAATGGCAATCCCGCCTCAATATACTCAAAACGAAGGTGCAAACGTTAAACAGGAGGAAGGGAAGACTTTAGAGCAAAAGAGACCACTCGAGAAGTGTCAGCACAACAAGCGGGTGATCATCGATTCTTCGGCGAACGACAGAAATGTTCGCACGAATACACAGTACCAAAAATCACGCTAGAAACGCCAGCTTTGCTTCAAATGACCGGATAGATGTGCCTAGACTATACAGTGGAGATACGAAATCTCATGCGTGAAGTGATTCAAAGAATCTGCCAAAACCAGCCGACGGCTAGCATATTCTGGAAATTACGCTTCTCCTCTGGAAACGAGAATGTAGAGGAAGTCGACGGAACTTGAAATTGGTAAGCTCGGAGACATGGAGTATGGAATGGCAGACGCTACAAAAAGCTGGCAAGCAGAGATATAATGCCATATAGCCTACAAGATAGCAGCAGTACTAGAAAAACTAGCCATGAAACTTCTAGTTTGCAGCAAAGGCTAGCGTTTTCATCTTCTTCTTCCTCTTCTTCTTCTTCTCCACGTGACTTCTTCTCCGAGTGACTCTTTCTCGTGGCCCTCCATTATCACAGAACTGCATGCAGTTCCGAAGAACTAATCACTTCAACGAAACCGCAGAACTACTGGTATGAGGCTATCTCGCGCATCACTGCTGCAGCTTCGTTGATGGCTTGACTCGTATGTTACAGTCTAATCGCATGGCAATATGTGCTGAGAGACTAGACTCTAGACTTTGTTCATAGTATGAAAAGAATTTGATATATACTTTGATAGGTGTATACTTTAATAGGTATATACTTTGATAGGTATATACTTTGATTGACATATACTTTGATTGACATATACTTTGATAGGTATATACTTTGATTAGCATATACTTTGATTAGCATATACTTTTAACATGTACTTTGATAGATATGTATTTCGATAGACATACACTTCGAAAACCACATAAATGACAGCTATAAAACCAACTCTACGAGGAAACTCGAAACTGTGCCAGATTCCCACTAAACTTGAAAGTGAGCATACAGTACAGTCCGTGTGGAGCATTAAGCGAAAATAAGCGAAAAGCCACAGGAAAATGGCTGACTCATTATAAAGAAGTATGAATCAGGTTTAGACTTGTATTGCCTGCGTATTCCAAGGTTCCTTTCATTGAAAATTTTGCTGACGCTTCTGTGCTCGATAGACTTAAACTTTAGGAGCGTACATTGAAATTGAAAGGTAGTGCTTGGGGCAAAGATACATGTCCTGAGGAAAGCAGGTACGTCATTGGAAGACACTGATATACTAATTCATTGTGACTTGACAGCGCCTTGACAGAAGCAAAGCAACGCGAGGCAAAGGATATAAAAGAAGGCGGAAGGGAACGCGGTACATCGATATCTACAAAATGTGTATGGCACATATACATGAATGAAATTGGTTATTATTCATCCTCCGATTATTGATCGGTTTGGTATCATTGGCCATCATCCAAAAACGCCCCATATCTAGATCTGCGAATGCGACTAGAATCATCGGAAGGCGTGAACCCGCAGCCTCATATACCAGAACTATCATAAAGCTTCGCAGAAATTGACTATCGCATGTCAATGCTGCTGTATGTTTTCGCTCACAGATGGTTGGCTACCTTCTATAAAAACCCACGGTAAACCACTAAAATACACGCTGACATCATGCCTTGTCTATGCAATTGTAAGTCATGTATGTGGTATTCACAACATTGCCTTAAAGGACATAGGGTCATCAGATCCTCCCGCAATATCAAAATCTCCGACGTCATCGCCAACTACGCTGCCAATACCTTCCTTGCCTTCACCTTCCACGGCATTACCCATTTCATAGGTGATTCTTTTCCAACCACTCTTTTCCGAAGGGTCTTTAATCCACTCTGTAGTTGGGAAATAGTGATCATTTTTCTTCATTGTGATGACCCATGGGACGTTATCAAAGGTTACTACCTTGATGCGGAAATCTTCAGAACAATATTAGTAATTTGTCAATGTGGGAGAGAAAAAAAAGCGGAAACGTACATGTGTTATCAGGAATCTCGATAACAACTTTCAAGAATGATTCCAAATCTGGTGTTTGTTTCCCATTGACATGGGTCACAAAGTTTGTTGGGGTGAGGTTGTACTGGTAGGATGGAGATCCTCTTGTTCTCGCCGCAACATAAACCTCACTATGGAGTTTAGAAATTTGTTGGCGAACAGCATGATGAGGGCGATGTAAAATAGCTCCACAGAAGGAAACCGCTCGATCAGTTTCGAGATCATCTGCTGAAACAGTGTCAAGCTTAATGTGCATTTCCTTACAATCGCGGACAATTACTGCATCGAGAACGTCATGGTCGTACATTACATCAAGTTCATTGACCCGAGTAATGATCTTACCATTGAGAGATAGAATGATGTCTCCTTCCAAAAGAGCACCTGACTCACTATTTCTCTCAAAGGTGCGCTTTCGTACCATGAAAAGTTGATGGCGAGATCGATTGTCTTCAGCAACCTTACGAATCCATTCTTCAGAGACACCCATGACACGAGCTTGAGCCATTTGGATGGTATTGAATTCAACGCTCAACATGCGTAACTTGGGCTTCTCGTCATTTTGTATTTTTTTAATGACAGGTAAAAGTGTAGGAGTTGCAAGACCAAGATAATATTCGACATCCTTTGAGCTGGATGGAGATCTCTCTCCCAAGTAAGTCAACCACAAGGCTTGGACAATGCCGTCTTCACCGATAAGCACACCACTTCCACATTGACCACTCAGGCTTGTGTCAACAGTGATTGCATCGATATTGATGGCCCGATATCTTGGAGATGCAGCATTTGCAGGGATGGCAACAGCAGTAATTTCAGTGATTGTGGTTTTAGCAACGACAATTCGCATGTTAGTGTTGAAACCAATGAAGTATGTTGAAGCTCCTTGGGAAGGCTGCTTATTGCTCAATCTCGCGCTTTGCACAGGGGCAAGAACCAGCGACGGGTCGTATTGGATGATGGCATAATTTTGTAGAGGGTGCAGGAATACTACCTTTCCTTCCACAATGATGGAATCGGCAATTGTGATCGAAATGTCACATAGATCATATGGAACGACGGCTCTAGAGATAACAACCAATCCTTTCTCAGCATCGATAACAACGCCCATACCCCACTTGCGGTTCCGGGGGTAGCCGTCTAGTTTGACAGGCATGTGACATAGCACTCGAACGAAGCTGCGAACAATATCCGCTACCGCTGGATGCTGTGAATTCTCCAGTTGTATGAAATTTGCAGACCTAGCTACAGGTGTTGTGGGTGGAAGAGCGTCGGCTAAATCCGAAAAGTCCCAAAGACCAGTGATGTCATTTCTGACGGCCAATCTCATCTTA